GATCCGTGCACCGCGTGCGGGCTGCCGGTCTTCCTGGCGGAGAAGCTGCTGATAGCGCGCGCTCCATATCACCGTACTTGCTTCCGGTGTGCCCGTTGCGGCAACCAGCTGACGCCCGGCAACTACTACGAGACCGAGGAAGGCCAATACTGCTGTGAGACGTGCCCGGACGAGGAGGACTCCTCCGCCGGAGTGCGTCGCAAGTACACCGAGTCCATCGTGGCCGACGTGGGACGAGAGATGAACGAGGTCTCTACGAGGTCGTCTCTCAGCGACGAGGAGAAGACGGATAGAAAGGTGAGTTTTGATTTCTTTTTCTCTTGCCTTATGGCTGTGGTACAACGGCTGTGGTAGCAGTAGTACAGTTGTTGACGTAGAAGGAAAGTTGTGGCATGTTCATTTCGATGAACTTCGTCCGGTGTCCGATGGGAGAGACGATCTCTTCCAGAAATGATTAAAGACTCAAACTCTTCTATCGAATACGGAGGCTCATCAAGGTCAGCGCCGCAATCTTTCGTTCATTGACTATACACACCTGTCGCTCTGAGGAGATACCATTCAGGCTCACGGAAGGTATCATTTCGCAGGCCGCCGCGCGAAGTCTACTGGAGAAGACCGCGGTACCCGACCTGATCTCCCACACGTCGCAGATGCGAAAGAGTTTCATGGCCAGCCATCTTCTCTCCGAGAAGATCGACGAGTCCACTGTGAGGGACGTGAGGAACGTCAAGGTCGACTCGGATTATCGTGAGGGAGCGAAAGGCAGGATCGATTCGGCATTCCCAGACGACGACGAGAACGAGGGGCATGAGGATGAGGAGAAGGGCGAGGAAGAGGATGAAGAGGAGGACGACGAGGAGGAGGAGGAGGAGGAGGAGGCGGAGGAGGATTCCCATAATTCCACGACGGATGATTCGCCCGTCAACGTGAAGGGCCCCAACGTGGAGCGATACGATGTACATAGCGCGTTAAATAGCTTAGACGTTAGAAATAAGGAGGATCAGCGACCGACTGCCATTTCATTCCATGACGTAGATAAGAATAATAAAACGGAGGATACCAAAGAGTCGTCAGGACGCGCTAATTCCGCAACGAGCATGTCCTTGGTTCAGAGGAGACTCCTAATGTTCGAGGCTGCTGACAAGGTAGACTACGTCGACAAGAAGGATCGCGAGAAGAGTGCCTTCCGGGAGACTAAAAGCAGTCCTACGGCGCGGGACGCCACGGACGACGTTCAGAACGACTCCTGGGACCAGACGCCGGACGTTCTTCGGGCGAGCGACGAGGAAAATCCGAAAAAGTGTCTCAAGGAGGGATCAGAGATCAACAGCGAAGAGAGCTTCGCGAATGTCGACGAGCAACGAGAACAGAAGAAAGAAGAAGAAGAAGACTCGGCGATTACGAATTCCGAGAGACACGAAGATAGCTTCTCGAGAGACATCGTGCAGATGAAAAGCGAAGAACGTTTCGATAATAACAAACAGATCGAAGACAGTCGGGTAATTGGTGGTACTGAGAGGCAAGAAGAGACCTTCGCGAGGATCGAAAACGATCAGGTAGAAGACAAGGTAGAAGACAAGGAAGATAAGACGACAAAGAGGAGGTTCTCCGAGAACGCCGCGGAGGGCAATTTGCCGCCGAGCGCAGACGTCGTCGACTTGAGTGTCGTTGACGACTATCCGGAGAATTTGAATCCCTTCAAGAGCGACGAAGAGGACAACGTCATGGAAAGTAAACGGCAGACCACGCGAGGGAGCTCCTCGTCGAGGAGAGGCAAGGTGTCGACCAATCCGTTTGACAGTGAAGATGACGAGGAGGATGTCGAAGAGGAAGTCACACCGCCGAAACCGGCAGCTAGAAGTAGCAAACCGGAGAGCCGAGGAATCGTCAAGACGACGGTAGCCACGAAGCGGCTGGTGGCCGCACCGCAGATCAATTTCCATTCTTTCTGGAGCGACGAGGAGGAAGAGCGCGACAGCGACGGCGAAGGACGAGACAGAACGCCGCAAGGGAGGAGCAACGCGCCCGTTCCGAAGCCGCGCACTATCAAGTATGATTTAGCGAATTTCATTCCGACCTTTCGAGATCACGCTAATTTTCTCCTTCGCCCCGACAGGACCACTCCCGAGATGAACGTGATGCCACGAAAAGGTGACTTGAGTCGAGGAGACGTGTATGCGTCTAATAGCTCTTTAACGAGCTTAGAGTCGACCGCGACTGTCGGTGGCACGTACAGGAAAAAGAAGCCTGCACCGCAGCCGCCGGCCGTGAAGAAACTCTTCCCGTCCGCCCAGCCGGACCAGACATCGCCGGTTAAGTCGTGCGACAGCACATTGTCCTCGTATCATGTGAGTTCGAGAATTTCATATCTCGAGTCAATTTGTATCTTGGAACAATTCGACATTGCAACCATAAGTTCTTTTCGCAGATGTTTCTAATTGGATGATCGGCCTGTTTTCCAGGAAAATTTATAAGAAGCTTATAGCTATATATATAATAATAGTTTCTAGAGATGATAAAAACAAAATTTTACACACATGTCTTTCGAAAAATTCTTCAATATTTGTAAATAATTTTCTAATTATTTCGATATTTCGTGTCATACATAGTAGAACACTATAAAAATAATTTATAGATATAATAAAAATGCTGAAGAAATGAAAATAGTGAAATCAAGTGGTAGTATTCGATAAGAAAAAGAAAGCTTCATAAATATGGTACAAGCTACTGATGGTTTAAAAATTGTCTTTAAGCTTAAAGTGTTCTCACACACGCACGTTAAAGCGAAATCAAATATTCGTTGTTTGACTCTTCTTCTCATTAACGTAGAGCTTATCGCCACGCACAACTCCGCGACCTCGCAAAACCAAGCCGGCGCCTCTACCGCCGACGTCTACCAGTACGCCTTGCAACGTCGCGCCGATCAGCGACACTTTGAGCGCCAGTGAGTCTTCGATTATCGAATTTCACGGCAACAGCGACGATCACAATATGGAGATGTGGCAGGATCAGAAGACCAACAAGGACGAGGCGAATCGGAATAGGCAGAGCTTGAACAGCGTCTCCGACGATCTCTACAAGTCCTATGCCGATAAAAGCGTGCAAGGCAAATGGAAGAGGAAGAAAGGGCCCGCTCCGCCGCGACCAATCCCACACAGGAGGAAGGTAGGATATTCTGATATTCAGCAGATATTCAGAAAATCTCTTCGTAAACTAAATTCTCGTAGAGATATTAAAGGGCTTGCGACGAGTTCAGTTTTGAGCGCGTAAATTTGACGAAAGAAATGAATGAGACATACGTGATTTTGTTTGCAGATTAAAGTGATATCCATGAAGGACGTAAAATTGGAATTGGATGAGATCGAGCTGCAACAGCAAGGCTTGGAGAAACAGGGTGTACGGCTGGAACAGTTGATACGAGATAAATGCGAACCCAGACAAGGAACGGAGGGTGAGCGTCCCAATGTATCGATTTTATAATCATTATAGCGATGCGTAGGATGTAATTTGCAATTAATCCGTCCGCAATCGGTAGACTCGCCGCTCGGCATAGACGTGGAGGAACTAGTCTTGGAATTGTTCGCGTTAGTGAACGAGAAGAACGAGCTGTTTAGGAGGCAAGCCGAATTGATGTTGCTTCGACGACAACAAAGATTGGAGGAGGAGCACGCCGAGGTAGAATATCAAATACGGTGTCTCATGTGCCAACCGGAAGCCACTAAGACAGACTTCGATAAACAGAGAGAGGAAGCTTTGATACAAAGGTGTCTAAAAACGATCGACTTGTTGACTTTTCCCGTAAAAAAATTAAAGGCGTAGAAAAATGTTCGTGATATTGACGGTCTCTCTCATTCTTTGTGCAGGTTAGTAGAAATCGTGGAGAGAAGAAACGAGATTGTCGAATGCTTGGAGATGGATCGTCGCAGAGAAGTGGAGGAGGATAAGAGCATAAACAAGCATATGGGTCTATTTGCCGGTAAGCGAGAAGAGAGAACGTGTATATTTTTATAAAATATAACGTGAACTGCTGTTCAACATTTGTCTTTCAGCGAGAAACAAGAACGAGCAATCGAACAACGACAATGATTCCTCCAATGTAGTAAAAACGGCGAAAAAAGGAAAACTCAAGGAGAAACTGAAAGAGAAGAAATTGAAAAAAGTTTCAAAGAAAGACGCCGATAAAGACGTGGACGAGACTGAGGTGAAATCTAAACGCCACAATAAGCGAAAATGGTTTTGAGCTACGTCAGCATTATTACTGTACTTCAATAGATATAAATATGACGCATTTAGTATTTAATACTTTTATATATATTTTTAACACTATTTGTTATTTGAAAGATGTAGAAATATACGCTGCGATTATTAGTACAGTCGTTAACTTTATTCTTCCCAACATAATTAGATTATTTTGTAAAATAAAGCAGCGAGATAATATCAAATGAATAACTACATTTTATTATGTGTACTACCCATATACAGCACAGATCTCCAAAGGACATCCTGAGGATATCCCTACATCCTAAGAACGTCCTCAGGATGTCCTCTGGAGATTTTGTGCTGTTTGGGTACATAGAAACATTTGAAGGGTAATTTTGCATGATCGAAAGGAAAAGGCAAAATTTATCTAACCGCAAATTTAGTAAAAGTAATAATGAAATATTTTAAGAATTTTATAGTTTGAAGTCTGTGGTTTTTAAATATATCTTGTCGAATATGCAGTTTACTCATTTTTTATAATACACGGATGCAAATAAGAATCTGTTAATTGTTACAAGTTTTCATGCATTTCTCGTTTAACACAATATATCTTGTTAAGATGTAACAGTAATTAAAACGTAAAAGTAAAAACGTAATTAATTTAATATTTTCGAAAACCAGAGATTTCAAGCTGCATAATGTTTCTTAAATTATATTATCGTGGCATTTTTTATCGAAATTATAATCTATTGAATTCAATCTATTCTTTAAGTATTAGTAAAGTGACATATTCGACCAATACTGACATATCATAAGCTCAAATCCTAGTCAAAGTAAGTGGCGACTCGTAGCGAAGACTTCGGAACTAATTTTCAAAAATAACGGGTCTAATAATCACATGCATACTTATTGACCCGTTAAGATAACAGGTCTAAAGCCAGCGGCACACGGTGCTTGTTTTCGTGCTGGATTGCTTGCTGGATGAAAATACTGTGTTCTGATTGGTGCATTTCCATCCATCTTCGGAAATGTACCAATCACAACGCAATATTTTCATCCAGCAAGCAATCCAGCACGAAAACAAGCACCGTGTGCCGCTGGCTTAATAATTCTATAGACCCTTTATTTAACTTCTATATATAACGGGTCAAGATTCTTAGACCCTTTATTTAATAAAAACTACTGTGGTCCGAGTCTTAGCTAAAAAATTAATTTTTTTTAGCCGAAACTCGAACCACAGTAGTTTTTATTAAATAAAGGGTCTTAAGCCCGTATCAGACTATGGATTGGGATTGAGATTAGATTGAAATTTGACCAATTGAAAAAGAGAAAATAATCTCAAGTATAGTAAACTTACTCCTGATTGGTTAAATTTCAATCCAATACTCAATCCCAATCCGTAGTCTGATACGGGCTTTAGAGTCTTGACCCGTTATATATAGAAATTAAACCCGTTAAGATAACAGGTCTATTCATTCTATAGACCTCTTATTTAACTTCTATATATAACGGGTCAAGACTCTTAGAACCTTTATTTAATCAAAACTACTGTGGTTCGAGTCTCGGCTAAAAAAAATTAATTTTTTAGCTGAGATCGGACCACAGTAGTTTTGATTAAATAAAGGATCTGAGAGTCTTGACCCGTTATATATATATATATATATAGAAGTTAAATAAAGGGTCTATAGAATGATTAGACCTGTTATTTTAACGGGTCAATAAAATATACGCGATTATTAGACCCGTCATTTTTATAAATTAGTTCTGAAGTCTCCGCTACGAGCCGCCACTTACGTTGACCAGGATTTTAAGAAATATTTTAATATTTAAATAGACGAAATTTAATAGGCAATAATTTCGGCAAAAATACCGATAACGAGATGATTCTGAAAACACTTTATAGCTCGAACTTTTTATTTTTTATACATAATAAATTAATTATGTTACTTCCGTTTTTCGTCAAGATGTATGAAGCCGAATAAAAAATGGTGACCGCCGAATATTTAACTTTTATTTGAATGTTTATATTGAAAACCTATTTGTATAAAATATGTGAGACGATTTGGTAGAGTAAAAATTTAATATTTTTATTTATTGCAGATATCGTATGTTAATTCGTTTATTTTCCATAAGCGTTGAAAGTCGAAGAATCGGTTTTTTCTTCAATGTTAAATAACTCGATGCAAAATAATCGTGATCATGACACAAGAGTAAGGAAATGAAAAGAGATGTTTCACACTTTTAAACAGTACTAACATTGTGTATGATTCTTATTTATTTACACGACACAATTCGACAAATTTCATCAACAATTTTGGCATTTGACGTATCTTGATTTATCTTGACATAACCCTGTTAAATAATTAACGTGTATATTCAAGATTATGTCTCAAAATTAAAGAGATACAATTTACTAAATACTCCTCGAATCATCTCATTATCATTACTTTTACGAAAATTACAATTCGACGAATTTGTTTTTCATTTCGTATCAACATAAACGATCTTTTATTTTATATTACATTTGTATATTAACAATATATTTAAAATTATCTGTATGTCCTTACATATCTGTATATATATTTGTATATTTAACAATATATATATTATTCCAAGTAGCAGACAGACGTCAAATGATGTCAAATAATAACGAATCTTAATAAATAACTAGCCTTAATGACAAATCTCATGGCAAAAAGACGTCAGGCTGCTACTTGGCTATTTCTAATCTTGTGTTACAAGCAAACTCTCTTTACAGATTTTGCCATTTCTGCTGAAAAAAGAACTCAGGATCACATCGCTTGTACTTGTGCATAAAATCTGAAGAGGGCATGTTTCCGCGATAGCGACCGGAGTCACCGTACCATCAAGTTTAAAAGAAATTAAGACGCCTAGCTCGCCGGCTGCCAAGATTTGCAAGAAACTTCGATTTACGGTTCGTAAATAAACGTGCAGTAGATATTTTCATCACGTTGAAACATGTGAAGAAATTCATCAAAAATTTTACAGTTGATGGAGCATTCGTGTGTAAAAATTACGAAATAAACCTCGCACATTCCAACAGAGGTTACATCGTGGGAACGGAGTGAATATCGTTTCTCGCAAGTTGTTTTATGATGGACGAGTTAAGATGGCATACACCAAACAAGATGAGAAATCGCGACAGTTCCTTGATAAACAGCCCGAGGTTACATATGACTCCGGTCAGACGAAACGAGATCCGTCCCAAACGTATGGCATATCAGAACAATGCGGGTTGCTTCACCGTTCTGCCAAGTTATATTACTCCACCGTCTGGATTGACTAAGATCACCAGGAAAAATCCATTTGAGGCTGACTTGAACAGTAGATTACACATGTCCATGATCAGTCCAACTATATTTGCCAAGGTTATATGTCTGCAAAGAAGAAAATGCATGTTTTCATTACATTTTATTGAATATTTATAATTGGTATATGATAAACGAGATAACCTGATATTGTCATATGTAGGCCCCAGACTCTATGGTTCAACAGTCACCAGGATTTAGATGGAGCATAGATGAGTTAGCACATATACGACCAGCAAAGATAGAAGAATCTCCTATGCAGCAGGTTAATTCTCCAGATCCCGAGATAGAATTGCAAGCTCAGGCAGCTATAGATCGATTTTTCAAGAAAAATCAAATAATTCCTAGCCCATGGCTACATAAAGAAAAAATAAATAAACCATATAGTGAAACAAATACTCCTAACAGAATTATGGATATTATGAATTCTACCAAGGAATTCTTTAAATCAAAAAAAGAAGGTATGAGTTCGTTTTATATATATTTATACATATAGAGTAAAATGAGTAATATTTGAAGATTCAATTTGACTATTTTATTTTCAGCATGGACTCAGACAATATTGTCTTTACCTACAAATCTGCCACAAAATATTGAAGATGCTTTGAAATCTTTTTGCACATTTACTCAGGTTGATTTGAAACAGCTATAAAGTAAAAATAGAGAGTATATATAGCGAATAGAGAGATTAATTTTCATATTGTATTAATGAGCATATTTATAGAATTTCGACTTTTCCATAGTATTGTATTATAAATATGTTTAGAGTTATATTATTATAAAGTAAATTATATTATATTTTTATTATATTATATTATTATATTATATTATTATAATAAGTAAGTTATATTATTTTAAAGTAAAATCAATAAAATGTTCATATGTTTTCAAAAGGAACAAAATACAGATAATGAAGATGTAAATTCAAGCAACAACTCATTAAGGAGAAAATTATTTTTTAATAACGACAATGCTGACAATGATAATGAAAGCATTGCATCTCTATCATCAGTTGAAATGAATGGATCTATGGTCTTATCTGGCAGTCCTCCCCAAAGTGGAATGTTTATCCATGGAACATTGAAGGTATGTATATAAGCTGATATGTGATATACATATATATAAATTAATATCATATGTTTCAGGGATCGCTAAAAAGTAGACGACACAGCGACAGATCTGTAAGCTTATCACCGCCTTTTATGTCGCCGATACAACTCGATAACGAGAATGGTATGCTGTGTAAAAAATTTAAACGTTCATGTTCGATCACACGGCTAGACCTTGTAACGGAAATGAGCATAGACCATATAGATGCGGACGAAATTCAAAATCAGCGCTATGATTATTTGTTAGGTAAGTATTTCTACGACGAAGGTAGCCCTTCTTTTAATTTGAAATAATTATATAATTATAATTTTAGATAATTATATCATTTCTGTTACGTTAAAAATTATTGCAGATATATCCCGCAATACGAATACGGAGGCTACAGAAGATAATCGTGAAATTATAGTTGTAAATAATGAAACTAATTTATGCGGCGGTTCTGCTGACGTAGAGACATCGAAATATACACATCCAATTAGCGCTATTGTACAATTTAAACCCGTCGTGTTAAATAACCAAATTCATAATGCTACTAGCTTAACGTCTGCAACTGAAATAGAGAAAAGTTGCACGCATAAAAGTTACAAACAAAGTAATACAATGTTTGGTACATCCGATCCGTCGAGTATCTTAAATTCAGTTCAAGACACCGGCTACCAAACTTATAGTATGAATAGCATAATGCACACAGTAGATGGTTATAATATTTCAATGCAAAATCCTAAAGTTCAATCGAAAGAACAAACGGTAACGTCCAATCATGATGCCCAATTGTCTTGGAAAGAAGATATGCCAAACGTATTTAGTTCTACACCCTCTAAATGTAACAAAGAAAAAAATAGCTGATAATAGTAGTCAGATGTATCAACTACGCATAATAAAACAATTGTGCTACATAATTAAAATTATAATTATAATAAATTTAGCAAATAATAATAATAGTAAAATTTTTATATACTTTTAACCTTTTTATGTATTTTTAAACTTTTATAAATTTTTATATAATATATAAATCTATTTTTGTCACTGAACTAGTGTACACTTCCCAAAGTTAAAAAGAAACAGATATACAGTTGAAACTTGGGAAAAGAGAAGAAGAAGAGAAAACTAGTGCAAGATAGAGCAGTTCGTTCAATGATAGAAAACAAACATAATCCTTCTTATAAATAATCGATACAAAGTACTGTTGTGAGTGATTTCAATTGAATATATCCAACTTTGCCTTTGCTTCCAGTCAATCTGATGCCTTTTAAGAAAATTGAATTATTGAATTAATAAATTGGATCTAAATAGTTTGATGTCAATAGCACATATATCTTGTTCTAAATTTTAAAATAGTTGACATATCTATTGTATAAATGTTATTCTATCAAATGTTTTTCTTTATATTACATCAAGAATATTCGTTTTACTCCGACTGATAAATTATATGAAGTGCACAAATTTTTCAATTTTGTATTTTTTAAATTGTATTTTTTAAATTTAATATAATATTGCAATATATAGAATCTCCTTCAATGAGAGATATTTTCTTAAGTACAATATAGTTCACAGTGCCATTTTATACATATCGTAAGAAAAAATATCTTCTCTTATTATTCTCTTAGTATTTAAACCTGCAATAATACCTGCAGAAATATTTTGTAGGAATGCCTTGTTAGCATACCTTTTGTATAATCATTGTATACCTTGTTGGTACATTAAATATACCATTAAACTCAGAAAAAAATTAAATTATTATATTTTATTAATTAGTACGTAATTAATATCTTAGATTGTAATACTAGTGAAAAAAGAGGCTGAATAAAATAACCAACTCGCTTTATAGTTGATATTTTCTTCATTTGTTTCATTAGATAAAATTTCTTTGCAGTTACAGCCTAAAATATTAAATATACTCAAGATATATAAGCAAGATCAAAAACTTAACAAACATTTTACAGCATGATTTGTTTAAAATGAGTAATAATAATAATGATATAATATATATATATATATATGTATAACTGTAATATTACATATTACGCCAACAAAATTCTTATAACATATCATCTGTAGATACGTACATATGTGTATATATAGAATATCTCTAAATTCCTTGACCAAAATTGTGAAGCCAATTCTTCATATCATGTGATATGAAGAATAGACATCAGTAGGCTCTTTCTACACCATTCAACAACGATGTCGTCATCATCGCATTTTATCGCAGTACAGTTTCTCTATCATATATTATATCTGCGTAACAATAATGTAACGATATATAACGAGATTGTCGTTAAAAGTTGCAGGTTGCAGGATAAACCTACGGAAAATGGTTCAAAGAATTTTAAAACATTCTTGTAAACACATGCATACATATATGTACATATATGTATATTTATATATGTATAAATTAGCATATCTGATCTTCCAAAAACTCAAAGAATTCTGCATTTGGCACGATGTCATGTAATGGAAGCAAATCAAACACATCATGTCTTTTGATTGTCCCTAGCTGGTTACACATCATAATCTGCTTTGCTCCATACTTTGCTTTTTGGTGTCTTTGTCATACACGTGACTTCGCCTGTCAGCCGGTTACAATAGTAGTACGCTTCCGCACAAAAATAACCGTAATAAATTTGAAACGAATTGTGATCTACCTGTGAATTTAGCATTCGTACGATGAGTCGGCGCTATGTTACAAATATGCGATCTTAATACTTTTTTTATTTATTTTTTTTTCTTTTCTCTACATAACGCAATTGTAGAATAAAAACAGTCTATCGCTCCGCTGACTCCTGACCTCGTGACTAACGCATTGCACACAAATCCCACTTCATCTCCTAGGAAACCGGCTGACTAGAGTATTGCGCCCAATGCCAGGATTTACTGTTGTATTGCTTTACAATTACGTCACTAATCGATTAATCTATCGCTTCAATAACCTATCGATTAGCTACACGTACTTTACGATAATAAATGGCATCCCACCCCCTAAGTAATTTAGAATTAACTACATGGAAGAACAGATCTTCAGTCGTAGCAAACGAGAACTAGACTAAGAGAATGTGTAACAAATCGTGAAGCTTTAACATTTAATTTCCATACATTATCAGTTTAAAGATGCCAGTTTGTTGTTTAATCGATACGAGGATAGAGTATTCGAGGTGTGAGCAAGAATGCCAATTAATTAATAATATTCATAGTTTATATAGAGATAACTTTCTCTCCCTCCCTCTCTCTCTCTCTCTCTCTCTCTCTCTCACTTTTTCTTTCGTTCTATAAATACAACATAATACATAGAATTTTAAAACTTTCATTCGCGCGCGGAAGTATAACAACGATATAATATCGTACTAACTTTTGCAATAGTATCACAGATAATAACGACGAAATAAAGAAAAAAAAAAGAAACAAAAAATATTAGATTGCTTGTAACTATTTATAACAAATTTCGCGTAAAGTACGTAGTGTTGAGCAGAGCACGCTTAATACAAGTAGCAGAACGTAGCAGTAAGTAGAATAACTTTCAATTAAAACAAATGGGACAGTTTTGAAGACCCGTTTTTCCTTGTTTAACGATATTACAACCGAATCAATATTACATTGAGCATGGCATTCTTTCTTGCACCTACACGTTGAATTATTCATTAGTTTATTTCTGTAGTGTAGCTGACTAGCTACAATCACATTAAATAATTGCTGTAGCGCACCCTGTCCATTGTACATTTCGAATTCAAGTTTCAAACTTCTGACCGTCACGACCGATCTTTCCAATATCTCAAATAACATTGTATGCGGTAGCAACGTAAAAAGGTGTGCCGTTGAATATTTTACAAAAGCATCATTAAATTACAATACTACTACTTGACTCCTACATATACAATTGCACGTAATTGCGCGTTATAAGAATAGCGTTCTGCGCTTTAATCTTTTTCTTATCCTTAGATCGAGAGATATATCAACAAGTCGACTGCCCTGCAGCGAGTTTTGTACCATCTTGCCGCCCCTACACCACAATGAAATCCTCATTATCGCGCAAGCGCACAATGCGCGTGTGATGATAAAGTAATATTAACTGCATTTGAACTACATCATCACGCGTGATTGTGTTTTACCTCACTGAGTGGGGTCACCCCATTGAAACTGCCTCTTCCTCCCCACCCGGCTGCAGTCAACGTGTTAATGACTCGGTTGTAGAAACGAGGCAAACGAGGTGAGAGCTTACAAGAGTTTTGACATAGTAGTATATAACTTCACGCACCACGAATTGATGATATGTAATAAAAATCGATCAGGTTGCGCTACAACAGCGTGTTCGTATAATGTCGTTCGAATTACTATATATTTATACTTTGTATAGTGATTTTTAAGCTAATAAACTGCATACCAGCGAATTATTAGGAAGAGCTTTTATCACGCGGGCAGCGCCCTGTAAAAATATATGTTCTCTCTATATAGAACTACGTATTTTTTTTTTCTTTTTATAATGTATGCAAGACCAGTTTGTCCTAATATTTTGTTTCACAAGCGCCTGCTAGCTGTGGCGCACGCGCGCGTGTATCTTACAATTACATGGTATTATCAAACTTTACCTTAGCATTACAGGTTTCTTTTATAAAAATAAGATGTCTCCATGTGTAGCGCTATCCTTCTCTTTCTCTCTTTCCCTTCTCGTGCCCGCCCAATCGATATTATCGGCGTTAATTGTAACACATTCAGTCTCCAACTGAATCCCAAAACTGGTCTGTGGATACATTAGAAGGTCTACATATGTACAACACTGTCGAAAATCATCTTGAAAGCCACAAAGAGTAGAAAAGGGCACGACGAAATAATCAAATTTCTTTGTTTCGGAACCGTCTTTTGTGTGTGAGCATACCTCAATATTTGTTTTCCGTTTTTTGCTTTTGATAATACGTTTGTGGCACTATGTTGTACATGATAATGATGCACATGGCGTGTATGTGTGTGTATGTGTGTATGTGCGCGCGCGTGGGTACGCATATATATATATGCAAGGTGTGCTCAGTTTCACATTCAAAAGCACCGTACAATAGGAATTTCTTAAAAAGCCAAATCATAAAAAATATTTACTACTTTCTTTTATTCCAAGAAATAGACTTTAGATTAGGAAAATTGGAAATATTGTTTCTCTGTGGGAAATACAATTATATTGTACAATTACGCATGATTCACAGACAGTTGATCGATCAAGTACAACTCGCAATCGATTAAATCGTGAAATAGAAACAAATTGAAAACCGCTTTTAAAAGTGAACAAACGAATGAGAACTTCCAGCGTTCAGCGTTTCTCACTAAAACTCCACCGCTATTTCCAAGCGTAATTTGCAAACACCTTGTACACATATGTATATATATATGACTGAGTATGTTAATCTTAATGTGTGTAATGTGTACATCTGCATATATATGCACGTACATACGTTTTATGTACATATATACACATATACATAGAAATATGTATGCGTGTAATTGTTTCAAATATATTATCGATTTCTCTATCGCGCGAATATATACAAGATCTGTTACAAGAGTAACAAGAACAATTTCTTCCGACTTTTTTTTCATTTCAATGAAACGTAACTACCAGTCCCTTGTGAGTTACCCTTGTGAGAGATCTCGTAGATGTTAATTATGCCTCTATACATATCTACAAAAGAAAAACTGATATAGAACTCTATCATTAATTAAACTCTCTATGAATTAATATGTATAATCGTCACAACAGTTCTAAAAAGGTTATCATTACTTAGTTCGGTATGTAATAATTTCTTTCATTGATATTTCACGAACTATGTTATCATCGTTTCAACAGCATGTTTAAAAAGTATTTCTTTAACACTACATTCCTATTATTGCTTGTTGTTTAGTGCTACCGAATGTATTTTGGCATACAGCATGTTGTAAACCCTGAGCAACCACATCGATCATTTCAAAATGCATCCGATTCTCGTTCTCTCTTCGGCACATACTAGAAATCATGGAAGAATTTACCGTGCGTATACTGTATTTATGGTGTGTGTGTGTGTGTGTGTGTGTGTGTGTATTGTGTGGTATGTGGTCAACAAACAAAATCAAAGAGACCTCCAAAGTGGTTTTGTCGCGTTTTCAGAAAAATTGCATGTAGAATTTACCGACAATACTATATAAAACGTGAATCGTTTTAGAAATTTGTCACTAGACGATAGAATTTTCAAGTTTTTTTTCTTTCCCACTCATCGCGCGCGAAAATGGAAAGCTCTCAGTTATACACTTTCTGAAATGTAACAAAATTAGTTAATGTTAACCCCTAATCTGCTTTAGGTACCGACTCCCATCCCTCCATTCTCGCCATCTCTTACGTCTTTTCTCAGGAGTACTTGAATAATCACTCGTAGTAGAACGTCTTTTTGGTTTCGAAATCCCCTCCACTTTTGGCGCTGGATTAATATCTTGTGACGACACGTGATGAGTTCTACAATGACTTAGTGTACTGACACCAGCCAGGTTCAAAAGCGCGTCCGCACCCTCCGCTATCTTCCTCTGTTCATCGAAATCTGGATTTGTCTCGTCTTCGTTTGAATTTTTACTATACAGCAGGAAGAAATCAGAAACAATACAGGTTGTTTTCTCGGCACGATTCTCAGTATCAAAACGCCAAGTGTATTCTTACCTTCCCAGTTTTAACGAGGTAATACAACTGTAAGTATGATCTTCGCTGGAACTCCTGGTGATTACAGGCACCAACTTTTCGGATTCCGGCAATTTTCGTTTACGATCTGTAAGAATTGCATTGAAGCGTGAGCATATAAATATGATGCTTAATCCCGATTGTTCTTTTATCTAATCTACAAAGTGCTTTCCTTCCACTATCTTACGTTACGAGACGTATATATTTTAGGTATATCCAATGTACCTTTATTGTGATTCAAAATGATAGGTCCGTGTTTGAAAGAAAGCATAGCAGCTGCCGCTGCATCAACATCGCTATCTACTTCAGTTTCTGTGCTATCACTGATATTGCTAGAAGCCAGTCTTTTGGATAAGTATGGAAAGAGAATTGGATCTGGGAGACGTGTGTTTGCGCATTTCCTGGGCGATTTTTCCGACGAAGATAGATTCTGAGTAGTAGGTGGCGGGAAGGGGGCGCGAGATAACGCTTGTAACAGATTTGGGCGGTATTGTGCATCTACCATCCATAACGATCCTTTGCCCAAATTCTACGAACACAAAAGGCACACCATGAGCGCATTACGTCATTCGATACACGTCACCGGCACTTTTGTAAATTGCGCTTATGTTTTCTTCTAGAGATATCCCCAGGTGTACTTACCGGAGCTTTCTCCACCTTGCGAAAACACTTGTTAAGACTCAGATTGTGTCTGACAGAATTTTTCCAGCCGGTGGGAGCGTTCCTAAAGTACGGGAAGTGGTCCAAGATCCAGGCGTAAACCTCCTTCACCGGAAGCGCTTTTACAGGACTGTTTTCGATGGCCATAAATATCAGGCAGGAGAATGAATACGGTGGTTTACTATTTCTGTGTAAATGAGGATCATACGGTATATGGGTAGGATGCTTGTTGCGATTAGACATTGGCAAATTATTGTTGCTCAAAGAAATCTTCGTTTGATTACTTGGTGATGTATTGCAGTGATTTTTCACAGACTGATCCTGAAATATATGCATCGACTTTTGACAATTTTTCGCGGGATGCTGATAGTTTTGTCCATTTCCGTTCAGCGTTACGACATTCGTTTTTCCATTACTCTCTGTCGGTAATGTAAGAAAAAAAACAGCATAATTAATACAGTAACCGCACGACGTCTGCAGAGAGAGCATGGTAAAAATAAAAAGTGATGTTACGTACCTGGACAGAAACTATCGTCCAAACTCGATATGGAATTCGTGTTCTCGGAAAAATCCGCCATATCGTCGCAGACATTGTTGTTCAGCATATTCTCATGCTTCATATCCTTGGATGGGTTAGAAATTTCTAAACCCTTAAGTAAATTTTGTTGATGCAGCCAGCTGAGCGAAGTCAATTCGTCGTCTGACTGACTGTTCTTCTCGATGGATTTTTCACACTTAGAAATTTCACTCTGGCATTCGTTGTTGGTTGCTTTTGATTCGACCAGCACACTGGCGTTCTCCTTCTCTTTATCGTTCATCGTATAGGCTGCTTCTCCGAAATTAAAATCCTGAGTAGAATTCAATTCTATGTCAGTTTCAATACCTGATGCATCTGGCCTATCCGGTGGCATGTTGGGTAGAGTCTCTTGGTCACTGCAAAACAAAGTTGTCTTTTTACTCTCTACCATCAGGTAGCAGTATCTCTACTATCTCGCAGCATGCAAATTTTTTACTTCGCATCGAAGAAATATGCATATATACATTCGCTCGTGGTGATTTATCAATGAGCAGACAACAACTAACACTAAAGAATTCCTCCAATCTTTCGAAAGATTTACACGAGCATATTGTTTATTAGAGCGATGATTTTAAGCACATTTTTATTGCTTCGAAATAAATCTGGCCTAAGATCTTGAATCTTTCCGGTCTGTCGGTTGTGAGGTGATTGGTCTACATTTAAAGGCAGACTTAAAGAACCCGAGAAACGCAAGTAATTCCGTTGGCGTCCCGTTGCTAAGCAACCGCTTAAACATGAACGCATTAGCTACGTTCAGCAGAGAAAGCTGCTTAGCAACTGTTGTAAAACTCATGAATCTGATTGGTGCATGCTCTCGGATTCGGCTACATTTAAGAGCATACGCCAATTAGATTTGCAAATTTTACAACAGCTGTAAAACAGCTTTTTCCGCTGAACGCAAGCAAATTGATACTGCTACATAATTCTGGCCGATCTCACATTGTAGATCAGTAATTTTTCGATTCAGTTGAACTTCCGTTAATAATCTCCGAGCAGAGAGCGGACCGTTTCGCTAGATCCGCATTTAAACGTCATATTATCCTTCTCAATTGTCAGCCACGAGACGAAACAATTCTCTCTTTACGCAGCACATCGTCGCACAACTTATCCTTCGTTCGGACTATCTACGTCAACATTGTTCTCGCAACAAAGTTCGATCTTTCGTTTTCGATAGACAAGTGTATCGTTTACGATAAGAATATCCCCACGATATTCGCCTCGACGATATTCACGCGCAAGTGCCGCAGGTCGCATCTCGCGAGGCGGCACGCGCGCTTAATATCGCGTTACGGCATAAAAATGCCACGAAAACGGCAAGAAACAGGCACGCGGCCCGCTTTTCTATTTTTGGTGCGTCGCGTGTGCGCATGCGAGAGAGAGAGAGAGAGAGAGAGAGAGAGAGAGAAGAGACAGTCGCACGTGAGAGGGCGAGACGTGCACGACGTAGCGCGAAAGAAGAGAGGAGTGCGCACGCGAAGTCGCGTAGGCAGCCAGCGAAATTCAATTGCCCGCACATGCGCACGAGGACGTGTGCGTGTAGCCTCGAGACCAGGCGCGTCGCGAAAGCGGCGGATCGCGACGTCGCACGGGATTGTTTATCCGCTAATAAGCGACAAAATGGCCGCGCTATCGCGAAGCACATTGGAATTTCGAATGATCGCGGCCCCGCGACAAGGACAGCGGTCGTCATTCGCGGCGACGCGCTCGTTCGAGACGACGAAGCGTCAACATCCCCGAAGACGATCCCGTTCAGTCGATCCGGACGATTTCCACGAGGAGTCGTGAGCCATGGCGGCGTCCGCCTGCATCGCATACTTGCAACGTGCTCCACGTCGCGCACGCGAGTCGCGAGCGTACTTTGAAATTCAGCCGCCTCTCTGCGAATTCCGTGTCACTGCGTTCGATCGTGACGACGACGATCGTTCGGTCAGAGCCAATGCTGTCGACGGGCTGTCGCCGGAATTTGACTGCGCTATTTACATCTTCTCTCTTTCTCTCTTTTTCTTCTGCTCTCTCTCTCTCTCTCTCTCTCCTCTCTCTCTCTCTCTCTTTCTTCTGCTCTCTCTCGTTCTCTCGCGGTTTCGCGGTGCATTTGGTCGTCGTTGCTGCAAGAACAGATTTCAACCTGTACACACGTTAGCACTGAGAACTGAAAGACCGGTAGAATCTCTGGTACCGATCCACAGGACGCGATCAACGAACACGTGAAAAACATGATGCGGGCTACTTTACACGCGCGTTAATGAGGTCAACTTTGGCGTATCGACGACGCGGAGAAGCGAACTCACCGGGACCCCGGCGATCTCGCACGGCGATCTCGTATCTGGTGGATGCGACGGCGCGGGATCGCTTCGCGGACCGTGACGACGGAACGCATGTCGGCCTGCAATACTTGTTGAATTCAAATATGGAGTTGATAATGATTACGAAACTCGAGAGCAAAAACGAAAATGGCCACGGCATCACTCGGCACACGGTATCAACATGGTGTACACACTCGTGTGGATGCACTCGTGGAAATTACATAAGAAAACGACGTGGCCCTTGGGCCGTGCAACGACGATGACGACGACGAGGAGACGAAACTCGCGAGGAGACGCGCGACGGAAATTCCACGGCGAGCCTCTGAGGCCGTCGCGTGCGAGTTTTCTTGCCAGTTCTTTAAATCGCGCGTCGCCACGCCGAGAAATATATCGAGAAAGAGGGAGAGGGAGAAAAAAGAGAGAGACAGAGAGAAAGAAAGAGAGAGAATGCGTGTGTATCGTCGCGACGACGGGCGAGACACGATTCTCCGATTTCAAGTCGCGACCGAGAGAATCGTCGTCTTCGTCTTCGTCGTCGCGCAGACGACAACTCGCGCCAACGGTGAAGCGGTCGCGCGGCCGTGCGCGTCGCGTCGCGTCGACTTAAATTAAACGCAACAACATCTTGCACCTCCTGCTTGCGTTTCTCGCCGCCACTCGCGTGTTTCGCGTCCGCGGATCTCTCTTGCTCGCGAGATACGCGCGTTCGTCCACAGGACCGACGCGATTCGCGTGCTACGCACGCACGGCGACCGCGGGGAACTCACGTATTTCGCCGGACAGACGGTAGTCTCCGTTAGTTTTCTAAAGACAGGCATCGCAGGCACACTCTACACAACATCCAGCTGATTGAGACGCCATATTTTGACGTCATCACGTGCTCGTCGGAGGAATATACTCCACGCGTGAATGTACGCGCGCGATTAATCGCGCGATACACTCGGTGGCTCGAGTCTCGACTCGTTCTCGAATTACAAACGAACGCGCGCGAGTTCTCACGCCGCTGTGTGTTTCGCTCCTGAGTTTTTGGAAGTTTTCGTGTTTTCTCTTTCGTGCCTCGCGACTTCCCTCTGCGGTCCATCATTCGTCAATTCATTATTCTCACTGTTCTCACTGTTCAATTAGTTCGACCGGACGGCTGGTTTCTAAACCGATGAAATAGTTCCGCGAGACGTCGAAGGTACATTTTTGCATTTTACACACGGATTTCGTTCGCTCTTTGAAAAAGGAAGATTAAGCACAATTTTCCCTAGCGGTATTGCATATGTAGAAGATGAAGGAACGAATGTTGATGAATATCGCGAAGAAATAAAGCATCGAGCGGCGCGATCTATTCTGAGAAATCAAACTTTATTTTTAGTCTTTCATCGTTATATTGTAAATTACAGGACATCGACAGGGATAACAATTTGCACTCCTCTTCTAAGAGGATTTACATGGTTACGTTGCGCATATTTCCGTCGCAATCGTGCGCATGCGAGAGTCTTCAAATGCTTCTTATCGGAATTCACAATCGTCACAGCCACGGGCAAACTATATCTTCACAGACTATCCGGTTCTAGAACCTGCTATAATCATTATTGTTATTGGTACATTCTATGTACAAACATTAATGTACAATCATAACACGTGTCGCCACACACTATGTACACAATATCGCTCGTAGCCAACATAGATTTGTGATAATACGACTTTTCGTAGAATTCTCTGCTATTAATAATCTTACATATTTAATAAGGTCGTGTCTTACACATCTCATAAAAAATCGTTACCGAAAGTATAATTTACATACTCGACACGCTACGGGAAGCTCCTTTGCGAGCGACGCAGTAACTGCTATTATGGCACAATCATACATCCCTGTACAATTATACATTGAAAACTGTTATTCGTGTCATATAGAATCTTATGTATACGCTCGGAGTCACTCCTCAAGCTTTTCAAGCACAAACTGAAATCAGCCTTGGGTATGTTTAAAAACATATTAGCACCAAAGCTTCTACAACTAGTCGACGTTCGTAGAATTTTTATTCAATATTAAAAATAAATTCAATATTGATAATAAATGTAAGATGTATATAAATGTTTATTCTTCAGATTTCCGTGTTGTGACCTCAATATTGAACTAATTCAATGTATACTTATATAGTATAGTAGATTCTCGGATATTTATTTCATATTTGAAAGTAAACAGTAACGTGTTAAATCAAGTTTTCGAACATGGACACAAACTATAGTGACAACTATAGCTGTGTAATACTTGTCGCGACTACGTCTCAATTATATTCAGGCCTGGTCTACAATACGTGTCGTAAGTTGTAAACCGTAAGAATTAGCGAATCACAGTCGATTATTACAAAAATAATCGGCTATAATTGGTCAGTTCTTATGGCTTACAGCTTACAACACCTATTATAGACCAGGCCTACGTGTTCTATTCTTTGTTGTCGTACGTTAAGGCATATCTCGGCTGCAATAAGTGCTTCGCACTGAGTATTCCACATCGATAAAATTAAAAACACCAGAGTTAGAAAAATAAGGAAGTTCAATATTCTTTATCGTATTGCTTAAAAAATGTTTTCGAAAATTTTATGGCTGACCGTAAGATAGTCTCCGATAAATCTAAGTTTATGAAAGAATAAAGTGTGATATCAAGTATTCTAATACTTCCTGTATATCTTATAAAAACAATCGTGTCGAAAGAAACATTGATATTCACTTCACTCCGCAAATCCGAAAAAGAAACAACTCTGACATGTGTCGCTGCATGCGGGTCATTTTGCAAACTCACTGGTAGTAAAAAGTATTCATCTTTGTACAATTGTGAAATTGTCGAAAAACTTTACTTTCTGCTCGATTAATTTTAAACGCAAGCGTCGCACACTCTCACTGGATTGTCCCATCCCCTATGAGGTACCGGCTTACGATGCGGTGAACAGTCCTGACATACTCCACGTCCGCAATCTCTGCAGTGATGTAGAGACAGCTTGTCGGAAAATTTTTTAGTGCAGAGGTAACAGTGCACAATCTCTGAGTCTGGTATCCAATAGGATGGTCGAATGGAATCCTTTATCAATGCTACATAGATGAAAAGCATCGAGATTAAATTGATCTATTTGCATTGCCGATATTAGAATTATGTCAACTTTTTTAAATGTATTGACACATATGTCGTTGACAAGGAAGTCGTTCGTAACATGTATAAATTTCAAAATATATCCACTTAGTCTAATGGGAAAACTTATTTTTTGATGGAATTTTCCCATTGGGCAAGACAAATACATTTTAAAATTTACGCAATAAAATTCTTTCTGTCCACAACTGTACATTTAAAAGAAAAATATGTTCAGGTTTGCTCTATTAATAATATCGACAAAATATAATAAGTAAATATTATTGCAAATAAATGTTTAACATGAGATTCTACAAAAGAAAGAAAAATTCTGTCATATGACTGTTAACAGACGTTATATGTGTGTCACTTTAACTGTCAAATCAGTTTCCTTTGATTTGAATAAATTCACCCCGCTCGAGGTTAAAATTTTAAATTCCTTTTTCATACTTACTTTTGGGGTAGTTAAAGACACTACCCACGACGTTAAATGTCGACATCACGTGCTCGGTCATTTTTCGAATACTAATGTCTTCAGTAGTCTCGATAGATTCGTCGCTGGAGTGACTCGTTTCCTTTTCGTAGCACTTGTCACAGACCCGCACGGGAGTATGCCAGTTTCTGCTGGGTACACTTTTCGTCTTTGACGAGCATTGCGCGCAAAAGCCTTCTCCACAATCTCTGCAGTGGTGCTTGGTATCTATCAAGCTGAATGGAGTTTTGCAGTTGTGACAATGTTTTATCTCATTGTTCGATCGCCAATAAGAAGGCGCCACCTGATCCGCAACCCAAGCAGTTAACGCTTTCGTAGGTTGCAAGGAAACATTCGTGACAGCCTCGGTGATGTAAGAGACACCGTCGATCACCCGTTGCGCGGTATTATTAGATGACATGGCATGATTCGACTGAAAGAACAAAACTAATAAGTATGCGATACTGCCTTGGAAAAGAAGAAAAATAAATCTCGTAAATAAGAGAAGAAACATTCGTTTCTTTCGAATATTTACCGTACTCCAAACATGCGTGATTTTCTTGCGTATCGCGACGTCCTCCGGATTTCGATTTCCGTACCAATACTGTCTGCTCCTGTATATTTCTCCACAATTGGGACATTCTATAGTGTATCCTGACCAAGCACTCATAGCTAAACTATACCAGCTCTCTTCCTCTTGCTCTGTCTTATTCACCTCTACTTCGTTTCCGTTCTTATAACATTTTCTGCATATGTACACAATGTTTTCGAATTGTCGCTGGTATCGACACCTGTTGCAACGAACATTGCTACTATTAATATGGCAATTCGTAAAAAAAGAAGGATATTATTACATATATTGCTTCAATGTGATATGTTAGAAGACAATCCATATATCCGGATAAAACTAACCTGGCGGTAATACTGTGTGGTTTCCCTTCGCGAAGATGTCCCACACTGTTCTCACACCTATTTCCACAACTTAGACATTTAATAGGACAAGTGAAGTATTGATTTGGGAATAAAATATTGGTGGAACTTTCCGTTTCGCCAGAGAATTTTCTATTCAACATCTTGAGTGCGTTGTACACTAATTGTGGTTTCCTGGCTAAACGAACCATCGTGTTGCTCACTTCGGCCTTAATCGCAGATCTCAGTTGCTTGTAATCTGTCGCATTATTCATTGTCTGCAGACCGACGTATTTAATAGAGCTAAAAGCTTTGATCTCGAGCTTCATCTGCTGAAATCTGGCCTTCAAAATATTCTCTGCACTGTCTGGTTCACCTAACAGAACAATCAAAGTTAACATACTTATATCATGGATGTAGCTTGTTTACAACTAAATTTTCAGTTTGAGATTATTGTCATTCGAAAAGAAAATGGTGATATGTACTGTTAGTCAATGGTATGGTATGCCTAGTTTCATGTAACACAATGATACTTGGACCAAGTCTGCTTGTAAGAAACGATGTCAAATTTATTGTATCTTCTTCCTGTCCTACCGCCTGTAAGGCAGCTTTGAAGTGATGACAATAAGCATGTGATGCAGTACCCAGGAATGTAAACAAATCCCTGTTCAATCTTTCAGACTGAATTCGGTAGATTACAATGTCAGACACAGCAAGTACCTTGAGTAATAACCTCATACGCTCATTTTCATAATTTGTAACACCTAGATCAACAACCAAACTTAATAAACTTACCAAGAAAAGCTTTTTCTATGACAAAAAATAATATAAAATAATACCTTGTAAACCTTCTGTATCTAAGCAAATAACATTCAGTTCAGGATCAAATGCTGCCCAAACACCCAACGTGCAGCAATCCTGTTCATTTGATGTCTTAAATATCTCTTTGCCCATAAAGAATGTTTTATTCATTGTATAGCTCTTTCCATCGCCAGTGTTTCCAAATATTGAAACAACTTTCACTTTAACATCTTTGTCAGTGCAATTTAATTTCTGTAGAAATTCTTTGACATCAGAAACCATCAGATTTTCTTGTGCATCCAATAATAAGAAACTTTTCTTAATATTCTTATTGTTATTATTCTTATTATTATTAAGACCCTTTGTGCAAGAGTCATCCATTTCAGAATATTTTATATAGGATTTTGGACATGAGTCGCTGGTTGAATCAATATCAAGAATCATACTGTTTAAACTCTCCATGATAGCAGGATCTGTCGGTCCTATGTTACAGGGTTTCCAGGATGTACTCATAGTGCGTGTATATAAACAAGCTAACCCTTTCCTAAAAATTAATTCAATTTTTAAACTGTTTAATTGTATTGTTTAATGTATCGTTATATTTTTACTTTCACAACATCATTACGGTAAATATAACTAATTAACATCAAATATTGGCATATGATTCATCGAAATGCACGCGCGCTCAACTGCGTAAATACGGGATGTGACATAAACAAATTGCTATTTCACCTGTTCGACAAATTTGATAATATGAAGAACTGCGATCACGATAGTAACCGAGGAGTAACGTATGCTTGAACAACTATAACCTGTCCGACGATGTCAAAAGATTTTGAGATTCGCCGCAAATTTTAACCGTGACTAGTAAAAATTTCGCGTGCGATCACATCGCCATTACAGAATTTGTGTATACATGACTAAACTGCCGGTAATGTTAACGATTTGGACTTTTCTAACATTGGTTGCTTGACAAGCTTGCGGCAATAACATGTTTACGCCCACAGTGGATTTCGAAACTCGAAGATCGGGCCATAAGTTGTGTATGTTCATCGCTGCCACCGTATATAATAAGCGTGATATTTTTTTCAGAAAAATGATATGAAACACATCACTGCACAAAACACACGACATATACTGTAGTTTATACACAGGGTGTCGTAAAACTAACAAATACTTGTAATTTTTAATAGTTTTATAAGTAATTTTAACGAGAAGGTACAAAAAGAGACAATTCAATATATTTTACATGATAATTTATCATAAAACTTGTATCTTCATTATAATTCTTTAATATAAGTTTAAATCTAAAAAATCGAATTTCTGTGTTGATTTAATCTAATCAGGTTATTTCGCGAACTTAGTCACCATCACAAGATTAAGTTTGCTAGATATGTGAAGATCTTACTTATAATTTTGTGCTTTTGATCAACGAATAAAAGGCGCGAATGAAACATTAACTCTGTGTTCAGAAAATACTTCGTTCTTTCTCGAGAGACTTCCTGAACTGATGCACACTGCAACAATAAGTTAGAGTGAAGCAAACTATACTTGTCTCACTCTGATTTATTGCAACAATGTAAATTGCATCAATTTAAGTTCTTCAAAAAGCAACACGTGTAAGGTATTTGTACAACTGCTTAGTAAAAGTATCTACGATTGGATATTAATCGTAAATGCACTTGGCTTACCCAATAGGAGAATCTGTTTCCTAATGGAAGAATTCTCCCATTGGGCAAGATGGTTGCGCTTTAAATTCGCACAAAAAATCACGAGCAACTTTTTTGTCCATGACTGTACATTTCAGAACTCAAAGGATACGTTCGGGAAGATACTGGATCTGTTTTTTTTTTCTTTCGAAGAACTTTTGAACTATTGCACAATAAGTAATGCAATAAGTTAGAATGAGAGAAAATATATCTGTTTCACTTCAACTTATTGCACTAGTTTAGAAGTCTTCCGAAAAAGAACAGATTATTAGCACTATCAATGCAAACACTACCAAAACTGTCAGTAATGTCATTATAACGTTTGCGTAGCGCTACTATTTAATCCTGCAAACAATCTGTAGCGCTAAATATAGTGCTAATAATGTCTCCCCGAATGCATTCAAGTGCACGTGCGGTGTTATGCAAATGCAGCGAGAAAGAACAGATCAACAATTTTAGATATAGCAGTTGAGTATGAGCGGTATTTAAAATTGCGGATAGTACGTGGACAGACGGCTGAGTGTGACTTTCCAAATTTTATCATCAGGTTAGATCTATAATTCATGAACACCCAATATAACTTGAGTCGAGAGATCAAATCGAGCAAGAATCCAGAGTATCGATACTGATCGATCAGCGCAAGAGAGAAAGAGAGAGAGAAAGTGGTAACGATGTTTTTTCGTTTTGACTGCACTTTTCACACTTAAAACGAGTATGATGCTTGTTCATCCTTCGGCAGGAGGCAGACGGAAGATCATAAGGTACAGAGAGTGCAACTGGAAAAAGAGCAGACTCGACGAAATTATAAGTGATAATCAGCGCTAGCGAGTCACCAAGTTGTTAGGCGATCGAGCGAGGTTGACGGTGGTTGCTTTCGTTTCGCGAGTCGTCGCACATAATTTTACATAGCATTTCGCGGTACCGTCGCTCCTCGATTTCGTTCGTAAAGGAACGTACACATCGTTATGAACCAATAAAATTCTCACGAGCTTGATTAACACGCGCGGCATGTCGCCGTCATCGAGAGATAACCAGTCCCGGCGGTTCTCCGAGATATGCTTCCTGGATTCGTGTCCGTGGCAGTGACCACCCCAACGAAACTGCCGCATTCACCAGTGCTGAATAATCGAAAGATGGAGAACAACCCAGGCGAACAACACGCGATCAAAGTAAACGGAAATGGTACGTTATCAAACGATTGTTAGCTTTTGTTTAGATTTTCATCATCGTAGCCAGTGGTATTTACTTCTGTGCCAAAAAATTACTCTTTTTTTTTTTTTCCCATTGAGAAAGTATCTATTATGTTTCAGAGGATCTACAGACAAAGATTCATAGACTGGAGTCGGAGAATGTTAAGATGCGAGAAGAGTTCAATGTACAAAGGGCTAAGATGAAAGAGTTATTCCTTCAAAAGGAAGGTAATTACTTCATAGAAGTTGTGAATTGGTTCTCATAATTTTTTTTGGCTGTTGTACCAAATGGAATATTGTAATTAATAAATATTACAGAGGAATTGAAACGTAGACTAGAAGAAAATATGGGTCTGCAGAAAGAAAATTTAAAACTGAGGAATGAACTGGATGAAGCTAAGAGTCAACTAGTCGTAGCAGATCTCAAAATACAAAATGATATATTGATGGAAAAGAGGAAAGCTCAGGAAGAAATAGCATCATTGCAACAAGTTATACATGAAACAGTAGAGGAATCTTCTTGCTCAAGGAAACATCTTGTCAGCGAAGTGTCTAAACTACAATTAGCTCTTTCCAAACTTCAAGAAGAAAATGCATTACTAAAAACACAATTACCACGTGACCCACCAACAGATGGGCCCCAAATTTCATTATCTACAGTAACTAAAACTTTAGCTAGAAAAGTGGTTTCACAATTAGGTGCAGATTCTTTATCCTTAGGTCCTGATAATTTAGAAGAAAGCATGCGGAAGGTAAAAAAATATGTACGTACACCTAAAACTGCATGAAGTATTTAACTTTCTATATGTATAATCATATTGATATACATTGTGTATAACAAAATACTAACAATTCTCTATGTCAAAAAGACTATCACTTGCTTTCTAAGAATAGAAGTACTTGTGGTATTTATCATAAAAAATATAGAAACTGTATCATTGAACAAATATAAAACTTATCTGACTTTACAGGCACAAGAGGATGCGGAAGTTTTGCGTTCGCTAGTTGTACCGCTTGAAGAGGAAATAAAAGCTTTAAAAGAAAAATTAAGATCGACCGACGATGAGCTACAAAAATGTAAAGAAATCCTATTACAGAGACGGCAACAGGAGCCGGGTTCGTTTGAGCCATCGTGTGATATGTGCGCGAATTACGAAGCACAATTAGTCAAAGTAGAAGCAACTGCCAAGGACTTGGAGAAACAGTTGTTGGATACTCAACGTATGCTACAGGCTCAAAGGGAGGATTTAGCTAAGGAAGTAGAATTTCGGAAAGAAATGGAAGAGAAGTGGAACGAGAAGAAAGAAGAGCATAAAATCAAAGTCGCGGAACTTACAGTTACCTCGCAAACGGCACAGCAAACTTTAGTTGAATTAAAAAAAGCTGTCGAACAATTCCAAAAAAATGCATCTGAAGAACTTTGTAAATTAACAAGAGGCAGAGAAGATGTACAAAGACACCTCACTGTGTAAGATAATTTCTACAACAGATTAATTGTTTCATCATGTTGTATTAAATTACGATATGCAAATAAGTTAAACATATCTTACGATACATATTGTTGATAAAGCTTTATTTAAAATTTAGTTACATGCTTACAGGCTACAGAAGGAAAATGAGAATCTTGTTGGTAAGCATAGCAAGCATTCACAACAGCTTCAAAGTGAAAGTATCAACATGCCAAATACTGTGGAGGAATTACACGTTAGTCTCTTAAAGATGCGCGAAGATTTAATTACCGCTAGAGTAGCTCAGGAAGTTGCGCAAGAGAAAGGGGAGACATTGCGTTACGAAGTTACACTTTTGAGAGAACAAATGGAACAAGAGAGCAGGGTCAAAGAACAAGATAATTCTGTGCTAAAGAACGAGATAAGTGGCTTGAGGTTGGGTCATTTGTTTAATCGTGCTAAAATTATTGATAATGTTCCCTTAACATTATAATCATTCATATAATATTCATATGCATAATACCTTTTTAATTATTTGTGTAGAGCACAATTAGACAAATATATCAGAGATCATCGCACACTCGCTGATCGAGAAGAGAAACTCGATCGACTGGAGAAGCGGCTACAGGAAATCCAGAAAGAGAAGAAGGATGCGGAATTAGCTATAAATGAACTACGGCAAAGAGTCACGAGTCTACAACAAGAGTTAGACACCAGTGAGGCAGTGCAGAAGGATTTCGTTAGATTGTCACAATCGTTACAGGCAAGAGAAATGATATCGATCTGAAATCGATCGAAAAATAAACAAGATTAAAAATATAATATGGTCACACACGGTACATGCGTGCATTTATATGTAATATTCTCCGGCCATTGCAGGTACAATTGGAAAGGATCAGACAGGCTGGTAGCGAAGTAAGGTGGCAACACGAAGAGGACGTTGAAGAATGTCCTAGTTGTCATACTACATTTTCAGTCACAAAGAAAAAGGTAATCTATAAAAGCATGAACTTTGAGCATTGTAAATGTTACCAATGTAATTGTAACTAAAGGCAAATTTAATATCATACAGGTACATTGTCGTCACTGTGGCCATATATTTTGTCAATCTTGCCTCTCACATGTCGTGAATAGTGGGCCGAAACAAAGACCATCTAGAGTCTGTGATGTTTGTCATACTTTATTAGTTCAAGATACTGCACCGTATTTCAGCCAAGAACCTCCACATACACCTGACTAAATGTTCTAAAGTTATGGAATTTTAATGCAATTCAGTGAGATGTGCGATATCAGTTTGGTAATTTAGTGGTTGCTGATTGGCATACCTCAACTGAGACGTACTGATTATAAATTTGATTAACGATGACTCTCCTTTGTTTGTAGAGAGAGTTAGAAACGTTGATGATAGTGTAAGAGAAAGAGAGAGAGAAAGAGGGATTTATATAGATAAGATTCCTATTACCTGAAAATTGGAGTGATACAGCAAATATCGTGTAAATATAAAGTTATGTATTATCTCTAATGGTTATTGTGTAATTTAAACAGATTAAAGCTTTTGAATGTATGTGAGTTATCCAAAAAAGATCGTATTTATATTATATTGACTTACACACATACATATATATATATTTTTTTTATCTTAATTGCTGATGTAACTGAGAATCGGCAGATTTTTGTTAAATGGAACTGCATAAATTTACTTACTACACACTTCAACAAGTTCTCTTGTACACGCTAGATCTTACTTCTACACTTATTTTATTTTTTAATGCATTGAATGGTAATAGTCGAGTTTGTAATTTCAATTGTTGATAAAATGCGAGAGAGAAATCGCGAGTTTACTATTATTTAGTCTTCTATGTTTATGAAAGTAACATTGGGTGCGTTCAGCGGAGAAAACCGCTCAGTGAGCGATTAGTGACTATTGGTCCTTACTGTTAGATCCTTACATTCCAATAACGTTGACGAATTACTCAACAGCTACGCAACTGTTGAGTGTCGTGAACGCACCCATTAAGTTCACAACAGGTGAGTGTTATCTTACCATAGTTACCACTATAGTCTTAATATGCATCTAATGTACCTAAAAGAATTCTTGAGATTTAAAAATAATAGGTATATTCCCACAGGTGTTCCCACAAATTTTAATAAAATTGGATAGGTATTTGTATAAATAACCACCGCTAATTGTATTTTTTATCTCTAGAGTTACTTGAAATATTTTTATCAATTTAAATACAATAATACATCGATAATTTAATCATTCGTTCTTTATTATATTTATATAGGAACAAAATGCTTGAGAAATACACAAATTATATTTATATAGCTTTGCAATTTATATATTATATCTTTAAATTTTTAGCTACCAAAATTTACAAAGTTTCAAAACAAACAAAATAATTTTTTATCATGTTACTCACAAAATTTTAAGGGCTTAAAAGCTAATTTTCTAATTACATCGTTATTAACATTCAGTATATATATACATATATATATATATATGTGTGTGTGTATATATATATGCTGATGTTTGTTTTACTTAGAAGATACACAATAAGCGATAACCAAAGAATTTATATAATTTTGAAATGAATAATGATAAATAAATTATAAATGCGTCCGGTAAGCGCGATCACAATAAAGAAAAATATTTAATCGAGACCTGAGAGGGGTAGTTTTCTCTTTCAAAATAAAATCCTCAACAAATAGTGCATCGTAAAATATAAAATATAGATACGAACAAAAACTAACAGATTGCAAAATTTATATTAAAATAAGATATATAAATAGAAAATATTTTAAAATATATTTTTTGATACGCGACGATTTTTAATCGAATACGAGGTGCGACCAGAATGCTCCAATTTCTCTCATAAGTATTAAACTCAAGCATTACCCCATATAACGTTCGTTCCGCAGCGTTATCAATGTGATCAAGATAAATAACGAACTTAAACTTAAATTTTTTAACATTAAAAGATAACAAATAAATAAGGCTAATTTGAGCGCAGATAATAATTCATAAGTACTGTATCAAACAGCACTCCAATAGAAATGTTCTTGTTCAAGCACTCGCGACGTATATAATTTCTATAATTCCTCTTTTTAGTCACTGTATGCTCCGGCTTGAAATAGCCTTACTTATTCGTAATCTTCATTTAAATCGAGTCTTTTATAGTGTCTTCACAATAATTGTGTCACTTGAATTCAATTATCAAGCTGATAAAAATAGCTAGTGATGCAAATGATATTATGTACGTATATTATAAAATATTGACGCGAGACAAACAATCATTAATCGTACGACCAGATCAGTGATGTATAAATTCCTAATGTGTTATACAATTTCTACTTTGGCCCAATGTTTTATGAACGTAACAGAGACCAACAGCTTGCTCGACGACATACAATGACGTAAGATTCGAATGACACACTTATTGGTATATCACATAGAAAAGAACAGAGTGAGTATGGCTGAGATTGGCTGTGGACGTTTCTGCAGATCGATGGGTGGATCTTCAGATAAAGCATGTTTATCTCTAAGTTCTTTCCAGTGTGTCAACGTATCTGTATATTCCAATATTTTCTCAAAATCGTCCAACTTACTATACACGTGCAGGAGCCCTCGATAATCGTATTCCAAACCACTATAACTCTTTCCGAACAATTTCAAACCTGCCGGGACAATTAATGATGAAATATCATGTACTCGTGTCGTAATTTTGCTCAAAGTACATATGTATACTCACTGATTGCAATACTACGATAATAAAGTTTCTCAGCGTCTCTATAACGATTCATATGGAAATTATATAACGAAGCTAAATGCCCTATACTCAAACCCACTTCGTAATCTTCGGGACCTAACAATTCTTCTTTAATACTAATAGCTTTCAGATGCATTGCTTCCGCTTCCTATATATAGCATACCATATATTGAATATATAATAAGATACAAAATTAAATAATGTATTCAGCGTAATATTACTCTGATTATTTGTAACGTATGCCGAAATACCTGAAACTTCCTCATACTTTGATACAAGCGTCCTAAATTTCCATAATGCTTCGCCGTTTGTACGTTTTTCTCGCCGAATGCAGTTTTCGCCAATTGCAAAGCGGACAAATGGAGGCACTCGGACTTGAGCAATAAGCTTTGCTCGGACAATGGTGTGGACGCGTTATCAATAGCGATTTCTTCGAGAATCAATGCCTTCACTCTTTTAGCACTCGCAAGCATTAGATGATTTGCAGGTAAAAGTTTTTCTATGATATCTATAGCTAGTCCAGCGTGATCGCTGTGAAACGAGCAATATGAGTGGATTAGTTCATCAAATTTATATTGGGATACGTACAATACGTGTTGATGTAATTACAATAGATTACCTTGCTTCGTCAAACTTGCCGGAACTATATTCATACACGTAGAGAGCATAAGCCAGATCTTCGTGTGCCAATGCAACGTGGAGATTAGTTTTGCCGAATATCGCTTTTCTAATGTCTAATGCAGTCTACAGCAAGAAGAGATATATTAGAATCCTTCCTATGAGAATGATTAGTTTGTGAAATTATAGATATTTCTGTTAGCAATACCTTGTAGACAGATACACTATTGATGATGCTATCATAGTTCAGTAAATAGAATCCATAATCAATGAGAACGTCACTGTACTTTGGGTGATCTGTATCAAACACTTCTTTCGCAAGGTATACTGCTTCTCTGATCAGTAAGCCAGCCTTTTGAAATTCCCGCTTCACTACGCACGATTTTGCCGCTTGTCTCAGAACATCGATAATGACTCGTGCAGGAAGTGACGGGTTTAAATATTGTAACGCTTCTATGCTCCATCTAAAATGGGAAGACATGGATGAAAGTATGAAGATACATAAATATCGTTGAGTACATACCTGTAAGCTTGATCATATTCACTGCGTATGAAGAATAGTACACTGAATTCTGCAAAAAGTGCAGCATGATTACTATCATAATATCCCACATTTTTTAATTGTTCTATCATTTCTACGGCAAGTTCATGAGTTTTTGCAGCTCCGCGGAAAGCACAGTATGCTGCTTGTGCATGTAATAGCCTAGAATGCATTATAATGGAAATTATATTAGTGATTATACCTATTATTACAGATACATATAGAAACACATACGAATATATTCTTACTTATGACAACAATCTAACGTTCTGCACCAATTCTGAGGGGTTTGATTATAGGCGATACACAAATTCCTGCAAGTTGACAATACTTGTTCACTTTCCACGTACCAACCAGCATCACTAAGAAATCCACCAAGTCTTAAACCTAGATTTATCATTTTATCTTGTTCAGCAGGATTCTCCCTCACACGGAAGCAGCATACATCATAATTGATTGCCAGTTCTTTTCCTACTTTTGTCCCATGATCCATTAAAGCCTTTATTTGGAAACAACAAATATATTCAAGATCAATCCTCAACATTAGATGAAAAAAGACAACAGGTAGAAATATAAAAAGAAGTCGGTGTTTCGTAAAGTCACCTGAAAGGTTTGCAAAAGATGTATTCGGCGATTGGTGACCTTGAGAATCTTGGAGAAAGTCTCCAAGTCGCTTAATTCCACCCCCAACAGGCATAATCTCTTCTCTCTGTATAACTGGAAAGAGAGACGAGACCCGACCATGTGAGAGACACACGGGACATTGTACGATGGGGAGCGGCGATCGTTACCGTTAGTAAGCGCGTCGATAACGACCGCAACTCGTTGTCGACGAACACGAGGGGATCGTGAAAGATTCGACGAGCCCCTCACGCATTGTGCATTGTCCTCCTGGACGGTCGAGCACGAGATGACTCATGACGAAAATGGTAATCGCGCGGTCGTTTCGCGACAAGACGCCGTCGAACTTCGACTCGTGAGCGCAAACGGCATGCAGATTAAGCGCGATAACGCTTACTCGCTTACAACACAAAAGATGGACTCGAGGAGAAGAGCCCGTTGTCGGAACAGAGTATCGTTCCCTCGGCGAAGGCAAAACAAATACAACTACATCACGCGCGATGACGGTGACAAGCGAGCGATGGGCCGCTCGCTGCCATGACGTTTCTGATGTTTACCTGATAGTAGATATCGAATAGCACGTTCTCGGGCAAGTAAGTGAGATACGCCTTGTAGCTTGAGAACTTGTCCGCCACTGCGGATACGCTCAGCTCGTACAGGCTCTTCGTGAAAAACACCCGTGACTCGCGTCCATCGGCCATTTTCGCGAGGCCTTTGATTAATCACCAATACAATCGCAATATTGTAGCTGTCATGTCTCTTTTCCTCTCTCTCTTGCCCCTCTCTCTCTCTACTACATACACGCGATATGCGCGTACGTACTTTGCACAATCGGAGGAACGAATCGAAGGTAGCGCGCCGCTGTTCTCGGACGCGGAACATACACAAAGTGCCATCTAGCTTGGCTCGTCGAACTCTTGGGGGATCTTCGCATTGATACTGAAAATCTGTGGATAATTTTCGCGCCTATATATTGAATGAATTTAGCATGCTCGTTGCTTTCAAAGATATATAGATTCAAATTATTGGGAAATATTTATTTGATGGAAACGATATGAGATAAATAAAATATTACATTGTAAAATTATCAATGGCGATTTGAATATACTGTGACTGATAAAATTTTACAGATTTCGCTTACATATACATGTTATAAACAGAGTAAATATCATTTGCTTCATCATGTTTCAATTTCACCTAGATAGATCTGTTTATCGCTTGATCCAGAACACACTAAAAATAATACAATTATTGTAAATATTAATTTACCAAAATACAGTAAAAAATATATAATTTGTTCTTGAGTGATATTCATATCTACATAGATATTTTTTTACACTAGCAGTGAAATACTCTCTAATACAATATGATATTACAATAATACTATTAAAAATTAAAACTATTAAAAATTAAAAAATAATACTATTAAAAAAATAATTTTATCAAAATTTTAAACGTACCTATAGGTTCCTTCGGATGGAAATCGATGTCATTCACAGATCCATTATGTCCCGGCAATTTGTACAAGATCCTACGACTCGTGGTATCCCAGATATAATGGAATCGATCTGACGATCCCGCCGATACTTTACTACCATCTGGTGACCATGCACATCTCAGAAGATTCTAATAAGCAATATTATTTTTATTGAATTAATCGTTCTGTTAACATTGATATTTTTTATCAACTATTCTTGATCTAAATATATAAATATAAATTGTGCAATATGAGGATTTCAGAAGATACCTTTTCAAAATTGTGTTGGTGTCCGGATAATATTTTCACGCAACGCTCAAAGGGTGCAAACGGCCTCACATCCCATATTTTCAATGTATTATCCATAGCATTAGAAAGCACATATGAACCATCTGGACTGAGACTCAATCCAGTAATAGTGTCAGTATGTCCCTTCAATTTGTAAAGCACTGCATTTTTTCTTAGATCCCATACCTTTATATCATTATCAATACCACCACTAATAACTTGTTCTGCTGTATCATTGAATGTCACTGCAGTCACCTAATTATATAAAATTTTAATTATATAAAATTTTGTACAATTATATTTTCTATCATTATACATGCATACATTTACCTGATATGTATTATTTAGTGTGTAACATTGACCACGTTTTCTTGGATCCCAGACACGAATTGTGCTGTCATCACTACCTGAACAAAGCAATGTCGGTCCTCTTCGTGCACCAGACACAGAATTCACAAACAGAGTATGGCCTTTCAACTTCTTGATACGTGTTCCAGCTACTATATCCCATAAACCTAGAGTCATATCTGTGCTAGCTGTATAAAGATGATTACCATCCGGACTAAAGTGTAACTCCATCACAGCTCCACTGTGTCCAGACATAACAGCAATGTTTTCACATTCTCCGTAAACATTCCAAATAACTAGAAGATAGAAGACAATTTTATTAGATAAGTCAAACCTGCATTTTAGTATTGCAGTATTAATTTAACTGTTTGTGTGAAACTTACAGATCTGTCGATCGAATCCTGTTGATGCAAGATATTGTCCTTCTGGATGAAATTCAAGGGAAAATATATCTCCTTGATGTCCTTCGAGCAACATTATCATTGCCATTAAGGAGGATGTTCGTGGTGGACCCTTTAATATTTAATCATACGTATATATTATAGTTTCTGAGAAATATAAATTTTTAAAGCAAAAAGAAATTTGTTTTGGAGGTTATACTTACACTTTGCACAACTGCCTTTTCTCTGCTACTGAATACGACCTCATTTTTCGTCCTTTTTGAAGCTGGAACTAGCGCTAAAATATCATCTCCTTTTCTCTTATCCAAGATTGGCATATTTAATGATATTACTGTAAATTTAAACACAAAACATTCATATCACATTCAATAATCAACTTCGTCAACACTGGTTTATTTCGCGTCGTTTAACATCAAAGCGGTGACATCTTTCGTACGATAGTTCTGAAGTTTCGCAAAGTTAATTACAGATGTCACCGCTTTAGCGAAGTCGTGCGTAATACGCCATTTTGAATTGCCTTCACTTTAGAAACGACATCGAACCACAGAATTTCCACAGAAATCAGGTTTCAATCATGAAGACTCTAATGGTGAGTCGATTTTTTTAGTTTTACAAAACTTTAGTTATATCCGTTATTTTTAATAATGTCCTCGTCTCTCTTATTCTCTCGGGTAATGTATAAAAAATGAAAAAAAGTAATGCAGGAACCATCATATATCTTGGTTATTATTTCCTCCAGTGACATATATAATTCAATGAGGCGCTTCTCACTTTTTTCACGGTACGAAAAAAAAGAATGAAATTTTATGAATGGTTTTAGTTCTTTTTATTGCAATATATTATAGACGTCATTGTATGTACGTTCGATAAATACATCAAGTAAAAGGTCTTATTTGACAAGTTTTCTTCCTCTTTTCCTCCTCTTCTTCTTCAGACTGTTAAAGCGCGTTATGATAACGTACATTATATACGATCATATAATATATATATGTCGCGGAGTGTCATTTTTACCGCCAACCATAACACGAATTTCATTATCATTAGATACTCTTATCGTCTTTTCTCTCTCTCTCTCTCTCTCTCTCACTCTTCCTTTCTCTCGTTCTCTTTCTCTCTCTCCCTTTCTCTCACCTAAGGATTAAATATTGTACAAAATGAAGATCATAAATCGAGATAGAACTATATATGTGCGTACGCTGGATCGCGATAGTTTGCGCATCCCACTCTTGTTTTTGTTCCGCAACTCTTTTCATTATTACGTTCGGGAACATGTTTTCCCTCTTGCTATGCGCTACGACGCATTTTACAGGCGTTCAACGAAACGACAGAAACGAAAGAGAGCAATCAGTGGGTTTACAAAATTCGCCTAAAATTATAATCGCCGTTATCATCATTTGTCGCGCTTGTATTTTTTTTCCATTTTTTCCCCTTTTTTCGTACACGTTTTCTCGGCTACGTTTCTATCGCTTTATGCAAAAAGTAAGCTCTTGCCTTGAAAAAAAAATGAAGTTGCGCGAGTGCAATTACAAAATTGCGCGAATTATCGCAATGGAGTGTTGCTGCTCTTTGTGTGTATGTCCCGGCGATGGACAAAGTGCTCTGGAAATCCGCTCTCTCGGCTCGCTCGGCAAATCTAATGATTGATTCTTTCACGAAGAATGCAACGGAAAAATGTGTTCGTCTCATCGGTCGCTTTCGCATGCTCGTTAACTGAGTGGTCGCGAATGAAATATCTGTTCGAGTTGGCTCGTAACGAGACTCGAAAACGAATTCGATCATCCATTTACAGAGCCTCGAAGCATATTTACATAAATTCCTCGTTCGTCGCCGTTACTCCGGTGTATACTACATTACATTAATACAATTCGCGAGAGACGAACATGACAATATCCGGAGCACTCTGTGTACACACAAGTCGCGCGAAATCTCCCGGATAGCGGTGTCTCTCGACGTAACGAATTCTCTTCTCAATGAGTGCGAACAGCGAATTCGCACGAAGTCGTCGCGAACGGTGAGTGATCGCGCCGGGAAAAACGACGGAGCGCGAGTTCCGTCGATCCTCCGAGGAGACGAATCATCCGCACCGGCGCTGCACTCTCGCACAAACTATTCAATTACAGCAACGTACGCCTCGGGGAAAATACAGCAAAGTACGTACATACGCACGTCGTGCCGTACCTCGTCTCGGAACTTATGGCAAAATGATAAACATACACCGACCCCTGTGTCTCTTAAAAATCCTGTGAAAAATATCAACTCCCTCTCTCGCGTTCACACTTTTGTCATACAATATTACATCGTATCCTTATACTTAGATAATATTAAATAAGTTTGCAATTATCTCTTGTCTCTCCCGTTTCCTCTCTTTCTCGTATAAGTGATTTCTTGCATGTGGCTGTGATATGTGTGTGTGTGTGTGTGTGTGTGTGTGTGTGTGTGTGTGTGTGTGTGTGTGTGTGTGTGTGTGTGTGTGTGTGTGTACGTGTATGTGAAAGCGCGCGCGCACGCTCGCGTTGGTATTTACATGCGCATACTCGGGATATCTCACACAAAGCGACTCGACCGTGTGCCGCGGAAGAGCTAATTAACGAACGAGGGTAAGCGCGCTTCTCCGTGCGGCCTTTGAAGGGATCGGTTCAATGGCGCATTGAAAATTCTTCGAGTCATTAAGGTACAAATCGTCTCAACTGCAACTTCTCTCTCGGAGGGTCGCGATTTGCACGTTGTCCTCTCGCAATGTTTCCTATTGTCTATTGTCGAGTACGTCCTTAAGACACACAGTCGCATTATTTCGCGTGAGATACATCACATACACATGGTCACATTGAAATGTTCTCAACTATCGCAACCTCTTCGAATCTTGTTGAATCTTCCGGCCAAGTCGGAGTCGATCAAGGCCGTAACGATAATTAGACAAGAATCTCACTTTGCTTTTTTCGCAACAAGCTTCTTTTTTTTTCCTTTAAATTATTCTTCGTATTTAATACTAGAGTATAACATTATATAAAGCACGGTACACGCGCGAGTGCGTGCGCCGCGCTCGGGCATTGTAATAATACCGAGCTAATTACGGTTAAGAGAAGTATTAAAAACAGCTATTGTCTTTTTCGGTTCAGTTCTTAGCTTTACTATCTATATATAAGGGGTAGCGATAGTCCTCTCCCTTTCTCTCCCTTTCTCTCTCTCTCTCTCTCTCTCTCTCTCTCTCTCTCTCTTCATCTTCATATGTTCTGTATATATCGCGTACATTTTTGAAACAACATCTAACAAGTGATCCGTCGAAAGCTGACAGCGGATAACAGCCGAAACAACGTTTGCGACAACGCGAGGTGCACAATTTTTGTTTATCCAAGACGAGATCTTCCTTACTCATTCTTCTACGTTGATCGTAAACCAAATTAGACAAACAATCGAGTGCCGCGACTCGGGTGTACACGGTGCCAATATATACAATATTCAAACGTATATTAATTTTCTCTCTTCTCTCTCTCTCTCTCTTTCTCTCTCTCTTTCTTTCTCCCTCTTTCGTTCTCCTACTCAAAACTACGTGTCACACCGAGTGATGCACGCGCGCGCGCGCGCGTCTGTGAGCGTGAGGGTGTACGTTACAATACGTTATAGTCGATTTTTATTATTAATAATATACAAATAATGGAAGACATGGCAGCACCTAAAAGTGCCGGTCGAAAGATTCTTTTTATCTAACACGTTTATAGATTTTATTTTATTTTTATTTTTATATCTTTTTTTTCTGGTTACTTGGAATTAGCGTTTATTTGCATATATATATATCTCTCTCTCTCTCTCTCTCTCTTTCTCTCGCGCGACGTTACGCGTCTTTAGCGTATCTGTTCGTGCGGCGTACTGAGCCCCGCAGGTACTTTTTCTTCGCCTTTACACGATAGACATTCCTCGAAAACGCTGCTCGATCGAGACAGATCGCGACGAGGTAGTGATCGGTGGCTGATACACCAGACGAAAGAACAAACGAGGTCTAGACGAAGTGGGAACGAAAGAAGACGAAAAAATGAAATCAGGCGTTTGTTTCACGGATTACAGTTTCACCGCGGACTGTCTCGATGCAAACGTACAACTGGGCAGGTGTAACTACTTCAGTGTGTAGAAATATGTAACTACTTTAAGAAATGTCCATTCGCGATGTCCAGTAGGCCGCACGAGTGAGTTTGTGCCATTGGAGCGGCAATTGGATCTCATTGGATCACGCCAATAAAGGGGTCTTTCTCTCTTTCTCTTTCTCTCTCTCTCTCTCTCTCTCTCCCTCCCTCTCTCCTCTTCTTCCCTAAACGATTCGTTTTTCCCCGACCTCGCCGCGAAAGCGGCGTCCATATAACTTCGCTGCGATCCAAGCCTCGCAACACTCCGCGGGCGCGCCGCGATACGCACACGCAACGTTCTCTTTACAAACGTAACATTACCTACTTAAATCGAACGAATATCCAACTAGCTCAACAAACATAGTTTCTTTAGTCCCGTCGCGTTCGCCTCGTAATCCGTGATCACAATCGGGATGACATTTCGGTGGCGATGGCTATCGGGCTCTGTTACTCCTCTCGGTTTTTCCTCCCGCGAATGCGACTCCACGTATCACCCTCTCGCCCCTCTCGTTCACAAAGGACTATCGTTCCACTCGGGATTTGTGCCGACGTTGAATAATTCGTGGATACGAGAGCGAATGCGTCAGCTTGAGAGACAAAAAGGCGAATCACAGAGGGGCATATATCATCGCGAATAATGCGCCGAGTTCTGAACTAATTCAACCAATCCAAGTAGATGAAACGGGAGATTAAAGCACGGTTTCGATTATCCGTTATCGCTCGCAATATCGCATACCTCGCGTGACGCAGAATTCCATTCGCGGGGGAAAAACGTCGGGTGGTTGTTACAATCCGCTGCCACAGCGTAAACCTGCAACAAGCCCATAGCCCCATCGCGTTCAACGCAATGCGAAGTACAGAATAATTCGCGACTACACGAAAGATCAAAGGTGGACTCGCTATTTAAAGTCGGGAACGGAATTCTCGGGGGAGGAATACCGCGGCGTATAATCTTAACGCGTTAAATTCCTTGAACGTTCCAGCGGCCGAGAGCTCGCGGAGAGCTCGGACGAAGGATTTTCATTGTTGCCGAGAACTCTCCGTCGCTTCTATACTTCTCGCATTCCTCCGCGGAGAATCGTCAGCTCGCGCTTTAAATAGGAGAGACGACCCCGAGACGCTTTGCGTTCGATGCGGTCGCGAATGATTCTGCGAGCCGACAGTCCGGCTTCCTCTGGTTTTCCCGATCATATCACAGCTTTCCTAAGGAAAATTCTTAAGGTCACTTGGACCGACATCTTTGATTGGGAAAACACGTTAGACGGGATCGATTCACAACCGATCCCGATGTGAGCAGGACCCCTGTCCTTGTTTCATATCTCATATTATAATCATAGCTATATAATACAATATAGAAAAAAGACAATATAGCGCAACCACCGGAGCTGCAGGAGCGTGTCGCGCGCTTCGATTCGCGCAAACGTCGTCGCGTGTCCTGTCGTGATCGATACCGACGCTTTATACGGAGAGGAGGGGGCTGCTGATTAGCCGTACACGCTAATCGGCTAATCGTGATTAGCGTGTGCGCGCGGAGCGCGCCCTTCTTACAACTAGCTGCGTTCACGCATCGATCGGTCCGTAACTTCACGATCGTAACTTCCTCTCTCCGTAAGGTTCTTCGCGGGAAACACCACGCGAAGAACTCGCGATGGTTCTCTTCCTCTCCACCCTTCTCTCCCTCTCTTTTTTTCCAGCTTTCTTCTTACGTTCTCACACGCGTTTTGAGTTCGAACGATAGTGAAATATTCAATTGGAATAAAATGCAAGACGCGTTTTGCTCCTTTCTCGTTTTCTCCGTGCTGTGTTCATGCCGTCGTCGCGTGCTGATACACGCGAGTGTATCAAACTACAATGTTCCTCTCGGACGTCGTGTCTTATTCTCGCTGAAGAGGGCTGACGTCGTCGACTCGCGCGCATTGTGCGTGCACGCGCGTTTCCCTTTAGCTCAAATGAGAAACAACGCACATTAGATTACGACTTGTCCCTTATCAATTACTTCGTTGCTCCAAGCGTCGCGTTCTCTATTCCTGTAAGTTCAGTTTTTTGATCGATCGTATATCGTGTAGTTTTCTCTCTATGCGATTCTGTGGAAGTACCGATGTATGCGTGGAGACACGTAGCAAAAATTTACAGGCTGAATTTCTCTATCTCTCTTGCTCTTTGTCTCTGTATCTCTCTTTCTCTGTCTCTGTCTTTCGCTCTCTCTCTCTCTCTCTCTCTCTCTCTCTCTCTCTCTCTCTCTCTCTCTCTCTCTCTCTCTCTCTCTCTCTCTCTCTCTCTCTCTCTCCCCCCCTCCCTCCCTCCCTCCCTCCCTCTCTCTCTCTCTCTCTCTCTCTCTCTCTCTCTCTCTCTCTCTCTCTCTCTCTCTCACATACACACATACACATACACACACGTAACGTAGTATTAGCTGCGGAAGAAGCAAGGGCACCGTATAATGTTACTCTTAACATTAGGTCGTAAAAATGAGGCTAGCTCGAGTCGCGCCTTACTTTACGAAACGGATTTACGCGTTTTCTGCTTTTTGTTTGTTTTTATCGTACAATTTCTTCCTTTTGTATCTTTTTTTTTCGCTATTGGAGCAACGTATATATACGTGTGCGTTTGTGACACGGATGGAAAATTTCTACGGCGCATCGATCGTCGGTGTTTTTCCTCTCCCAGGGCGCGAAAGCCACGCTAAAAGATAGAACTCTCGGTAGACCTCGTCCCCGCCGAGAATTTGATTTGAACGTTTTAGCGACACAGACGCGATCGGATCGTCGCGAGTGTCGGAGGCCACGTGGAATTACGCGTGACGCGGACATTTCTTTCTCGTCGCGACGTGACTTCCCGAAAAGCCCGTGCGATGCGCCGGCATTCTGAAATTTCGCAACTTCTTCCGGAAGAACGAACTCAGTTTCGGCAATCGTCCAAGATGGAGGTCGCGACAACGCGAAGCAGTCCTGATTGATGAAAAATACAGAATCTCCTGCCGAGATTGTACGACTGTGATTAACGCGACCGAAAGACGCGACGACATCGAGACGTCGTTGCTTGCTAGGCCAAGATTCGTCGTCGCGATTCCGTGGAATCCGAATCATAGTCGATCGCCCTCGAGGCGAAAGAGCAATTGATCGCGTGTAAAAACTCATCACTCGTAATGACAGAATTATGGTCGAGCTTGGTGTTATTACGTAACAACACGGATGATGATCCTAGTGGCTAATGGAGTATACATATCGAGCTGGATCGAGTTTGTTTGTAGATGTTCCTTCATTCGTGCCCGGTTCTTCGTTTGACCGTTTCGAAATGGACAGAATGACAGCCGTCAATTTTCCCGCGCGCACCGATTCGTCCGTGTGTAAACCGTCCGACGAGCAATCGCGATTAGCTCAGCGGTGACTCTTCTCACTTATTGTTCTGCTATTTTGATTATTTTTTGCACATTTGCGCTATCTCATATCGATCTATCTTTAAACGACATAATTTTCAGTCTACGCGTAGTACCTACGGGACGATAAAAATATTCAATCCGAATACGACGGGATCCGAAAAGGGGAAGACTGGTGAATTTTTCTCGTCTACGAAAGAGACGACAATCTCATTGGGTGTGTGGAGGGCGCAGGGAGGCAGATATATGAAGGATATCGCGCGTGATTCGCATTTGTACACTAGAATTATGGCTGGTCGAAGATCAAAACACGCTATTTGCTTCATTCTTGCGTTTACGTTCTCGTGTTGAACGATATTTCTGTTTCCGTACATGAACTGTACGCATACTTGGATAAAATTCTTGCCTAGAGGAAACACGAGAACAAAATGAGAATATGTCCCAGGGAGAAATGGGAAATTGAATAGACGTCGATTCGACATCTTTTAGACGTCATCGACGGCTAATCGATGTCTATTCGACTCTTATTTCTCCCTGAGGTACCTTTAGCGTTACTTAATACGTAATCGACGGAGTAACGATTCTGGTGGCAATGCGAATCTCCGCGGTATCGAACAGTGTTTGCGGAAGTGCTCAGAGTAACTAGCGCCGCGATGTCCTTTATCATGCTTCCAGATTTTGCGTTATTCGTCAGGCCATCGTGTTCAGTCGTGTTCAGATTTGAAATTAGGCCTGGCTAGGCACGTGAGCGCCGTTGCTGCAAAGCAACGAAAGCGTAACGAACGAAATTCAGAAGCGTGATAAGGTACGCTCCACCGGGCGCTCCCTCTCGTTCGCATTCTTTTGTACGTTGGACGCTCGGAGCATCAGAAAGAACTGAGGTGCAACAAATATATTGTCATTCAAAACAAACGAATACTACGTCTACGAATACTCTCGACCAAGAGGACACAAGTTGGCTAGAGAAGCCAGGGGAAGAAATGTGTTCGAGAATCGCGCAAAAATGAAACCTTCTCGATCAACTTCGGGAACGACGGACGTGGAAGCGCGCTCCCAGAGGGAGGAGACCGAGTCTCCTCAACGAGACTATTGTCTAAAGTCGGATTACCGCTCAACCGTCCGTCGATTGCCTCGCGCATCACTATGACCGCTAGCGTACCTCTCGACCGACTGTCACGCAAATCTCTAATAATCTCCCGTTTTCTCACGATCTCACGTCGTTATTACATTTCGCGCTTTATGGGGCACTTATTGCTTTGTCCGGTATCGGGGATAAATTTCGACGCACGTGCGAGACCGCACACACATAAATATTCAGGACTCTCGCGTAACAGAATTTATAATCGGATATGTAACATACGTAACATATATATAGAGAGATATGTATATATATATATAATATATATATATGTGTATATATATATATATGTATGTATATATTTTTCATCATTCTTACGTAGAATAATGTAATTCGTGAACCTAACACACTGTGGTCACGCACTCTCTCTCTCTCTCTCTCTCTCTCTCTCTCTCTCTCTCTCTCTCTCTCTCTCTCTCTCTCTCTCTCTCTCTCTCTCTCTCTCCCTCTCTCTCTCTCACTCGTCCTCTCTTACTTTCTGTTCCACGTCCTCCTCTTTATGTAACTGTTTTATAGAAACGACAACGCTAAATCTATTTTAAAAAGGTAATTTGTAAACGTGTGCGCAATTAATTCTGACAGAGTCACGCAAGCCGCACTGTAATGATGGATAAGAGAATCATAAGACTCAACGATGAGAAATTAAACATGCGGCACGTGCCGCCGCAGAATTTGATCTCCATTTCTTCAGGGTGATAGTTTATGCATTTCGGTGGCCTTCGCCGGTACAGGCGTTCTCTCCTCGCTGTACATGCACCGGGCTCCGTGAGAGCCTCGATGGGTTCGATACTGAGTTGCTTGCTGCCGCATGGGCACAAAGTATCGACGACCAACAGTATCAGATTTGTGTGACGGATCTTCTGGACACTGAAGGGTCTGCGGAGGACAAATACTCATTAATAAATTGTTCTTCGTATGCGGGAAAGGAACGTGAGACACCCTGAAACGAAAATTTCTCGCCTTGAATCAATATTCTTCTAAGAGTATTTTCATGTTACCGCTCCCTGTGAGAAAACAGTAGCCTAGGCACGATGATTTTCATCTCAGTACTGAAAAACTGTACTGAGAATTCAGAAATGCCGAATTCTAAATCCGTCAAGAGCCGTCAAATACTTTCAGAATGAATGACATATTCTTAAACTTAATGTCATTAAATCTAATTCAATCGAATTCGATGAGACATAATTTTGTTAAATTTAAGTTGCACGAATTCATTGAAATTTAATATTGACTGTTTTATAATTGAAGCGAAACGATGCAACACGAGCAAAATCATCTGAGACGACAATGATGATCGACAAGATAAAACTGCCGCAAATTACCTCTCGCATCCAGTTACGTGGCAATTGGTGAGTTTTCCCTTCAATGGATTGCTCTGGCCGCTAGTGTTGAGCCTTTCGGGCTGCAAGATGTACAAATCCGTTTTTTTCTCGCACGTGCGCAGCTTTTGTGGCGGATAATGCGCGGATGTAGCCCGAGTGGTCGGTGGCGAGGCGGGCGTCGCCGGCGCGATCGCCGGGAACCTCGCGAACACATTGTTCTCATCTGGAGTCACTTCGTCCGTCGAGTCGACGAACGTCTGCAGGTCGGAATCGCGCGACTCTTCGATATTGTTGAACACCGGTCCATCTACGAAAAAATGATGATTGCACATTTTTGTCTCGACACAATAGTACACGTTCGTGAGAATATACAAAAAAAATATATTAAATATATGTATAAATAAGTATGAGATAGATATAAATTACGTTAAATATAATTAAAATAGGAGAGAAAGAAACCAGAGGAAAGAAATATGAGCAGAAAAGCAGAGAAAGAAGAGAAGAAAAAAGAAAGAAATATTGGAGCGCTCTCATCCACATGATTCGTTATCTCGTGTATAAGAGGAGAATAAATGTACCTTCAAGTAAATGCATCTTTAACAAATGTAACTTTACCGTCCAAGTGCATCGCGTCGTTGGCGAACGCCGACACTGCCTGCCACAGATCTTGAAGATTGAGGCTTAAAGCCAAGGTGCAGAGGAATCTGCCGAATGTAGCTGCTGTCTTGATAACAGAGTCGGACAATGTCTGCGGCGCTGATGATTGATGAGACTCTTGAGGGCTACAAGTTCCTTGGTAATCAATGACGGTTACTTTTCTGAAAGTTCACCAGTCATCAGCGATTTGAGATATTGATTACTTTAAGGTATGCCGATAGTTCCATAGGCGCAAGTTTTCAGTCATTCTACCTGTATATTCTATCTTGCACCAAAGAGTCCATTATAGTCCCGTCTATTTCACCGAAGAATTTGCCGGTGTGCTCGTGACGCTCACTTATGATGATAAATCCGTTGTTATCCAGAATGTAACAATCCAGCTCCTCCGACGCGCAATTCTTCTTGCAGCCCGTCATTCCGGTGCACTGTAAAACGAGTGTACGATATGACGATAGTGCATTCATTGCTTAATAACAAGAAGAGGAGAATATATCTGCACGTCGACTTACCGTAGAAGTGATATTGACGAAGTGAGTCGCCAAGGACGAGTGCTGAAATTGCAAGCCCACAACCGCCACCGGAGTCTTGTGACTTTTGCCGAAGAACACCGCATGAGTGGCGGTGACAAGTGGGTCGGCCGTGTCGGCTGAAGGCAATAACAACGATCCTTACATCAGTGAAGAATATACTGACTGTATTTTCGAGAGATTTAAATTTTGCAATATGTAATGTCTGAATATTTTACCAAAGTTTTTTAATTGCAACCACATGTCGTAACTTATGCGCTTAATATTATAGATCTGCAGTGAACACAACTTTAATTTTGACCTCAATTTCACTTTAGGCAACTATCGCAGTACGCGCGATGAAGCACGGTTGTTCGCAGATGCTCACCTGCGTCGAACGGTACGCTGAAGACAAAGCTGTCCGGTTCTACGGAGTGCTGATCCACTGCGCGTTTGTACCACGACGAGTCCATGGCTCTCGCGTGCTTCTCCGCGAATCCCCTGCGTATAAATCGTTAGAGTGCCAATCGTATTTAATCGTCAAGATTTCGTCGATTCGCTACGCAAGTCGTGTGCATCATCTCCTATTCCGTGACTGTCGAAAACCGGCGATTGACGGTATCTTTTCTTTTGTTATTTTTTCTCTCTCTCAACACGGTTCTTAAGCGACATTTAAGCGATATCTAGCTTTGAAGAAAAGCGCTTTTTGTCTAGAGACGTAAATGAGCTCACGGTTCGTCGGTGCTGTCGCCGCTCTGCTGGTGCTCGTGCCAACGCAGAAGTCCGCTCCTGGTCGCGATGAAGCTCCTGGTGACGCCGAATCTACCCTTGCCCTGACTGTAATTGCAAAATCGGCCATGTAAAGTGTATTCTCGGCGTGAGATCAAGAGACACGTCACCGGTACGCAATTATTTGCATATCCAAAAGCCGAATTGCAACTCAAACTAATTGCTTGCGTGGTTCGTGGAATCGCAATGTCCGATCGACAGAGTTGGCAGCTTAAATGGCTGTTAAACGGGAGAACGGAGCACGTAGATGGGCAGGATAATGAAAGGCACGGGACAGCCGATATGTCGGTTATGTTTGCCGTACGACCTAAAGTTAGCACTATCGCGTTCGACGGTACACTCGGCGACTCACATCTACTCGGGAGAAGTCAATGACGCTTTATACAAAGGTACACAACGATATGTGTTTCGCATTGCTTTCAATATCATCGCGACGATAAACGCGTAACGGTAATTGCACTATATAGAGTATCTTATGCACGACGGTGGAATCGAAAAGAAGGTGATCTCCTTTGATGAAAGTGTGACTGCGAACGCTTCACAAGTGTTTTTTGCACTTGAAAGTAAGCGGACTCAGTTCCCGAAAAGAAAAAGTTCATTCCTTCCATTAAGATCCTTCCTCTTACCGGAAAGTAACGACTATAACTTCACAAGAGCGATCGTTAAGATGTCTTCATGCCTTCCACTTCGGGCTAATCGCATATAAAGAATAGGCGAATTAAAAGGAAACGATGAGCAGCCACTGTGCGAGAGATTGGATTTTCCGAAGTTTTCCGTCTCGATTTCCTTCGATTCGCCTATCTTTTTCTTTTTTTTTTACAGCGAGTCCTTTCCGAAAATGAAATGGCTATAGTCGACGGCTGCCAAGCATTTCGTTTTAGCTCGTGTACCGACTATAGTCGTGTACGAATCGAAGATTATCCGTCGTCATCTTTCGCTAATTCGAAACATCTGATGACTTTTATGCCTGATTCTAGCATTGTGAAATTTAGCTTTCGATATTTTCGACACATGTTCTTTTCTACATCGACAATTTTTATTCTCATCTCGGGAGAATCACCAATCTTCTCGATTATATCATCAATTTTAGCACAGTCTATATAGACACATATGCGAAAATTATCACCGGAACAGAAACGTAAAGCTTGGTACGTTTTCCGTGCTATAACACGCGAAGGTAAAGTCGCATCACGACAATAACGAGTTTTTAAACGGCAGGAAACAATCACCGAAAGCAACCGCGATTACACGCTCTTATTGTCCATCGGGAATATATACGACGTGTTGAACACAGTCCGAAACAGAATACGATAATTACAAAGTATGAATATTTTACCGTGCATTATCATTGACAAACGTGTAACGTGTTAGAGACAAATAATTGTGCATAATGGATTACCTGTGCAGTAGAGCCATCAGTATGGCAATAGGGCTAGCGGTGGAGACACACAATAATAAAATGTAATAAAAATATGCAATAAAAGATAATATTGTAAATGAAATGTTGGACGGTGGCGCATAGTTCAGTTCGCATATTATACAAAGAGTTAATGAGAGTTATTACGCGCTGATTCTTTCGCGACGTATGTTAGATGCGAAGAAGAAAACGCGCGTCTCAAAACGGCGAATCGTCGTCTTGTCGGAGAATCTTTTAGCCGTGTGTATACGCGACTTTTTTCTCCATATACACACGCACGTACGCGCCAACACACACACACACAAAGACCTCGCCAAGTTCTGCACAGAACTCCGAACCGTCGGTTCGGCGATCGTCAGAATAGTTCGTCAGTCCACCCCATTGACCGCTCTAGAACAATCGCCCTTCGCTCATCTTTAACGGAGGTCGGTTTCTTTTCTTTTTTCTCTTTTTTCTTTCTTTTCCTCTTTCTTTCCTCCTTCTTTTCTCTACACCTTGCAAAACGACTATGCAAAACAAGATCACGGGCAGTTGATATCAAGGCAGTGGCAGTTGAATAATTTACAAAATGACCGGCATTCTCTTATTCTCGGTGCGTGGTAAAAAACCGCGTGCTTGTGCATTGCAGTGCTCGATCGATTTGCAATAAGTGTGTGTGGGTGAGTGAAGACAGGCGTGCACTTGCCGTACTACCGACGCGCAACTTACTTTTGATTTTCTTCCTTGTGCATCGTATTGGCGCCCCTCTTATCGAATCCGTCCGTCACCTGGGCGTCCAACACCAAGGACTGCACTAATTTCTTATCGCCTGAAATACGACAATTGTTATGTTAATTCAAGTTCAAGTTCCGTATCTCGATACATGTCACTTGCGAAGAGCTTGAGATTGTCTAATTTATGCGAAAACATATGCAATCCGTTTTTTAATTGCAGTCAGGAAAGGTTACACGTGCTCGTTTCCCAAGCCTTTCGTTCATGAGAGTGGTTATTAAAGTGAGTGCACTCACAATAATAAGCATCTTTATCCGGCTTGCTCGCTTGCTTGTGATGCGAGCTGGGACTCCTTGGTCTCAAGGACATCCATTTCCACCCCGGTCTGCGCATCCGCGTTAAAAAATGCAGGATGCGTTCTTCCGGGGAGGAAAAGAACTTATCGGAAGCCGAACTGTACTCGCAGTAGACCCAATCAGGGTGCACCTTCCAATTGTTCCCTTTGAAGAACTCTGTTACTGCAATAGCATCAATAGTATGATTTCTTTTGTCGTCGTTTTAAATCATCGTAACACACAATGACGAATGAATGGTGACATGATGAATGGTAAACACAATTTACCATTTATGATAGCGTGCTTGATCTCCTTTTCAGCTCGCAATTCAAACATGCCGTAGCCTTCTGGCAAGGCTAGGCCCAAGGAGAATGGCGTGCCATCAATCGGCTTGTAAAAGTAATTGTGCCGTCGAATCGTGACTCTTTTCTGCAAATTAACAAATATTGGATGACAAAGCAGCAATTTAATCCCTGTAAAATACAATAAAGACTCTGCTTTATTTGCGCAATAATTTTCCCATATCACATCTTACCATATCGTCGTAATGCATTTTAATTGCAAAGTCCGTTTCTCCTTCCTTTTGATCGATCATGTCGTGCCTCAGCTGGGAAGAGAATAACATCGTTGAAATATTATTTCATGTATCACAACAAGAATAACACCGTGACGTAAAACTTACATCGAGCAAGATCGAGTTGTTCAACGGATGGGAAGGTCCATCGTATTCTGCGAGCTCGACTTCCGATAGATCTACACTTATATATGTAGGCTTTAATGTCTCCTCGTACTGCAAAATATACACGTTTTCTTATAAATTATCACTATTCGGACACGCATCATATTTCTCAATTAGCTCTTTCAAATTAAAAGAAAAATCGTTTGATTAGTAGTATTGCCTATAAATTCATTAATATATATTGAAATATAATCTAATAGTTCATCTTGCATATCCGACATATGTTTACCTCCATATTTCCGGGCTGCGTGAAATACATTCATGTAATTACTACGATGTCATGCTCTTATTCGTCCCTCAAACAGACAAATGATTTTATGCCTTGCAGTTTATGTTTGGCAAGATCTACGAGAAATGTCTGTGAAGTGTCAGTTACTTACAAGAGGCCGCAAGTCAGGATGATACAGAACTCTGCCATTATTGTCAACAATAAACGAATATCCATTAACTCCTAACTGCAATTCAAACGATGTATGTCAAGGTATTAATAACTGATACGAGAAACAGAAAATAATTTGTTGCTGGATCGGTTGCACCAATGTGCCTGGTTTAATTGATTAAATTTCCTACTTTCAGGGTTTCTCCAGAAAAAGAAGAGCGAGTGACCGAGCCAAGTTTATTCATTTCGCGTGAGCGGTGCAACCGAGCAACTAAATGGAAATAAATAAGCAGCGTTGTTCTGTACCTTGTAAGGCGGCACGAGTTTCTGAATCTCCTCAACAGGTACGTCAGTACCAACGATACCCAATAAATTGGCTGTTTTCACCTTAGAACGATAATACATAAAAACAGTGAAGTACAATTTATCTGTGTATTACTTCACATTTATAGCACCGGGATCGCGTTAAAGTCGGGCACGATCGAAAGCAAGCTGCATGTCTACTGTTCTCGATATAATTACCGTGTAATTCCGGCGATCTAAAATGGGGGCAGTCACAGATGTCATTAGTTGCCCATGATTTTCTCGACCGTACCTACTGCTCTGAAATTGTAAATCATCACCAGATGAAAATAACCGCGGATTTTTACGCGATGTCAGAATGCGGCTAATATCTCTACGATATTAATGTGCCCGCTATACGAAACGATCAATTAACGCGAATCATAAGCTAAATTAAATTTATATGAATAAGCAATCAACGTAAATCAAATTGCTTACCTTTCCGCCCACATAAGCGGGACTCCAATGAATCGGATGGTCATGTTGATAGAGCACCATAGGTCGCGCTAGGACTTTAACGTACTCAAAGACCTTGTTATGAATTTCTTCCGTGTCCGTTATCCTCGCGTAAAATCCTATGGGATTATCGATCGTTGAATAAAGTTAAAAAGATAGTTAAATAAAGAAAGAAAGAATAGTTTTATTCAATCAGACATGCGCGGACTGCCATAGGTAACAAGCAGTTATTTTAATTGTATTTGTACAATAGCATTTTTTTCATATATAATTATATACGATTGTATGACATGGTTATATAGAGACAAAATTCATATATCATTATACAGGATATGACTTTTTCTCAAGAATCGCAAGCTTTCAACGAAGCGACGTTACCTTTGTTGGTGCAGGCGGTGTTCCAGAGCTCCGGGCTCTTGTCGCCGCCGATGAGGTACGTGAAGATCCGAACGGGCATGTGAGGCCAGTTGTAGCGTTTTATCACTTCGGTGGGTGCGCCGTCGTTGTCGGATGTGATCAGCACGATAGCCTGATTGCACTGGCTGCCTTGACCGGTCCGATTGTACTTGTGGAGGATCTCGAAGGCGGTACTGAGTGCGGCAGAAATGTTGGTTGCGGACTCCTCGTGCTTCACGAAGCTCAACGCCACCTTCATCTCTTGGACGTTCTCCGGCGACGCCTGCACCAGACTGTCCTTGAAGCATTGCACGATCTCCTCCGCATTCTCGCCATATCGGTATATGTTCACGTAGTCGTCCGGCCCGAGGGTGTCCAGAATGACCCTGGTCGTGGCGATCGTAAGCCGTCGATTCTTGTCGGACGTGTAGGTCGCGCTATCTATCAGTATTGCTAGATCCTTCGGACTGTTCGCCGCGCCGATGAACCAATTCGACATCCTGAAGTCGTACACGTCGCGGACGGTCCGATGCGAGACGGAGGGTTTGGACGTTCTGAACGTACCCTCCATCGGCGGCCACGATATCGCTGTGATTATAAAACATCATCGCGTCTTAATTCGCTCGCCCGCTTCGAGAGCGGGAAAATCGCGCTAGCTCCGCACCGTCGCGAGGAGCGTTTCATATTTGCGAGATGCACGGCTTGACGAATACCTGGAAAACGACGCAGGAATCCCGTGGTCGCTCCGTAATATTGCCACGACAGCGTGGTATCGCTCTCGTAATTATTAACAAACAAGAGATCTAGATACTCGCTCCATTGAATACCCGAAGCGACGTCACGATCTAGAAGCAAAGCGCCGGTTCAGCTCGTCAGCCGAATAAGAACGATCAAGCAGTGATCGATGGATACGCAATCGCGAATCATCCGGGAGAGGCTTAAATTCGTACCGTTGTCTTTGATTCCGCTCGGCAGTAGCACGGCGGACAAGCTAACATTCACCGCCAAATGGTCGAAGTGACGATTGGCAGCGAGGAACATCTCCTGCGCGCCGGCGAAACCTTTCTCGTCGCTGACGAAGTTGTTAAGCCGATGCGAGGCATAATACTTGGGCGACACATTCCCTTCTCTTGGCGCCGACACCGCAGCTTGCTCGGCGCTCTCCACTAATCTCTGCGAACATCAATTACGTTACGTCTTGCGCATTCGCACCTCTACTTTAGCTGCTAAGCACAGTCGTCCGATTCGTTTAACATTCAACACGCCGACGCAACGTGCTGCAAGCGCGCGTCTGCACGCGAAAATAAACCCTTCGCCTCGCATTTATCTGCATTTATGATATGAATTCTCAATCAAATAAGATGATGGAGCTACAAACATCGAGTGCATCCCGATGATAGAATTTGTCTTGGAAATTGACGGCTAATGATGGCTGTATTATTGAAAATATCAAAAAAGGCCATTTGTTGCGATATTTAAAGAATCTTAATATTTGATACTAAACTTAGCAAATCGATAAATTTGCTCTACTAGAGTCATTTTGGACATTAGACTGGACTTGTTTATTCGCGTTACCGACCCGATTTGCGACGAGCGCGTCATTCTCGATAGCTTGCTGAATAATTCCGCAAATTTCAAAAAGAGTAATCCAGAATAATTGATAATGTACTGCTTATTTTTGCTGATTCTGAGACAATCTGCGACGCTCGTTCTTTGAACTCTTCGTGGTACACGTACATGACAAAGAAGCGTGAAATCCTAAAATTTGCTGAATAATATAGAATTGAAATGCCAAGAGAAAGAGATGAAAAACGCGAGAGCAATATGAATGATGTTGGCATACCATCACGGCGTTCATTTTAAAGTCCATCATGTTTTTCACCTCCATGGCCATATCTCGGACGACGACAAGACCGTCTTTCCTCATGACATCGGCATCCGCTTCGTGGTATTTCTAAGCAGGGAGCAGCAAAAATCGGTAGATAAACGATGTTATTTACTAAAAGTTCTACTTGTGATAAGATTTATTTATGTGATGGAATTATTAGATACACACGTACACACGTACACACACACACACACACACACGCACGCACGCACGCACGCGCGCGCGCGCGCACACACACACACACACACACACACGCACGCACGCACACACGCACGCACACACACACACACACATACACACACGAACGTACATATAAATATATTAAATATATTATCTTACTCTCTGTATCTCGCCCATTTTAGTTACTTGTTTACCGAACTCCCATAGATCCACGCCAAACTTTAAGGCCCAGTTTTTTACTCTGCAATAATTAATGACGACGTTATTATATTTCAGGGAAGCAAGAGACGAGGCCTCAGCGAGCGAAATTTCAAGTGAATGATCTATCAATGCTACTCGCTCATCTGTGTCATTATTATCTCATACTAATTAATAATGGAAAAAATAAACCGAGGATAGGAGAAGGGTATGTATAGCATGGCTTTATTGTATCCCTACTATCTCCACCTCATATTTCGTCAGGTAATTTTAAACAAACATTATGCATATCGTTCGAGCCATTGAAGTATAGCTCTAACGTCCCGCGTATCGAATCCTTCCACGCCTGAATCCTTTTCCATCCTTCTCCGTTGTCCCCTATTCTCCTCGTACACAGTCAATACCCGATTAGTGTCACGCGTTTCCTTATGCCGTCCACTCTCTACTGCGCTTCTTCTCACACCTTTCGCATAATCGCCTCTCTCTTTCTCTCTCTCTCCCTCTTTCTTTTCTCTCTCCCTCCCCAAGGCCAACGACGCATCTCTATCCCTTTCTGTCTTTGGACTTTTCCGTTTATACCCCTTTACTCTCATACCTTCCTCATTTTTCTACCCAACCCCTCGCCCCTTGGCTCCTCGCTTCCACCTCCCTCGCACTTCTCCAGACGTACCACGACCCCGCGTATTCGCCGCTTTTCTTCTCGCATCGCTCACACCCTCGACAACGTTTCTCGTTTCTCGTCTTTCTCTTTCTCTCACCCTCGCGAATCCACCCCTTCGCGCGTACTCCTTTATCCTCCTCCTCCTCCCACCCTACCTACCGCATGCTCGTTCTCGCCCTCACCCTCACCTACCCCCCTCGCGTCCTCGCGCTCCTTCTGCTACCTATCGAGTTTTGCTCGTCGAGCTTTATGCACCCCATCCGTCCGATCGTCCGTTCGCTCGCATATCCACCGCGCTACCGCCACCATCGCCATTGCCGCCGCCGTCGCCGCCATCCCTCCTTCCTTACTTCCATCCCCTGTCTCCCTTTTTCCCTCCCTCCCTCTCTTTTGCCCTCCTCACATCCCTCTCTTTCAGACTCCTCATGCGTCATCGATGTCCGACGAGGCACAGACCCACCGGATATTTTTCATGCCTTCGTCACACTTAATCGCTACAAGTCGCGTACGCGATGAACACACTTACTCATTATGAGGTATGTCCTCTTCCTGCTGGCGACTCGAGCCTATCCACAACAGAAACAGTACCCCGGAACGCAGCAGTCTGTCGACGGGCAGGAACATTATTTCCGACGGTTCTCAACAATTACTTCTCGAAATCCTCTCTCTGTTCCCGTCCCTTCCCCTTCCTCTTCCTCCTCCTCCTCCTCCTCCTCCTCCTCCTCCTCCTCCTTGTTCTCCCTTGCTCTCGGTTTCTCGCCGTTCTCGGCGGCACGGGGGTGAGTGTGGCCCGTGTCTTTCTCTCTCTCTCCCTCTCTCTCTTTCTCTTTCTCTCTCTGTCTCTCTCTCTGTCTCACCTCCCCGGATAATTTCGTGATTGGCGATCGATCGTCGAACGAGGACCAGCAAACCGGTCGTCTGGCTTAACGTTCAGGCGATTTAACGATCTTTGCGCATCGTCCATAGGTTGTGCACGTTTTTTACGCACCGCGCTCAGGCCTCCTCTCGTCGTCGTCGCGCACGTTCTTCCTCCGAGGCCTCCGATTCTCGATCTATCTAATCACTGATAGCAAATTGTAACTTGACGTATTACCCGTGCGTGTGGTATGTGTAGTATGTGTGGTATGTGTGTGTTGCATGTATATGTGTGTGTGTGTGTGTGTGTGTGTATGTGTATATGTAGATATGTACAAGTCGCAAAGGTCAGAGCAAATATCGTAGGCAACGCGCTTGAATGATCTAGCGACCCACGCACAGAGCGCCGTTATAGCCTCTTCTTCCTCCTCTTCCTCCGCCACCTCCTCTTCCTCTTCTCCTTCTTCTATTCTTTCTTCACCTCAGACGCTTTTCCCTCTTCGTGATGGCCCTTTCGCGAGTGGTCCTCGCTACAACGAGTCCGGCCAACTCGATCATTTCAACGGAAAGAGGAAGACGGCGTTCCGGGCTGCGTGCCGTTCCGGAACGTGTGTCCGAAATGTCACTGCCTTCTCCGGAGCCGAGCGCGACCACATGATTTCACCGCGCGAAACATAGACAGCATCCTCTCCCTCACGCGCACACCACCCCCTCAGTGCCGCTGCGACCGGACGACGCGATTTATTCGTACTATTCCGCGACGCGGCAGCCGCCGATTACCGCGTTGTCGCGCGATCTCGGTACGGTTCACGCCGTAACGCGCAGAGAACCAGAAAGAATGGAAGACGGGAGAACGCGATGGAGAGAGAAAGAGCGAGAGACGGAGAGCGAGATTGTGAGGTGGAGAGAGGGCGGATTGAGGATGAAAACGGCGAGAGGAGGACTGAGACTGAGGAATGAAAGAGAGGGAGAAAGAGAGAGGGAGGGGGAGAGGAGAGAGAGAGAAAAAGAAAGAACAAGAGAAACCGTAGAAGCGGCGGGAAAGGGGGTTACGAAGGAGGGAGGAGAAGGTGACGACGAGCGAGAAAGAGACCGAACGAGGGGTAGTAGTACGCGCGGGCGGAAAAGGTGGAAAAAGGTGCGCGTGGTGGTGGTGCGGGCGTGCGGACGAGGGAAAAACGCAGGCAGGCGGATAGAGAAAACGATCCTCGCTCTCGTGAGCGGCACGCGATACGACCGGAGCGAGTCCACTGCGCTCGGCACGGCTCTGCTCGCAGCGGTTACCACACGTACTCGCTCGTGGAAAATCATGCGAAGGTGGCTGGTGCGGCGGCGGTGGCGGAGGTGGCGGCGGCGGAGGTGGCGGCGGCGGAGGTGGTGGCGGCGGCGGAGGTGATGGCGGCGACGGCGGAGGTGGTGGTGGTGGTGGTGGTGGTGGTGGTGGTGGTGGTGGTGGCGGCGGCGGCGGCGGCAACGGCGTTACGTTACGTTACGTTACGTCGTGATCGCGTCGCCTCGCCTTGCGTCGCTATCTCCACCGCCTCCGCTGGTCGCCGGAGGCGGCTCAGCGCGCGCGCATTACTCTTACTACGTCTACGGCTACGATCAGCGGCGAGAGCTCGGAGTGGCGCGACGCCGACGCAGCGTTTCGGTAGTACGTTATTCCAGCGGGGGGTGTGAGCGTGTACTCTCCACCACCTCCGTGCTCTGCCCCTCTCTTTCCCTCCGGCAACGCCGAAGGGGATCGAAACGGGTAGGATGGCGAGGGTGTAGCGTCCATGGCAGCTACCGCGACGGCGATAGCGTTGGTAAATCGGCGGCGAACGATGGTGGCGAACAGTTATGGTAACATCGTCTTCGTCGTCGAGAAACCGCTCGAGACTTCCTCGAGGGTCCTTCCTCGCCGGTGTGGCTGATGAAGCTTGCGGAAAGGTCGCAAGGGTGGGCAGGGTGAGCTTCAATGTCGCGAGTCGCCAGCGCGCCAGAAGGGCGGGAGGTGGTTGATGGCGGTCGCCTATACAGAGAAGAGAGGAGAATGAGGGATGAAAGCGACGAAGAGGAGGAGGGGCCGGTGATACTAGTAGTAGTAGTAGTAGTAGTAGTAGTAGTAGTAGTAGTAGTAGTAGTGGATGAGAGAGGACGAGCGAAGAGGGAGGAACACGAGCGGCAGCCCGGCGCTATTCCACGGAGGGAAAGGCGCGACACAAGGGGCAAGAGGGAGGCAGACGGACCCGACCTTACGCCACGTTACGGGGGTGTAACGCGGCGCAAGCCCGGTATCATTGATTTAACATATATCTATATCTTACGTAAAGGCAGAGCTTTTCCAACCTACCTCTACCCTGCGCCTCGCCGCGAGGCGAGGTAATACATCGCGTTATACTTGTCTAAGCATGGCAGGAATAGCGTTATGCGCGAATTGTGTAATAAGATGGCGGTAGCTTGAGAGATCTCTCTTCATCGTCGGGATCGTTTCAGGACAAGGTCGTTGAGGATACGTCTACGTGCCGTCGACTCGGATGAAGTCGTTCGTTTAGATTTTCGTACTTGCGCTCTCTCTCTGTAAACGCGAAGGAAATGTTAGATAATGACGCGATAATTATCGTATGCGTATCGTTAATTCGTTGATCATTGAAATTCATTTTCTGAAGCGGATTTGTTTTTTATCGCGATAATATCTCCATTATGCGATGGAATGCCAAAAAAGATGTATACAAGATAGAGTACTGAAAAAATAGATCGCACTTTTTACTGCTTTGAATGATTACTGTATAAAAGAGAAAAAATAATTTATCCACATATAATATAGGATAGGTTTGTATGGTACGTCAAATCAGAAATTTACGTTAATGTTAATTTTGCACATGTGTCTGCGTAAATAATATTCGTCAGCAAAGTCACTTTAAAATCGGACATTGTATTATATGCAAATTTATCAAAACTTTCACTATATCGAACATTGTAATATGTCTGATTTATAAGATATAATTACGCAATATATAAAATAAGCAGGAGAAGCTTTTTATCAATCTGGTAGAGGAACATTAGGACACGATTGATTAAAAACGTTCAGTTATAGGAAGGATATGGATTTCATACTTAGGAGTCATTCGAAGCGGTAATGCAGACCTGGTCTATATCTTATTTATCTGCGTCGTCGAACTATAATAAACCAATTGCTGATACGGAGGCGACATTGCAATTTTTTTCAGTTCTAAGCAGCTGTAACGAACGACGATTGGTGTAAGTAGACTGCGAGTTTCTGTGAGCGCCTGAAAATTAAATATATGAGAATATATAGTATTTATTTATTTCAACTTTAAAAGAGTGAAAATTCGGTTTCGTTTATACAAATATTCCTTACACGTAACGCATTCCGCCACTTCTCAAACGTAATCCTACTTTACTCGATTTCTTCCGTAATAGCATCTGCTCGTACGACAATAGAAAACTTTATGTTGCATGCAGTATCACGCCTTTTTCTCTATCTCTCTCTTTTCCTCGACAAACGCGCAAAATATATTTCTACTTCGGATATTTATCCCCCGGTATTTAATATAATATACAAATCTATGGTATTTTATAATATATAGATAAACCATTTTTACACTTGCTAATTACATTCGTCAGTGGTACTCGGTACTTAAACTTCGTCAGCGCGGAAGAAAGCTACAAACGTAATGGAACGATCGGAATGCAAGAGAGATAGGGATTTTACACATATTATATGACACGCGTCGTATAATATGATATAAATTAGTGTTCTTCGCATACATATAGTGGGTAAAAGAAGCATTTGCATGCTTCATTTTGTTTTGGAATAGATTTACATCGAGAGAGAAAAATATCACTACACAGCTTCTACCAGAATATATCATTTTTATTGGTATTAATACGTTGAGAATAAGGTCACATTGTAGCAAATACCTTTTTTAACCACTATAAGACATCCAATCGCGAATTAAAGTGTTTCGTACGATGTTTAATGCGAGTTCTGCTATTCAAACAATACATATATTTTACAAAAAAAAAAAAAAAAAATAAAAAAAGGAAAAGTTCACAGAAATGTATATAGAACAATTCCTCATCTAAGTCCTTCTACCGCGTCTTTCTCGCAACTGATGATTCGTTAGTTGTGAGTTACATCCAGTTGTTAATGACGTCCAACGATTGATACCGGTATAATTTCCGGAATTGGAGTTTTGCGGACCGCCGAATATCCCGTTTCATTTGTTTAAAAATAAAAGAACAATTAACATAAAAATCACTAATACGTAATGGAAATCACGTGCAAATCACGTGTATGCGTGACATTCAACACTAATTCGGCAAGATCACACCGACATTAATCTTCGGTTACATCGCACGCGTTTACACACAGTTACCTCTTAGATCGCTCAATAGAATTTTGTGCGAATTGATAAAAATGTAAGAAACACTTAAATAGTATATCACATGTTTAATATATTTCACCAAGTGTCCGTTTAATATTTTCCAGCTTAATAATCTACTGTGTATATACGAGTCGCTCGCGCGGACTCGACTCGTCCGGTATCTGATACGTCCTACGCCTTTTCAAGCCTCTTATTTCTGCTTTACGTGCGCGGTTGTAACTGGCGGGAAGAAAAAAAAAAAAATCCGGTTCTTCTATCGTAATTAACGATGTAAAAACTCCAACAATTCATGCGATTTGAAAGTTAATTAACGTGTGCATGTACGTAGTGTGTATACTATTGGGCATATATTCGTATTCACTGCGACATCACTTCGGTCACACGCATATTAACGATAGGACGAAGTTCCTGTTGCGCATAATCCTCGGGCAAAGGTAGCTGAGATATCAGACGGACTAATAATTTCGTGACGGATCTGCTGTCGTTCTTCTGCAGTACCAATAGATTTCTAGCCAAGTGCAAAGTTCTCTTGGCGATTTCAGCCTGACACAACCTAAAAATACGAGAAACTTCATTTTAATAGATTCCAAAAGTCACGAGAAGCCCACATTGAAGAGCACCGCTGTCGTGTTAGATTTGCATCTCATGTATTACACGCGTTTACCTGTGTTTGGCGGTTGGACATGGAAACTGATCAATGTTGAGACACAAAGACGTCAACCGCGGCTTCAGCGCTTCTAGTTGATACGTTATTCCGCAGAAATCCGATGTATGCAGCAGGTTTTGTATTTCGTTAGTTATTTCCATGTATTCCCACAGAAGCTGTCCTTGATGCGTCCACCCACTAATTGCGCTACTATATTCAACTGGTACTAAGGGGTTTAACAAAGATCTTAGATACTCGTAATTCTCTAAAAGAAAAAGAAAAACAAAAAAAATATATATATGTATATATATTCCACATACAATATCGTTCACGACAGATGCTATAATACATAAGCAAGAGAGCAAATGATGATACCGTTTATTATAGCATCGGCTGCCAAGTGTTCTATAATGATTTCGTGAGCCTGATTCCATTGTTCCGCCTGTATGTAGTACCAAGCCGCTTCGCCATACCTGCGTAGATAAAAATGCATTTCGGTGATAAGCAGTACAAGAATGATTTTCCTTAGCTCTAACTTATTTTACTTTTCAATTTCTACATTATTAATACATTGAATGTCTCGCCATGGTCGGGAGAAATTCGTCCAAATCGAGAAGCCCTTTTTAATTAGGTAAAAATAAAAGATTATGAAAATAAAACATGTGACAATGAAAGCTCTTAGGTCTACAGCCAACTCTGATCAATGGAAATCCCACGAGAACCATATGTAAGATACCGTTAAACAAATGTTTACAGTATAAAAATAGTCTTCTTACAATGTAGAGAAATCCTCCATTGAGAGAGAACAAAATTAATTAAATGCGTCATGTTCCGCTCCCTCAGAATTCATTTTAACAAATATATATTGAACGTCTGTCAAGTACCTCTTATTGATTCTACTCTTAATGGCTTTAGCTTGATGAATCCAAACGGATGATATACCGAGCTCCTCCTTCAGAAACTGCTCACGCTGCGCGTACTCCGGGGTGTCGTCTATCTCTATGTGGCGCAACAGCAGGTCTTGCACGGTGGCTCGTCGTCTAACCGAATCGCGTAGATGCAGCATCACGAAGATCGCCCAGTGCCACAGACCGTGCGCCTCTAACTGCGTGGCGAAGTTCGCGTGCGTCAACGCGAATACGTGGTCGGCCAAGTGCGTATAGCCCAAGCCCACGAGCAACTGTTGCATCAGCCAACTGTCGAGAATGAATAAGAGAAATTAATTGTGCATCAGTGAGCAAGCTCACACGACGGTACGACTACCCGATAACCAAATGTTAGCAGTAGTGTGCCGGCAGATCCCGTTATTTCTGTCAGCAAGCAAGCCGACAAAATTCATAGCAGACACTCCACAAAATCCGCTCCTGCAGCTTTGGGTATTGGTCGTTTTGTTTATAGCTGATACATTGACACACACACACACACACACACACACACACACACACACACACACACACACACACACACACACACTCTCTCTCTCTCTCTCTCTCTCTCTCTCTCTCTCTCTCTCTCTCTCTCTCTCTCTCTCTCGCGTGCGCGCGCTTGCTACATCCCGCTCTTGAGTCACACATTCGACTTCGCGCTGTCCCATCCCATTCATCGCGCTCGCGGGATTAATTGTGTACAGGAGTGAAAAGCGCGCGCGGTATCCGGTGTTTGCAAGCGAGCGAATGTCGTCGACGTAAAGTTACCTCAGTCTGTAATCCAGCGGATTAGCGGTGTAAGACAGCGGATTCAGCAGCTCTCCCAAATCATGAATCCCGGTGCAGTACAACTTCAAAAGATGGAAGCAAAGATCGTATATCCGCCTGCCGTTACTTATCTCGGCGTCGTAATCGCTGCCTCTGTACTCAGGTTCAGGCGCCGCCGCGTACACCTCGCTCTCCGTCGTGTTGAACGACGTTTCATAGAGATCAAGCACGTCCGTGATCGAGCAGGTCGGCGACGACAGGTACCATAGGTGAATGGCGAAAGCTCGTTTCCAGTCGAGATCTTCGCACACGTTGATGGTGCCATGTTTGCTACTGATCAACGGCTCGCCCGCCACTATCATGAACAGCTTGAGTCGCTCGATCGTGAGGTTCTCATCCACGTCGGTCTCTTGCCACAGGGCCAATTGCTGCTTGATCAACTCCTTCACGGGCATCCCGCTGCGCAGCTGCGCCATCAGCAGCGCCAGGCAATGGTCGCCGGCTTTACGAGCGAACTGGCAAGCGTCCTCCAGTTTGCAGGCGGACAACAACGACAGAATGACCTTCTCGTGACAGTTGTCGCCGCTCACGCTCTTGATCTCTTGCTCGACCGTCTTCTGCACAACGCTCTTCAGCCACTCGCCTATGGCTTCTCTTCTCGTCATTATGTCATGATGGTCTCCCTCCTCGACGAGGGACTCGTGGTCGAGCATTTCACCCCACAGTGCCACGCACAACTTCCACACAATGCTGGCGTATTGACGGAACGAGCGCTCGGCACTGGGCTGGTATATCTGATCATCGCTCACGTCTTCGTTCATTCCCCTCTGCTCCTTCTCCGCGAGCTCTTGAGCCAAGGTGCAATGCAACCTTAAGGCTTCGATAGCGGTGTCCAAGGATACGTCGAAAATGGGACAGTCGCCGTCTTGGCCGATCACACAATGCTCCAATTGGATCCTCAGATGACGGTCTATGCTATCCTTGAAGGCTTTAATGTCGTCCTCGTCACCGCCCAAGATCTGCAACCGTTGCACGATCGCGGTCGACGTGATGTCGTCGGCTAGACGACCGGAAACGTAGTTGCTCAGCTGGCTGAAGGCGCTCTGCAGCTGCACTTTGGACGCTTGTTTATGAGTGCTCAGGGACAACAAGGTCAGACCAACTCCCCAACTTGGCCGAAACATCCTACCCATCTGCACGCCGGTATCAGCGACACAGCGGAATTGTAGCTTGTTCAACCGAGACTCCTTGAGCGGCACCACCTCGAACTGATACTTCAGCACACTGGTTACCGGTGAGACCACTGGCGGTAGAATCGTCCTCTCGGCAATTGGCAGCTCTCGATGATCGGGCTTGACGCTGCTGATTACATACGCTGGCTGCGATGGCTTAATATTGCTCAACGTATACAGCGCATCCTCTTGGCCCGCATAAAATGACGAAGTTTCGTTCATAATGAAGCTCGAGCGTAAGGTCGCACTGTAGGTTGTTTCGTCCCTCTTGGCCTCAGGAGTGTTAGGGAAATAGCGAATCAGAGTCTTGCGCACGGACGGGAGTATGTCGCCGTTCGGCTCATCGTTGGCGACGTCATCATCGTTAGTGTCAAAGAAGCTCGCTTTCATGAGCTGCAATTTGTGACTGTCTGTACCGGCGACTCGTGCGTTGTCGCCGACCGGGCTAACGGCTGACGGCTGCTTCTCGTAGCTGTAGTCGCGGGGAGCGAACATGCGGCCGATCGAAGTCTCCCCTAGATAATTACTCTCAATCTCCGGATGCTTGTCGTTTCCAATCTTCGCTGTGCCACCGTTCATCATCACGTCTTTGTTTGTGGTCGTCAAGAGATCGGTCTTTCCCGCATTAACACCTTTCTGCTGAGGCACGGGTACGCCCTTCAATTTCTTCGCTTCCGAAGCTGACGGTACTTGGCCGTCATCTTCATCTGAGTCGCTAAGGCCGTACTTGGAAAAATGATCGACCTTGAAGACCCATGAGCCGGTTTCTGGGCGATACTCGAGGAAACGAGTGTCGTGCTTCGCGGACACCCGGCGTAATTTTCCCTCGTAATTCATTGCGGCGAGTCGTTGCGGATCTGTGATTGGCTCATGCAACGACTTGTCGTGCGGCCACACTTTGTCCAGCGTGACCTGTGCTTTGCGATTCAAACCTTGCCCGACTGGCGGTTTCTTGTCATCATCCGGGTAAATGATTACTTCTTTGTGCCGGAAGTGAACTGCAACGACAAACGCGATGTTAATTGCAAATTATTGATCAATTGTTAATTATAGTTAAAAGAAAATATAGTATTACGCTTGATAATAATAATAATAATAATAATAACATAACAATAATATGTGCGTTAAAGTTGAAATTAACATGTATTCCGAATTTATGTTAGAACTCAACTTGACTGTATTACGAACTTACCAATTTCATCTAGATTCAAGCCATACACGTCGAATGAATCCGGAAAGTATACGTTCCCGTAGCCTTCACGGCCGACGGTGAAGTTCGGCACGTTGCAAGTTTCGCCGCAAACGTAATCGTCTAATTTATCAATCGGTGGAATGGTATAATAACCCGCTCGTCGCAACGTAACTTTAGCCATATTCATAGTCCAATTTGGCTGCAGCATCGAAAATGAACTCTCGTCTGCATCTTGACTCGAATCTATAAAACATAAACGAATATTTAAATAAATAAGTAAAAAAGAGAGACGATTGTTTCGCGTTTCTCTCCGTTACAGATACGCAAATATCTTAAAATTATAGATATAAAGCGATGAATTGTGTCAAAATACGTACCTGTATTCTGCACAGTAAGATTCGCAGAGCTCTTGTCACCGAGAGTAGAAGAATTGAGTGGTATTTCGATGGAATTAAGTGTATCCGAATGCGTCGAATTCGACGAATTATGCTGTGGTCTTAGTTCGGCCACCGTATTATTTATTTCTTCGTTCATGTTTGTCGTTCCAGAGAATGGCGATCGTTGTCCCTCCAATTCGTCATCCGGGACTTTGTTTTTCCGTGGAATTGTCGATTTCAACCTATAAAAAAAGACCAGACATAAGAAACTACTCGTGTTCACATTTATTTTAAAGCTGCGATAACTTTCTTCAAAAATAAATCAAACTAGAAACAGAAAAACTTAACATTGTTGTCTTACCAGGATGTGGACGACCGTCGATCGTTTGCAAGTCGATTATTATCTTGGCTATGATTTTCCTTGTTGGTTACTTCGATACTGTTACCATATCCATTTGACACGTCTGCTCTAATATCGTCTGTGCCAGTGAGTTTCGTTACTGGTCCATTTTCGGTAGGAGACTGAATCGAAGAGTTTGTAGCTGATTTCGGTCGCAGCACTAAACGCTTTGCGTTTGGCCGAGGTTGGAAAGCTTCAGATAACACAGGATCCTCTTCTTCTAGACCATCAAACAAGGATTTCTAGGAAAAAAATATTGTGTAAAAATCAGTTTCGTGCTTATAAGTTCTAGAATATGTTGTAGCTTCTCTTATGAGAAGAATCGCTATATCGCTATAAATATTGCCATATTTTTTGTAACCTACAATATTTAACTATCCATACCTTTGACAGTTGCACTGCACTAACGGCTCTTGCTTTAATTTTAGGAGACCTGCTGTTGGCAGTAACTTTGTACTGTGGACTGTTCAACATTTTCGATGTTGGATTTATAGGTTTTAGCAATTCTTCAGCTTTTCCAGACGCCTGAGAATATACAACATTAATGTATTTTTCCGACATTTCTGTCTATGTGTACAAATCTGAATAAACGAAGTAACTTACGGGTAAAAGATTCTTTAACAATGGTGAATCACCGAATGGTGCAGAAACAAGGGCCAAGATCTGCTGATGCACCGGTACCGAATCATTTTTCGCTTGGTTTGATGCTATCCTAAACATTACATAAATTACATTAGTAAATATAAATTTCTTCGATGTATTACAAGTAATTGTGAAAGAAGAGTAGTTATATTTCTATTGACTAATTGACTAAGTTAAGTCCGTAATGAGTGTAAATATTGCGTTACCCTCCGTTAAGTAAGCCTGTTCCTATTCCAGCCATCATGTTGGAATTTGTTCCAAAAGTGGAAGTTCCAAACGACCCAGGGTTGTTGAATGTTGTGTTACTCCCGGTATTTCCAAACAAGCTGCCTGGCTTTTGCTGTCCGAACAAGGAAGTGCCGCCACCCAGATTCAAACCAGTGTTCGTACCTACATAATAAATCGAAATAATTCATTGGTTGTATGTTGATTATCTTCACATTTCAAACGAATAAACTTACCAAGTCCAGTTGATGATGTGGATGTGTTCCCGAAAGAAAATCCCGACGTTTGTCCAGCTGGTTTGAAAGATGAATTAAACAACGAGGATCCGGTATTCTGGCCCGAATTAAAACCAGTATTGGTTCCAAAGGCCGAGGGTGCAGCTGTGCCGAATGTAGATGTCCCAAATCCGGCGGTAGTTGTTTTATTGCCGAACAATGGCGTAGCGGTATTGTTTGACGCTGTTTGGCCGAAACCAGTGAAACCAGTGCTAGTTGATGTCGATGGAATATTAAAGGCGGATTTGTTCTGGCTGAAGAGTCCAATACTCTGCAACAAAATGTTTACGATGATTTGAATTCTTGCGTGCGTTGCGTAATATTTTACCTGATTACAGTACTTTACCTGATTAGGTTGCGTGGAGCCAAATGCCGATCCGAAACCGGTACTCTGTCCGGTATTAATACCACCAAAACCTGTACCAGCAGTTTGGTTAGTATTGTTAGTTGCAAAAAGTGGCGTTGGTGCAGCTGCTGTATGGATATACGTAAAATGAAATTATTTATATTCTACTAAAATAATATTGATAAGACAATAGAGTATCGCGATCGATTCAGATAACACGCGTTTAGAAGAACGGGTATCGTATTATTTACACTTACGAGAATGCATTGGAAAGTATCAAGTTTTCAAATAACCGTGATTTATGTTAAAATTTACGCAATAATTATATTCGAATACTTAATACTGATTAATGAGATCTGAGATTTCTAATGATGTATATCAAGATATACATATAACTTACTGCCGAAAGGTTTTGCTTGAGAGTTAGTACCGAATAGATTCGTGCTGGATGGGGAATTAAATGCAAAACTATTGGTTGTAGTCGCTGGTGTTCCGAAATTAGTGATAGGTTTTCCAAATAGTCCAGTCGATCCCGACTGACTAGTAGTACCGAATCCTCCAGTCATCGATCCAAAAGCTATAACAAATAAAATGAATTATCTTCTGGTTTGCACATAATTACACATTTTTTATACAATTAAGATTATTGTGCAATATCAGAAAACAGTTTAATTGCAATGAGTTATTTATTTTTTATATCGTACTTACCTGTACCAGCCGTGCTAGTACCAGCTGTTGTATTGCCAAATGGCGATGGTTGTGCTGGTGTTCCAAAAAGTCCAGTATTTTGCGGACCTATTTAAGACAGAGTAAAGAATCAACATTTCACTTGTTATCTTTCAACCTTGAATCCGTTATTGTTCTTATTATTCTTCTTCTTCCAAATAAAACCATACCTTTTCTTCCCACTTGATAATCTTCAAAACGTAATTCTTCATATGATTTTGACTCATATTCCTTCATAGCCACGATGCAACAATGACGTGCCGAAATACTGTGTGATATCCCATTTTTGGACATAGAATCGGTTGTAACTACAGGTGTGAATTTCACTACTGTGCCCATTGGTACTGTAGTGGTAGTGTTGCTGTTGCCAAAGCCTATTACAAAGAAAATACAAAATGATTTAACTTCTGAAGAACTTCCAAGTTTACTTGATTCATTTAGTATTATTAATTGAGATTTAATAAATGACTGATTGAGGCTGTACAGTTTACCTGTGTTTGTACCAAAAAGATTTGTATTTGTGGTAGTATTCTGTTGACCAAATGGAGTAGTTTGTTGCGCAGGTTGTTGTGGTTGCCCAAAGAGGTTGGTTCCAGACGTCGTGCCAAAGCTGAAACCACTAGGCTTGTTTGCTTGACCAAATGCAGAAGTTGCAGAGCTTGAACCAAAAAGATTTGTTGCTGCATTCTGCTGTGTGCCAAAGAGATTAGTGCTTGTATTCGTTGTTCCAAATCCTGCAATATAAAAAAGAAAAAAAAAAGAATATCAATTTGACAATATGTTGTAAATATTGCAATATGTTGCAATATGATGCAATATATTACAAATGTTGCAATGTCATCATCCTATAAAGTTTATATTTATCATGCCCATGTTTGTTGACTCTTAATTTATTTTATACTTAAAAATGATTTTTGAGGTTTACAAAAATTATACTATGCAATAAAATCTATGGAGCAAACACAATAATTAAAATGTTTCAGATGCATGAATGCTTGAATAAGTACATAAAAGAGAATACTTGTTTTTGTATGCAATTTATACTTTGTACATGCAAATGAAACAGTTCATAAATCGCTACCTCCAAAAGATGGTTGGGTACTAGTTGGCTGTCTAAATGCTGGTGGCGTTGCAGTATTGCCAAACAAGCCACCTGTGGTAGAACCTGTAGGCTTAGAATTAAAGAGTGAAGTACTACTACCAAAGACAGGTGTTGCACCACTACCAAAACTTGTTGTAGTAATGGGTTTACCAAATGCGGATTGACCAAATGGACTGTTTTGCGTTGCTGTATTAAATCCACCTGAAAGAAAGACACGCTTTAATCAAATTCTCCATTTTCTTGATATTCCATTGCTTAGATAGCATTTATCTATTTATCCAACATACTGAATGACGTATTTCCAGTTTGCCCGAACATTCTTGTAGAAATTGTCAGGTAACTGTAGAATTTTTCTCAAATAATCTGAAATAAAAATGATTCTTATATTGTGATTATTGTACATTATTATTTATATAATCAATTAGAAATGTTTGGTATTGTTAATATATCAGATAATTACAGTGTTATCCGAGGAGATAACAACAAACACGCGTCTCGTAGAGTCTAATCACTATCGCACTCAACCAGTCGCTCACGTGAATCTATGACAGTCTCTTGATGATAACACACAATATTTTACTGAAAACGTTTCAATGTGATGTGTATATCATCGGACATACTAAATCGAAAGATCACACGTGCGTGATATTCCTCCATTTCTTATAACTCGAAGTAAAAGGCACGATCCATTAGATCCGCTTTGGTTAACAACATATACCAGAGTCCTCCATTGCTGGGGAAAAAGGAAACCGTAAATATCTCGGCAGACTTTACCCGATCTGAACAGCTACTTGTTATCTTTGACGTGAAACGTCTCACTCGGACTTTTACTCACTTGTAACAGCTAGACGGAATTTATATAAATACGTGCGTCAAAATGTATCTTTTTCACAAACACTCACGAATACGTTACAGCAAATTGCGCGCAATTTCATCTAAAATGGCACGCCACAGGACAACAGAACTAAAAGACTTCCATCGTGAATCATATTCAACGATTAAAGATATGTGAATACTCAAATTTTTGGTCTCACGATTGCAACGATCCTACTGGTGCATTTGCTAACGACGAACTTGAGGACCGTTTACAATAAAAATAAGCACAGAGAGTAAAGCCAGCGGCACACGGTGCTTGTTTTTGTGCTGGATTGCTTGCTGGATGAAAATACTGCGTTCTGATTGGTGCATTTCCGAAGATGGATGGAAATGCACTAATCAGAACGCAGTATTTTCATCCAGCAAGCAATCCAGCACGAAAACAAGCACCGTGTGCCGCTGGCTTTATGTTACGTCCTGGATAAGCATAGAACATGCAATGCCTAGATTCGTTTGGTTTACTTCGGATCAGCGCTATTCTTGTCCAAATCTTTATTATTTGAATCTGTTACCTTTGGAGATGGGTAGCTGTTAGGTTTAAAAATAATAATATTCTCGCTAATGTTGAATTTAACTTCAAATATATTTCCCTTTATTTCAGATTTTATTTTTGGGATCGAAGATTTTAATGGATCTGTTTTGAAAACAGCCAGGTCGAGCGTGCCTGGATTATAATAACTTTTTAACAGACGTCTAAATTGAATCTGCCGTCCGGCTCTCCTTGTTCCTTGTTCGGCTAAGAGGTTTTTTGGTAATATTTATTTTAACAATATCTATAATAAGGTAGATGGAAGGAACGTGGTTAAGTTTAAAGAATAAAAAGACGAACGGTGCTCGTGGTTTAAGCACTATCGTTCTTAGGGAAATGAGGCGAATGGTGCTCGTGGTTCAGGCACAATACTCTTTGCCCGTTTCTACCAACTGTGATTAATTTAATCGGTTGATTACTCTATTGGGTTGACCAATAGCATTTGCCAATATTGGTTAACGACAGATGCAATTGGTTAATTCCGTTGGAATGAACAGCTGGTTAAGTCAACCACGGTCGATAGAAACGGGCATTAAAGGAAGGAAGAGAAGAACGGTGCTCGTGGTTCAAGCACTGTGTTCCGGGAAAAAAGGAAGAATGGTGCTCGGGGTTCAAGCACAACACTCTTAAGGTAAAGAAAAGAAGAACAGTGCTCGTGGTTCAAGCACTGCGTTCTGGAAAAAGAATGAAGATGATAATCAGTGAGGGAAGAGAAGTAAAGAAATCTGTACACACACATATATATATATATATATATATATATTATAAAATTATTCTATATTGTTAAGTTTTAAAATTCATACACTAAGTTTAATATAGTTAATAGCTGGCTCAATACTTATTCAAGTAATAGAAATAATTTTCTATAGTATCATTATGAGGAAAAGAGGCTCGTTCGACCTTTAATGATTTGGATTTTACGTCTTAACAAATGTCTTAGCATTTGCAGACGGAGTCCCAAGAACAATAATCTTTAATACCGACCTTTCTGATTCCAGGCTCAAGACCCTTTGGCAATTAGCTAACAAGAGACTCAGCAAAAGACTGTCTAATGGCTGATTACAGGCTAACAAGAGACTGACTGCGTGCGAAGGGCCGAGCTCTTTTTATACCCAAGCTCGACACTAGGGGTGTCAATTAAGCATCTTTTCCTAATTCACTATTCATTATTTATTGGTTAAAAAATATAAAGATGTTTATACTTAATCATATGTAGCGTTTGGTAATTCAGTTGTCTCGTTGTTGGCTGATTTATTAATAAAATTATGTTTTACTAAGAAATGCAAATGTTATTGATTTCCTTTGGTATAATATAAGAATTTGGAAATTTTGAATATTTAAAAACTATTTCATTCGGGCGTAGTAATTGTTAAATTTGTTAAAATTAAATAATACGAATAGATTCTCTTACGATTCTAAAGCGTATATACATTAGGATAGGCGGTTTGACAATAATATTTGAAAAGTTATTTGCGAAATATGATGGCAATTATTTAATATTATTTAAAAAGAAAAATAGAAGAAAGAGAAGAAATTATTTTCCTCTTTGGGTCTTTGTTTCGAGTCCTTGTTTGATTCGCAGTACGTAGAGCAGCTATCGCTCGATGATATCTATAACATAAACACATTCCAATATGTGTGCGGCTGTGCCCGAACGAAATCGTTCTTAGGATCCGAAACAAATGAATCTATAAGCTAGCTCTAAATTTATTTTTTAAATTTTCTTATTCTCTCCTTTCCTATTTTATATATTTACTATGTCGATGTTTGCTTCAGTTCTATGTTAATGTTAATTTTATTTCAAGGTATGCTATTTAGTATTACTTTTGTTATTCAATTGTTTGGTAATCTATCGCTTACTAAACGAAGTAAGAAAGTAGAAGGAAGAGAGAGAAAGAAAAAAATAGATGATAATTCAGTAAATAGTTTCGAATAGTAATGATATTATATTATATTAACAATGGCTGCATTCAGCAGACTCAACAGTTGGACAACATTACTAGATTTAGCACTGAATCTCGCTCCTGATTGGTAAATACTTCTGGGTCTATGAAGAATCTAAACGAATGCTCCAATCACAGACAATAATCACTAAGCGCTCTCTGATAACTTTGTTCTACTGAACGCGGCCAATGGCTGTGTTCAGCAGAACAAAGTGATCAATGAGCGCTTAGGCCCAGTTCCACAAAATCAAGTTTAAACCGTGATTATCTGAACTGACGTTACATTTAACGGCATGGTTAAACTTATATCGCGTTCCACATCATGTTTTTAACTGTAGTTTACTTAAACCTATAGTCTGTATGAAGAAACTGTCGAAGACTTCTCTTTCTTTTCAAACGTAGAGTATGATTGTTGCTAATAGTGAAAAGAGGGAAAATTGAAATAAGTTGGATGCTATGACATCTAGTAGAGAACAATATATCTGTTTCGTATGAAGTAAACACTAACCAACATTAACATTTGCTGTATTTGTATATAAGTATTAATTTATTAAAAGGTGGAAGTCCAGTGTTAATAATAATCAATTTATTAGTTTATATTATTGATTTGATTGCATTTATCATATAATAATTGACTTTTATATATAGTTTTATACTCTGTTTTAGAATATAATCTATCGAAGCAAAAAAACCCAATATTTTAAATTAAATTTACATACTTACTGTTCTGTTTTATGAGAAATTTCATGCTCGATTTCTGCTAGAACTGCAATAACAGATTCTTTTGATAATCTAAATCGTGCATGAAAATCGACATTATCAAATTCTTCCAAATATGATGGTCGTCTTATTCTTATATTTCTTGTCCGTCGATAAATTAGGTTTTCAAAATCTTCATCTTTAGATGAAGATAATATGTATTCTAAAGCCATATCTCTTTGATGTTCAAACGTTCAAAATATTTGTCAACTGAACTCCAAAACCGGGATAGTCATAAATTTTTTTCTCAAATTGATGGTACTGCAGTGTTAAACTTCGTTTAAATTCATTAAACGCCCAAAGTTTTGGGTTTAACTTTAAAGCCCCTTGCACAATGCCAAGTAACAGGCAATAAGAATAAAAATAGACCAATTACAATATATTATTTTTGTAATAGTCGATTGTGATTGGTCTATTTTTATTCTCATTGCTTGTTGCCTGGCATTGTGCAAGGGGCCTAACTGTGAGAAATCAACATTAACCACGGTTTAAGGCAGTTGTGGAACGCAATTTTTCGTCTAAAGCCAGCGGCACACAGTGCTTGTTTTCGTGCTGGATTGCTTGCTGGATGAAAATGCTGCGTTCTGATTGGTACATTTACGAAGATGAATGGAAATGCACCAATCAGAACGCAGTATTTTCATCCAGCAAGCAATCTAGCACGAAAACAAGCATCGTGTGCCGTTGGCTTTAAACTAGGGTTAATAAGTTAAACTTCGTTTACAGTAAGTTGTGGAACCGGGCCTTAGTGATTCTCGCTCCTGATTGGTAAATACTTCTGGGTCTATGAAGAATCTAAAAGAATGCTTTAATCACAGACAATAATCACTAAGCGCTCACTGATCATTTTGTTCTATTGAACGCAGCCAATGATTTTTTGATCATACTTCGTGCTATATAAACCGCGCTTCATAAATCTTCGGCTACGTTCCGATATTTATTGCCAGTACTGAAAATCTATAGTTTATGTAACACAAACTATATATTTTCGATACTGTTAGGGTGCGTTCCGTTTTACGCATATGCGCACATTTATCTATAGTTTATGTCACGTATACTATAAAAAATGCACGCATTGCGTGAAACGGAACGCACCCGTAGTGAATATTGGAATACAGCCATAATTATTGATTCTTCAAGAAAACAGCGACACATACACTTACGTTTCGAATTTGATTATTAATACAGAAAATCTATATTATATTATATAAATTATAGATTTTCAATATTTGTAATAAATATCAGGACAGTCAACAACTAAAGAGGAGAAGAAAGAAGGTTAAGAATTTACTTATGACTTTTCTTCTAAAGCCAGCGGCACACGGTGCTTGTTTCGTGCTGGATTGCTTGTGGATGAAAATACTGCGTTTTGATTGGTGCATTTCCGAAGATGGATGGCCATTGGCTGCATTCAGCAGACTCAACAGTTGGACAACATTACTAGATTTTCCATTGAATCTCGCTCCTGATTGGTAAATACTTCTGGGTCTATGAAGAATCTGAACGAATGCTCCAATCACAGACAATAATCACTAAGCGCTCTCTGATCACTTGTTCTGAACACGGCCATTGAAACATGGGCCGCGTTCAGTAGAACAAAGTGATCAGAGAGCGCTTAGTGATTATTGTCTGTGATTGGAGCATTCGTTTAGATTCTTCATAGACCCAGAAATATTTACCAATCAGGAGCGAGATTCAGTGCTAAATCTAGTAATGTTGTCCAACTGTTGAGTCTGCTGAACGCGGCCATAATATACGTGTGATTGGAAATTCCTAATGACGTTAGGGAAATTTCCGATAAAGTCAAAGGTCTATTCATACTAATGACACGTGTAAGTAGAATGGTAGATTTCACATTGCAAAGTTTGAACTGTCGCAACAATATTACGACCACATAATTAGAAGTATAACGTCAAAATTAGCATTTATATCGCAGGTTTTATAACTTTTATCGAATAACGTAAGTGTTTATTCGCCATTGCTGAAAAGCGTAAGTAAAGCCAACTTGATCGCCGCTTTAATATATAGGAAACACTCGCAATTGTATTGTGGCATTCCTATATGTTTAGATAGTCGATAAATATTGGTAAAATATGCTAAGTACAAGCTTTTTAAAAATAACGTTGATTTTATGTTTCTTTTTTTTAAATTGCATTTAATTGTACTATCTTCAGATTGAGGCTTAATATATTTCTATATTTGCGACAAATATTTTAAAATAATTAGGATAAAACAATGTTCCTCATATCTGAACTAACCTTATTACAAAGTGTTTATTGCTCATTATATTCTTTAACTGTCGACACAGTTCTGCCTCAATACTTCTGTTCTTTAAAAAAAATTATGTTTGCATATAACATATGTATTATTCTCATAAATTATTATTGTTCCATTGTACAGAAAATAATTCTGTTGCATGAATTTGTATAAATTGGATAACATTTGGTATGAAATATTCCATAACCTATTCTAAAGAATGTTACTATTTGACTACGTTCTACTTTGATTTTATATCTATGATATATCTGTATAATATATATAAATACTTTTAAATTACTGTGATAATAACATGTAACAAGGATTACTTGTTTCATGTACAGAGTATAAAGATTCATGTAATGTTTGCAAGTCTAAAACAAGTTGTGCAAAACTAGGCCTGTTCTGCGGTGTTGTGTTCCAACAAGAGCACATAATTTCATATATGTCATGAGAAATAGTATCAGGGCATGTTAGACGACATTTGTCCTGAGTTAAATAACGTAACAAGTCCTCATCCTGTATATTAGGATATGGAAATGAACCTAAAGTTCCAATTTCCCAAAGAACGATGCCAAATGACCACACATCACTCTTGGACGAAAAAGTATAATCACGCACAGCTTCTGGTGACATCCAACGTATTGGAAGTTGACGGACTTTACCTGCTATATTATTTATTACATATATTCCATTCCGTGACAAACCAAAATCAGATATCTGTAAATTCAGTAGAATTTAGAAATTATATTATTACAGATATATATTTCTTAAATATTTTAACACAGACATCTTTTACCTTCAATGTTAAATCAGAAGTAAGGAGGATGTTTCTTGCTGCCAAATCCCTGTGTGTAATCTCCTTAGTTTCCAAATATTCCATCCCTCTTGCAATATCAAGTGCAAACTTCATAAATTGTTGCTTCTCAATTGTATCATGCAAATCTTCATCCTTGAATTTATCTTTTTCAATGATATTTACATATCTAGAAACAGACTTCTCAAAACTGCATAGAGGTATCACATCAGATTCTATCTTTCTTTTAGAATGCAGGTATGCAAGCAAATCTCCGCCTTCCATATACTCTAAAAGTATACAAATAGGATTATCTGGAGAAGTGCAGTAACCTATAAGGCTCACTAGATGTTGGTGGGAACCAGCTGTTTTCATTGTTTCGATTTCTTCTAATAATTGACGTCGGGCTTCAGACTCATTGGCCAAGTCAGAACATTGTGACATTTTAACAGCTACTAATGTATCCATATTATTGTTTAAATTGCCTAGATATACTTTTCCAAACTGTCCTTTTCCTAATTCGTACTTGAGATTTATGCATCTATATGGAACTTCAAATTCATCGTTCTTATATTGTTTGTAACATGTCTCCTAGAACAAGTTTTGTTGAAAATTACACTATTTGGGAGGAATGTATGAGAAACTTAATATCTATCTTCAATCGTTTTTCACATTTACCTCAGGCCATTGTGATTTGCAATCAGAAAGTTCAGACGTTTGCCTCGTACTGTTCAAAGATAAAAGTTTTAAATGCATAATATTATCGAAATATATAAATTTTGTAGAAATATTCAAAATATAAATTGATAGTTTACCGTAAAACTCTGGACAGCCGTAAAAGTTGATATTCATTATTCTTATTGTATATTGATACAAAATATTGACCAACACATCCGAATATTACAATACAAATAATAACGCTGATAAATATCCACTGCAATGTAAATGTATCGTATCAATCGTTTGCTAAACACATCTTTATCGAAGCAGAAGATATCTTACTATGATATTCCCATAGGATGTCTCAGTTTCTTCTAAAGTAATGATCGTAAAATTTCCTCGAGTTCCCATGCAACCTCGGTGATCTATTGCTGTTACAAATATCTTGTATCCACTTTTTACTTTTATGTACTGATTATGAACTTTTGAATCCCAGATAAAAGTACTTGTTGCAGAAGTCACGTTACCTATTTGTGTGATATTGTATACTGAATGCCCTGCTTTTGATGTTAACAATGGCGTGCCAATGCTGAAACACTGCATATTTTGAGGAACAATTTTGAAGAAACAATGGAAAAGAGATGAAATAAATAGATAGGAATAAAAGATCTTACCTAATTGTATAAGATTGAACATTAAGATTGGAAGTAACATTCCATTTTATAACGAATTTCCTGGTCATTTGGATTGTTTCCACTGTTGGGACAGGCAAAGTGTTCTTTGCTTTCGTGCAACTGCATTTACGCCCTATACATTCTGGTACTGTGTAAACAATCTATACGCAATATGATATGTATCGCAAACTTGATATACTTAAATGTGTGATGTTACACTTCTCATATTTATGGTATGTAGCTTATTAGTTACCTCAGGTAACTGTCCTGTAGGTTTAGCTCTTGGATTAGCATGCACTTGTATTTTATATGTACAATTTGGACGAACTTGCATCGTCGACATGCCGTTTAATAATTTGCCTGGTGGCACTAACAAACTAAGTTGAGTTACGTTATGTACGGTATAAAACTCGGAATCTTCTGTACATTCTAATCTATTCGTATCAGTCTCCTTTGGTATACTTGTAACTATGATACTGAAATGTACGTACACATGCTATAGACACTTTGAAATATATATATATATATATAATTTTATATAATCTTTATAAATTATCACTATTATCAAAAAATGAAATAATGCACCTGTAAGAAGAAGGTTGCCTTCCCTCATGTGGTGGAATCCAGGATATATTCAGTTTTAATGAATTTAATGTACTGTCACTTACAAAAGAATTTTCATCCTCCAAAGCATATACTGTAATATTGTTTACAACCCCAGCAAACTTTGAATTTGTTGCACATATTGTAGTAAAGTGTAAAAACAATATAGCTATGATACATATTAAGATCCATTTACATTGTGCGAACATTTCATTTCATAATATAACTGATGTACAAATAAATCATTAAGTGTCACATGATTTTTATATTTTGTTACGTTATATTTTTATTAAAACTGCTTAACCAAGACCACTTCCTTTTCTGATAGTGGAATTTATTCTCACTTTACTCAAATGCAGTGTATAGATAAACCCCTATCTTCAAAAATGTTATCTGAAGTTCTTATCTGCTGATCTTACATCAATCCAATTTTATCGGAATGTCGAATTAATACGTAGCTAAATTGCTGTAAACAACTCGATAAGTGCTAAATTCATTAAGAGATTATGAAAGTTTTTGGCAGCAATTATAATTATTAAATATATAATAACTTATTTTTATTAAACAGAAAAGTAAAGAAAATCAATGCATTTATATTTAATATAAATCGTATATATTGAATTCGTAAAAATGTCGATTCTGATTATTTTGTAATTTGTCTTTTTATTTAATGTTCCAGTAACCAAATGGCCTCGGGTGCGATGTCTCCGACTGATGATGATGAGCTCACTCTCCCTCGTGCATCAATAAATAAAATGATCAAAGAAATTTTGCCGCACGTACGAGTTAGAACTGAATCCAGAGAACTCATTCTCAATTGCTGTACCGAGTTCATCCATCTTTTATCTTCCGAAGCAAATGAAATCTGCAATCAACAGCAAAAGAAGACAATAAACGCCGAACATGTACTGCAAGCGTTAGAGAAATTAGGTTTTGGTGATTACAACGCGGAAGCGGAGGCTGTATTGCGTGATTGTAAAGCAGTGGCCGCTAAAAGGAGACGTCAAAGTACTAGATTGGAAAATCTCGGAATTCCAGAAGAGGAATTATTTCGGCAACAACAAGCGTTGTTTGCAAAAGCACGAGAAGAGCAGGCGGTTGCAGAACAACAGCAATGGCAGCAGTTACAGGCTGTTGCACAAATGGCAACTATGCCGCAAACTTACAGTGAACAAGAAGATTATTCATAAATGAAAAATATTCAAAGACGATAAGTTATGCTTAAAGGTAGTCGGTTTTACTTTTCTTTTTTTACTTTGAGAAGACACGTAAATGCACGGAACGAAACTATAATGGAAAACATTCGCAGATGAAACTAAATCAGAAATAAAAATTAAAAAGAGAACATTAAGTAAAAATTATAAAACTAAATTAGGAACATAAAACGCAAATTCTGCTTATTTCTGAGATGTTTTTAAGAATAATTAAGAAGAATAATGAGAATATTATTTTCCTAAGAACTTCATTTTGTACCATACTTTAGCTGTGCATTAAATATCTTAATTTAATGTTATATATTTATTAAAAGCAAAGCAAAATAAAACAAATATATCATACCTTCTTGTATTTTCTTTTAAATTTAAGGCATCAATCTTCCATATTCAGAAGACAAATGACTCTTTTTTATCGCTTCTATGACTTTTGAAACATAATGGTACCTATAGACATAAGAACAAGTACTCTATATATAACACATGTATAATTTATACATTATTCAATTAATTTATATGTATGCTATCATTGATATTGTTTAACTTACCAGTTCTTCTCTGTTAATACAGACGGCGTCATTGGATTTTTCGTTACTCCGTGTATTTTTCGTCGTAATTTGTCTAGGAGGGATTTTTCGCTTTCTCCGAAAAATATGTCTTCTGTACTAGCTGTCAGATATTTAGCATACAATTCTTTATAAATATTTTAATGCAAATTTATGTCTTTTATTTTCTTGTGTGTTTTACCTTCTTTATTCCTGTTCAAATTTGATGGTATCAAAAACAAATTTAAGCCATTTTCTGTCGAATCCTGGCTCATATCTATACCACTATGAGTTTGTAATCTTGAACTAGAAAATGTTTTTTTATAAAAATCCTGAAAATAAATTAAGCATGTCGCATAAGCTAGAAAACAGAGGATATACTTTAATACTTTTAAACAGATATACAGTTTTATAAAATATATTAATATATATGTATTTTTTTTTAACAAATTATATCTTTGATAAAGTACCTTCATTCTCTCAATAGATGAGGGCATAAAGTCTTGCGGTTCTGCCTTATTATGTAAAAATATAAGATGTGGATAATATTCTACATAATCTTGATCCATGGTGGTTGTTGAGGATGGCTTTAACATTTCTGCCGTTTGTAATAATCTACAATATATACAGAAATATCAAAAATATTTTAACTATTTTTTATACAATTAATAAAGCACAACATGTGACTATCTGGACTTATGTAACTTTGTCAAAAAAGATTATTAAATGCTTTCTCATAGCCAGTTAATAAATAAATAATTACCTTACTGAATTTAAATCGCAGCACCAATCTTGTACAAATATTATTACATGACACACTGAGAACATGAATGCCATAAATTGAAGTGATTGCAGCTCTAAATTAGTTTCAGTGTTTGTAAAATCAGATACAGTCTTCTTTTGATCAAATGATGATGTGGAATTGTCAAATGCAGATATGGAAAGCACAGGTTGTGTATCCAGATATATTACTCTATTTTTAGTTATAAATATATCTATCCCTGTGGTACAATTGGTAGCACTTTCATGATGTGATAAATCTTGAACTGGAAAAATATCTGGCCTGAACATATGAAATAAAATTTATAAAATAAAAAAATAAATCTAAAGAATAATAACAGCTTATTGAATATTTAAACTATGAGTATTCTTTCTTACTTACATATCTTCATGTGTTAACAGGGACATAATTGTTGATTTGCCAACACTTTGTGTACCTAAACAGCCAACAACAAGAAAGTCTTGTTGGTCATATAGATATTCTATTGCACTTTCGCATAATTGCATATTTTCATCCATGAATTTAAAACAACTGATCATCTCAGGATATGTGGAAAGTATGCGAATTGCTGAAATATACAATTTTTAAGTTTTATCTTTCTATAATATTAGACAATACTGCAGATCTATTACTTATATTTTTGTTACACAGTTTATTTACTTTCTTGTGATTTTGTTGCTGCTGCTGCATCATTATCCTTTCTAAGAAAAAGAAAAAAATATATAATTTATTGAATTGTAAATACTTTGTGACAATAGCTAATAGCATATAAACTAGAACTAAGAAAAAGAGATAATTGAAGCAACATTAGAGAAAAAGAAAAGGAGAAAGAAAAAGGAGGGACAGAGAAATTTAACAATATACTACAAACAGTATTTATAATGCAAACTTATGTATTATATAAATTGATTTATGATACAATTTTCTATTGTTATCACAAGATAAGAATTTAGGTAAAACTAATAGGATTAACAAAAAACTTTCCAATATTAATTTTCCATAAAATAAGAAATAATAAATAAACAAGAGGATCAGAAATATGAAGTAAAAATAGTCTTTGAATATGTATAAATATGTATAAAGTTTGTATGACTTTTAAGGTTAAATACTGCTAACTGTTACTGAGACAAATATACTTCGAAAATACTTCTTTATTGTTATTCTATTTTATTATATATTTTTATTGATCTATTTTAACATTTTTTCAACAACGATAAAACTAAAATAGATATAATGATACAGTACTTGTGTCCATTACGTTGACTTGGGGATACAGCTCTATTTTCTCCTTCTCTAGTTTTCAATATGAATGTTGGACGTTCTACAATTTTAATTAAAGTTTTATTTTCTCCATCTTTTATCTCTGAATCTTTCGGTGTTGTCGGCAACATTTCTCTTTCACGCATATATTGACGTTTCTATATACTAAGGTCAGCTTTGACTAGAGCACATTCATTCTTTTATTCATTCAATATATGGTTCTGAGCAGAGTTATTACACTCCTACGCCAATTACAACGATTTTGGAAATAAAAGAGAAACAGAGACAACGCGTACGCAGTCCTCAAGATCAAAAATATGCATAATTACAGAAACCACATCCAACCGCCACGGAAGCGAACAAAAGATTAATTGATTAGAGCACAAGTAAACACGAGTTGTGCGACGCGTGACATCTGTCATTTTGAGCTACACCTTTCTTTCGATGAATCAAAGCACGAATGAGAATCCAGTATCCAATAGGGGAGAACATTTCCTAGTAATTTTCAGCAGATAAATTCATCTATTGGATATTAGTCGTATTTCAAGTTGTCATAAAGAAAAATATTGCATTCTTTTTTGTGACCGAGTGTATATAAAGTTAACCAACAAACCACAGCAAACTGTCTTGGATGTTCCGGTGTAAGTAATTATTTATTTTTCTTAAAAACGCCTAAAATTAGAAAAAAAGAAAGACATTTTGAAATTTTAAACCAGTATAATGCACAAGATCATATAAACTTTGTTTGTTTATATGTTACAGAAAGTTAAATTTTATTAAAATGATACAAAAGTATCTCTAAATAATAATTATTTATATTTTATAACATCAATATTTTTCTCAATTTTGTTCTCAATCTAGATATAATTATTCATAGATATAATAATGGATAAAGTGTATGGATGTTATAACCATCAAGCATCATCGCAAATTTGTCTAAAGGATTATTTTCTGGAATATAGTAAATTATTACAATCTACCATATACTATGAAGAAAATCAATCAACAGAAGAAAAAATGTTTCATCTTATGGGCATTGAACTTTCAGAAGCAAGACTAAATTTAATGTCACATTATTGCAGGTATTTTATGATATGATGAAACTATTATGTTGACATTAAGAAGTAATTAATGTTAAACCAGGATCAAATTTGTAGTGTCAATAATTTAAGGATGGAAACTACCAATGATGATGAAAGCGAAGATAAAAAACTTGATAAACATCTTGAAAATATTTCAGATAGTACTAATTTGGAGACACTTAAAGTTTTGAAGAAATATAATAATACTTTATTACAGAAATATTATACTCAAAATGGGATTCCAATCGTTAGTAACTATTTTTATAAAAGTATATAAAGTAGAATATATAGGCAATTATGTATCTAAATTAAGTTATTGGAATTATAGTTTGATTAATAACATACTGTTATTTCTTGTTTAATGTATTTAATATAAATCGCAAATCTACTTTTTATAAATTGTAATATAATAAATTATTTATTTTTAGGTACATGAAAAATTGTCCAATGAGGTCAAAACTATAAAACCTGGTTCAGATTTTCTAGTTTATGTTCAAGTTTATGAGCCATTTAACTCTTCTATACAACGTTCAGGCAAATATTTTAAACCTAATTTTCCAACTCTTCGAATGAAATATGTCATATCAATACTTGGATGTCAGTATCTTACTGAACTTCGTGAGAAGATAACATGTGTATCTGATATGTCAATTGCAACAGAAATTAGTGAAAATCCAGATGAACAGATTGAAAACTTAGCAAAAGTAAATATCATCTCAATTTTGAATTGAACCTATTCCTATATAATCTATGTATGTAAAATATAAATTTATTTTTTTCTTATAGAATGTCTATAAATCAGGATTCTTTTTTATTGAAAATACTTTTTACAATGATATGAGAGATGCAAACAACGTTAATTATAGTGATGTTATATTGAAATGGGCAAACACTCGAGATAAAATAGGCCCATTTAAAACTGCAAGGATGGAAAACGTCCGAATAGATTCTCTTTGTGCAAGATTTGGTTTTCCATGGGTATATATGCATCAGGGTTCTTGTGAGCACTTGATTGTACTGTCTGATGCCAGGTAATTTTAACATATTAATTTTATAGTACGATCTACATACCTTCTTTATACCTATATCAGTCTTTTTAATTTGTAACAAAATTACCCTAATGATTATAATTAATTTTACAAGGTTAGTGACTGAGAATGATGATTTATCGACGTCTGTGTACCCAAAAATAGAAAAGATAAAACCTATCCCTGGAAAAAATTGTTTAATGTGTGGTTTACTTAATGTACGTTGGATACTGACAGAGCATAACAGAATACCTCATGACACAAGTTATTTTTGTGAAAACTGTTTTAGATCATACAATTATATTAATAATATAAAAGTTGGGAACTTCAAAGCATATAGATATCCTTGTATACCAGAATTAATGCGAGAAAATAAAAGAAATAAATAACTTTAACAGGCTAGTCTGACATTATTAATGATGAGCATTTCAATGTGTAACATTCACAAACCTATTACAAATTTATTTTAATATAAGAAATATAACTTATCATATTTAAAAAAATTATTTTATTGACGCCTTCAATGAGTATAACCTTTGTAAATTTTCTCTCGCACTTTGTAAATCTGTTTTCAGTTGCAATGCCTTCTTATACATTTCCTCTGCTGCATTCAATTTATTCCAACGGTGATACAAAACACCTAAATAAAGAAATTTCAAATATTTAGTTTGACTTTACATATTACCTACTAAATTATTTGTAGATATGTTCTCTCATTATACCTACCTAAGTTTGCATAAATCATAGGATCAGTAGGATTTTTCGACATTGCCAGTTTAAATTGGATTTCCGCTTCCTCAAATCTTCCCTTTTTCCCCAAAATGTTGGCAATGTTAAAATAGACAGAAGCATGATTCGGAATAAATTTTAAAGCTTCATTTGCTGTTTTCAGTGCTTTTTCTGTCATATCTATAATTAAATGTTGTCTTTATAGGGTATATTTAACTAATAGAATCCATTAATTGATTTCAATACACTTTCATACATACTTAAATCATCCAATAGTAGTATCATATTTGTCCATACTTGTTTATGCGTAGGCTTTTGTTTAGCTGCTTTCACCCAAGCCTTCAGTGCTTTGTCATATTGTTTCCGTTCTAAATACTGTTGTTAAAATGAATTTTGAAATATAATATTCAGAGATATTTCAAATTGATTATGTTTTACTCACTAATACACCTAAATTATAGTAACAAGCTGGATAAACTGGCTGATGCTGCAGAGCTGTAAAATAGCTCGCTTCTGACTCCTCATATTGCTTTAATGTCGATTGAACTATACCCAAGTTCATCCATACTGTAGCAAAGTCTTCTCTAAAATGCATACATTAACACTCTTAACCTTTATTATTAACCTTATATATCTTAAATAACATATATAATTAACTTACTGCAAAGTAATAGCTTGTTTAAATAAATTTACAGCTTCTGGAAGCTGTCCGTTGTCTTTGAGTAGATTACCAAGATTATTCATAGCTTGGACATATTTTGGATTCAATCTGTAACACACAGAGCAAATGTATACCTAAGAATTGTCGTGAAGTAAGATTAATTCTCAATACATACCGTAGAGCTTCTTGATATTCCAATTTGGCAAGAATAATGTTTCCTGCATCTGCTGCATTTTTCGCAATATTATAATGTACTTTTGCATTCAAAGGACATACATCTAATGCTGATTGGAACAGTAGTTTCTCATTTCTCCATTGATTGCTTCTTACCCAAGAACGTGCAAACAACAACATAATAAGCATTGCATATGCCAATAATGATGTCTTAGGCAAAGAAAACTGGGTGGAGAACTTTTGTAACCCAATAACAACCAACAGGCAATATCCTGCTGAAGGAATATATAATATTCTTTCTGCCAAAACAAATCCAACATTGAAGAAGACATTACTAGCTGGCAGAAATGGAATAATTAGTATGGTTAATCCCATTGTTATGTACCTGCAAAAATGATATTTTATATTTCCAATATATACAGGTACTTGCTTTTATTTATTAAGATTTCAAAATTACCTTGAAGTTTTATCCTTACGAGGAATAAACGTGTACGTAATTATAGCACCAAACATTAGCCAGAAAATCACAATTGTAAAAATTCTGTGGTCATATCCAGTAATCAGAGGTACACAACCCATTGACCAATCAAAGCAGAGCCATATAGGGCATATGAGTAACCATGTATTTAGACAATAGATATAGTTATAATTAAGTGTACGAAGAAGTATATTGTCCATGAAAGATGTTGGGTTGTCTACTGGTAGGAATTTAGGAGTAGAAAATCCCATAATACTCAGTCTTAATGACAAGAGCATTATTGCAACCAACAGCAGAGCAACAAGTCGCAATATTATAACTTTATATTTAACTAAATTGTTGAAACATTTGTCAGAATTTTTACACAGGAGAGAGTTAATTACATCAATTGGATATATTCTGTTTACTATAACTATATCATACATTGCACAAATGCCCTGAAATGTGAAGATAATAAATGTTTTGTACAGTTACTTAGAAATATAATAATGTAATCTTAATACTCACAATGGCAGTGATTCCAGTCTCTTTGCATAACATTGCAATGGTTACACAAACAGCACAACCAAACATAGCAGCCCATCTACGTAATAAATGTTTTGCATATATTGCATGGTTATATGATAAAACTGACAACCAAATAAATAAGGTACATAATAGTTCTGCACGCCCTACAATCCCTGATACCTGAAACATTAAGATGAATCATATACATCTTCGAATATAAATATTTGAATTATAATATATTTGAGGTACTCACAGCCTCTGTATGGATTGGGTGAACAGCAAATAAGGCTGTAGCGTAGAATGAGATGTTCCGTCCTTCAGGCCCCAAAAATACATTATATACAAGGAAAGTTAACAGGCAAACCATACTATGCAACACTATGTTTACTATATGATAGTCTTGGGAAATTAAATCTTGTCGTAACCAGAAATGTAATCTAGAAGATTAAAGAGAAACAAGTACTGAATATTCTTATATATTTTAACAAATCATAATAAAAAACATACTTTAAATTAATATTTTAAACATAATAAAAATATACTCAATATAATAAAATTAACAAAATTATATTAAATATATCAATTTTTTCTAGCTCTTCAAATATATGTTTGTGATATACTTCACAAGATTCTTATACCTAAAACTCAAAATAGTGAGAGGTCTGTACGACTTGTGGCTTTGATTATGAGATAATTTAGTACCCCAGAAGTCATTTTTAAATATTTCCCACAATGGTGTGTCGCGTACATCGTTGTTCTTGACAATGGCCTCGGCATCGTCAAAAACAAAGTCTCCGTCATAACTGTTAACAAAACAAAGGGACAAAATCACAATTATCCAACTGGAAAGCGATGGCGATACGGCTGAAAATTTATAAAATATTTCGTCAAAATGATGTTCGGTTTCTTGCGTATGCGTATAAACGTTTATACGAATGTAACTGAAAATAGTTCACCTGGCAGGTGCGTCGACAATCTTTTTTTCATGATATTCCTGACAAATGAAAATTATCGCATAGTTATTCCGGTGCTATCAGGTAATTTAAACTCCCGGAAATAATTGAATAAACATGTTATCCTAGAAATAACAGATATATAACGGGACATGATAACCTAACGCCCGTGACGTTTATCCGTAAACCTGTAATGTTAGGTGGACCCAGTGCTGGGAGACCAAAGAATTTCCCATGCTACAGCGCATGCCTGAAGTGACGTAGGGCTACATAGGCTGCGTTCTGATTTTAGGTTTGTTCTTTTTCCACACTTCAGGACTGAACTCTGTGAAAAGTGTATACTGAAACGTTCTTTTTCTCGGAAGTGACGTTAGACTTGCTGTTCTTTTTCGAAGTGCAGTTGTCCTAGGTCTGAAATAGTTCTGAATTCGCTGCCCCAGGTCTTTAGACAGTGCAAGAGTTCAGCCATAAAATTCTAGCGGAAATTTCAAATGAAAAGTCTGCCGTACTACGCATTTTGATGAAGAATAAGAAAGAAGAACGAGAAATTAGTAAGTAAATACATCTAACCTAACCTTTTTATCAGCCTTCTGAAATAAAATTACGTGTTTTTCTTAAATATATAAATTAGTTCTTCTCGTTATTCTACGTATAAAGAAATATTAATCGAAAAATAAATTTGAGATACTTCCCAGTAAGCAAATTGCCCGCAGAATCTCAGCAATTTGCAGTAACGTTGTATATAACGTTATGAACTACATATTTCAAAACATTACATTATTGAACATCGTAATAATAATGTGTTGATAATTTTTTGTTTAGTGGGTATATGCATAGAAACAATAACACGATGGCAGAAAATCAAAAGGACAACATTGGACATATTTCTAAGGATGACATCGGTAATATAATTATCAACAAAGAGGGATGTGTCACATACACTTGTGGAGGTATGAAATTAATATATACTTATACTATTTACGTTTTGATATGTAAATCGATAATTAAGTAAATAAATAATTGATTTTAAGAAAACTAAATTTATCTTATTTGCAGATCTGATATTTCAACTGCCTTACAGTGAAATTGATTTTACATACGATACACTACAATGTACGGTTGCAGACAAAACAATATTTATAGAATTGCATGAAAATGCAAAAAATATACCTTTGAATAATAATATAGCTCAAAAACCATCTCAAGAATATAATAGAAAAGAAATATTTTCATGGAACGACGCAAGAACTAAGTTATTTTTAACTTTATATAAAGAACACAAAGAACTATTGGCAACTAGAAAAATTAAGACACATAAATTATTATGGCAAAAAATTGCTGAACTTATGCAATCACATGGATATAACACAACAGTTTCTCAAGTGGAAAATAAATTTAAATCACTTGAAAGATCCTACAAAAACATGATTACAAATAATAAACAAACTGGTAGAGGACGCGTATCATGCACATATGAAACGTAAATAATAATTAATTTTACATTTTGTAAAAGACTTAAGCACGTAAAAAACATATTGTTTACTTATTACAGAGAATTGACTGAACTATTGGGACATAAGCATAATATTGAACCCTTAGCGGTAACAGGCAGGCAAGGTTTAATTTTAAGAGAAGAAATACGAGCGAATACATTCACGTAAATATCATAATAGACATTTTATTTTTTTAATTGAATGTATACAATATAAATTTCAATTAATGTATCATACTTAAAATATATTCCATTACTGTATTGTCATTAAATAGAAATCAATTATGTTTGTGCAGAATTCTTTTATATACTCATTATGTGTATTTATTTAGATCTAACAATGACACTAATGTAGATGAGCCATCTAATTCAAACAACACCATTTTAAACGACAATACTAGTTATCTTGCCAGCCAGCCCAGTACAAGCGAAACTAATATCCATCCAATCAATACAACTGATATCAATACAAGCAATAGAACCGATACCAATATAACCCAAAACATTACACAACAGATTACACAAACATCAAACAAGATTTCTAGAAAACATATGGGTACTACTGGCAGATTGTTGCAAACGTGTCAGAAAACACTTCAAGATATCTCAAATAATATCGAAGAAGATAGAGCGGCTAAATTAGACATACAAAAACAAATGTTGGCTGAGTATAAACATATGCGCAATACATATACAGAAAGTTTTAATAATATAAATGACAATTAAACACAGCAAATATAATAAGGGAAAAGAACAATTAAAAACAGCAAATATAACAAGGAAAAAGAAAAATAAACTTTTAGAGGATCTTATTTTAGAATTAAAACATAAACGGAATTAATACATTTCACATATTTGTTTATCAATGTATCTATTTAGTGTTTATTATATTTTTGTTACATATATTTTTCTTATATTTTTGTCACGTGTATTTTTGTTATACATACATTGTTATACATACATTTAAATACAAATAATATTCCTTTTAAATTATTTTTTTATTGTCAACCAGTTTTTTTTCTATATTACTTATAAAAAATCCATATTATAATATATTTTTTTACATATTCTATAATTTATTAAAAATTTATTTTGTATAAAATTATAAACTCTTTAGTTTACAAATAATTGGTGGCATATTTCGTCACGAATGTGTACTCCAGTTTCAATCTCTCTTGGTGCTATATCTATTTCGGTATGTAGTCTTTGTGCTTCAATGTCAGGTTGCTCGTCATCTATAGGTGCTTCGAAAATTTCTAAATCGTTTGCATTTGCTATATTATGAAGCACGCAACATGCGTGTATCACACATGTCATTTGTGGTATATCTCGCAGTTTAAAATGGTACAATTGTCGAAACCGTTGCTTGAGACATCCAAATGCATTTTCAATTATGACTCTACAAGAACTTAATTTTTGGTTAAATGTCCTTTGCGCACGTGTTAAATGTCCATTGTCCCTATAAGGCACAATCAACTGTTTTAGACAAGGATACGCACTATTTCCCAACAGATAATTATCTGAAAAGTAAGTTTATTTAAACATCAATTGTTATTAGTTTATACTTTTATATTTTATAATTTTTCAACTAACTTCCACAGAGTTCATGCAAATCATTGCATATTGGTGAATTTTTAAATACTCTTGCATCGTGCACCGAACCAGGATATCCAATAAATACATCCATAAATTTCATATGATGGTTAACTGTTCCCTGAATATGTAAAGAAAAACATTGCTTCCGATTAATATATGATTCAGGATCTTCTATTGGCTTATCTATTCTAATGTGGGAACCATCAATAGCGCCTAAAACAAATATCAACGTATGAATAAAATATTTTTAATATTTACATGATAAGAAAATGTAACATTGAAATATATATATATTCATGTCATATATGGAGTAATTGGTATATAAATATATAACATTGCAAATATAATATAATAATTATAAAATATAATATTTACCAATAACTCCAGGAAAGCCTTTTTTTTCATAGTAAAAGGCTGCTGTTTCTTCTTTTTCAATTATAGTGGGATATCTAATAATATCAGGTGCCATAGATATTATAAAATCAGTGACCCTCGTGATAATTTTGTGCAAAGCGCTTAAAGTTACTCCAAATCTATCAGCTACGTCACGATATGATGCACTTTCATGGCCTATAAACCATAAATAACTTAAAATATGCTTTTCAGCTGTTATTTTTGAACGTCCTGAATCATCTGAAAGAATAACATATATTAAATAGTTGATATTAATATCATAACAGTATTAAAAAAAAAATAGAATCTATATTAAGCTATTAACTATTCATTTTTCTTTTCTGCAGTTCTTATTTATTCTATATATTTCTATTTCTATAAAAGAAGCTATTATTTAAAAAATTGTGTTTATTTTTTGTGTTTTTCAATTAGCGACACAGGTCGACACAAGAGTCATTGGCTACGTTCAGCCAAAAAAGCTGTTTTGCAATTGTTGTAAGATTCTTTAATATGATTGATTCTTGCTCTTGGTTGTAACTGTATTCAATCATATAAAAGAATCTTACAATAGTTTTAAAGCTGTAAAGTTTCTGCTGAACATAGCCATTATGTCCTTGTTTCTCATTGAGTATTAAATAAAGACAGAATGACTTTTATGTCGACTTGTGTCACTAACTGAAAAGTACCCTTCAAAAAATAATTTATCTTCTAAAAATAATATTAATTAACATACCTTGTAAGGAAGTAAATATTTCACACATGCTGAATTTAGCTGAGTTCATGTGCTATTTCTCTCGATAAACGAAAATGCATAATAAAATCAATATTGTCATAACTCCGAACAATGTTTTCAATGTAATTGATTATTTTTACATGTTCTATTCTTTGAATCATTCCAAAAATTGGGTGCAATAGATGTAACTCGTCATAACCTAAAAAATTGTTAAATAAATTCTTCTAAGTTTTCCATCTTTCCAACAACCACAATTTGTTTATCATATTAAATTATATATCACCATCGTCATCTTCAATTACGGGTATTTCTGGTGGTGGTACCATGATTACATTCTCTTCATCTGAAGAATCAATTAACTCCAAAATACTAGCACATTGATCCGCCATGTAGATTGCTACACTATAAGCGTTCTTTACACACTGGTATGAATTCTTGCACTTGGACTGAACTCGCGTGAACTTCCCTACTCTAGTTCAGTTCTAGTGCAGTCCTGGAGTGTGGAAAAAGAACAAACTTATTCACTGCTAGCACTGAAATTCTATGGTATACGTGACACAAACTATGTATTTTCAGTACTGACAGTGAATTTCGGAACGCAGCCATATATGTCAAAAACCACTGACGGTTTAAAACGCATGACAGAGAATCCATGGAGGGGCCCGCGCAAAATATCTGTGTCTTCCGTAGTTATTTTCCCGCGTTTCTTCCGCGAGTGCGTAGTTTAGGATTAGGTTACCCAGTAAACATTAAAGCCAGCGGCACACGGTGCTTGTTTTCGTGCTGGATTGCTTGCTGGATGAAAATGCTGCGTTCTGATTGATACATTTTCGAAGATGGATGGAAATACACCAATCAGGACGCATTATTTTCATCCAGCAAGCAATCCAGCACGAAAACAAGCACCGTATGCCGCTGGCTTTAAATATGTTATATTTATGTTATGTCACATCAACATTATAATTTCTTAATATCATTAATTAATGGCTGCGTTCAACAGAACAAAGTGATCAGTGAACGCTTAGTGATTCTCGCTTCTGATTGGTAAATACTTCTGGGTCTATGAAGAATCTAAAAGAATGCTCCAATCACAGACAATAATCACTACGCGCTCACTGATCATTTTGTTCTATTAAGCAGCCAATGTAATGTAAAGTCAACGGCATACGGTGCTTGTTCTCGTGTTGGATTGCTTGCTGGATGAAAATACTGCATTCTGATTGGTGCATTTCTATCCATCTTCGGAAATGCACCAATCAGAACGCAGTATTTTCATCCAGCAAGCAATACAGCACGAAAACAAGTACCGTGTGCCGCTGGCTTTAGATTGATTCTTTCAATTAAATTTTTTACACTGGTGTAGTATAGTGTAGAAATATGTGTCGAAGAAACTCACGTAATCTCGATATATCGAAGTTTCGATAATAACGTAGCTTAGCCAATCAGATTCGTTTGTTCTACATCGTGGAACATTTGGACTCTGCACACATCACATATAAATTCACCCCACATTCCTATCAGTAATGTTTTACATCCATGATTCAGTAGTATTGCAAAGTAATTTCGATTTATCAATTTTACAATTTTTAAATTTTGATCCGAATCTGGATCAAATTGCATATAAAAATTGTGTGTTGAATGGGATATTTATATAAACCAGTATAAATTATCGATTTCAATCTGTTTTTTTACTTATCATTTCAATTGCTTTCTGAAGAGAAGATATTTGTCACAAGAAAATTTAGATTCTTACAACTGATCTTGTAATCGCCACTATGAGTGACAACACCAAAGAAATGAAAAATGAGATTGAAAATAAGGAATTAAACGATTTGCTGGACAGTAAGTACATTTATGCTGTATTATTTTACTTGAAAGATCAAACTAACCTGACGAAGAGCTCTTAGAAATATATTTAAATAGTCAACAATAAGAAATAAGTTTCTAATAGTTATACAATAAAAAGTATTAATAAGAAACGGTTACATAACGTAAGTTACTTATAATATTTTTAACATCAATGGATTATACAGTTTGAATTACATTTGTATTTCTAATTTATCAATGATCTTTGATCTATCTGTACAATATATTAATTATATAACTTAAACTCCAAGTCTTATTCTTTAGGTGCTTTAGCAGATTTCGATAAACTCTCTGTGCCAAGTGCTAAACAGGACAGTGTTGAAGTTGCATCAGATCCACAGAAGCAAACAGAAAAATATGAAACATCTGAAAATAATGAAAAGGACTGGACGGAAGACTTTTTCAAACAAACGATAGATCAAATGGATAAAAATTTGCAAAACTTTGCAGAAACTTTGAAAAATGGTGAGATAATAAAACATGAAAAGAACATAGACATATTAATGCAAGAATCTATTACTAGGTGATGAAGAATTGAATGAACTTAAATCTGTTCTTCAAACACTTGAACAAGCTTCAGCTAGTAATGCAACAGATGGAGAAGACAATATTTCTGCAGAATTTGAATCAGCTATTTCACAAGTTATAAAGTCCTTATCTGTACCAAGTGAAAATATACAGGTAATTTAATTTCTATAAGATGATATAGTGCATATAATGTAATTTAGGATATACTTGCTAATAAAATCAAAGTGTGATCACAAGTATTTTGTATTGCAAAATGTATTTTAGAGTGAGACAGATTGCTTAGCAGCTATGCTTGGACAAACATCTTTGGATAGCGACGGTGGTGATGTATTATCTTTTGTGCAAGGAATGATGCAACAACTTTTATCAAAAGAAATACTTTATCCAATATTGAAAGAAGTGTTGGACAAATATCCAGCTTGGTTAGAGGAACACAAAGCAACTTTGAGCCCTTCAGATCTACAAAAATATACAAAACAATTTGAGTTGTTGCAAAAGGTATGTTAATAATAATGATTGCATAACAAAAGTATTTTATTAACATGTTTATATTGTAAATAAGGTATGTTCTGAGTTGGAAAAAGAAAAGGAAGATGATACTAAAGAGATTAAGCAACGACGTTTTGAGACCATAATGTCGCTTATGCAAGAAATAGAAAAGTGTGGTCAGTTACCGCAGGAACTAGCATCAACAGTTATTCAAGATTCTAAGGGAAATTTTCTGGATGAAATTAGCTCTGTATTATGCAGAAATATATAATTATATGTAAATGTAGTTGTTATCGGAATATTTCATTGTATCAATGGTTTTTATAATTTATATTTTGGCAAAATGCTAAGATATGCTTGGTTATTATCTCTCAATGGATTAGAAACATATAGATTTTACAAAATATGTGGGAATACTAACAACCGGTGATATTGGATTGAGTTAAAGGCGACTTTTTCAGTATGTTTTTAGTTGTAATCTTGGTTGATTTTGACAATAAATTTTAATTAAAAAGATTTTAATCGTTTGGAAATAGTTTTCTAATTTTCTAAGATACTTATAAAATTAAAAATTTCTTACACTATGCAACACTATATCCATCAATCTTTGTTTGCAAAAGAATTATCCATTTTAATGTAGGTAATGGTTATAGGTACTATATGATTATACAGACGTATATAATTAGTTGGAAATATTTTATAATGTAATCACATGTACGCGTCTTGAAATATTATAATAAAATAATATACTTACAATTCTCGATGTGTACTATTTACTTCGATATAACTGATCGTTCCTTTCTCGTTGATAATCTTCGAGCAACCGTGTATCTGCATTACACCGCAAAAAAAAATAAGAATCTATTTCTTAGGAGGAAATTAATTAGCATTATTTCCTATATATATGTTTATCTCACGACTGTTAGCATATATAATACCACACATAGTAGGATATTAGTTAGTACCTTCATTTTCCTTTTTCTCTCCTCTCTCTATAAATTGAATATATGCAAGTTTATTTATATGCTAACTTTACGCTTCACAATTTCTCGATACATGGTAAAATAAATTTAATAATATACGATATATTTTGTAAATAAATCGATATTCCAGCTTTATTCGATTTATTTTTCACTTGGTAGACGATAAGAATCCACGATAGCTTCGTCAAGTATGTTGGACGATGAACGTCAGAAGCGAGATCTTTTTACGAGCTCATCATAACGTATCGTGTACGAATTTCTAGAAAAATGATTTATCTGTACATGAGCCGTACGAATCATCCGCGCGAATCTCGTTATTTCCGACGGGCCTCATAATCCAAGATCGCTGACGTAATCGTATCGTAAGACGTCGAGAATCGCTAAAATTTCACTATTTTCGTTATGTGTTTCTTTAATAATGTTGCCTATTTCAATCTGTCATGACTACTACATAGGGCAGCTATCGAATTAATGAAGTGCGATGTGTAATCACTCGATATGATCCTTACTGAAATACACGCCATCGAGATCTCATCATGTAACTTTCAATTTAAAGGACGCGCAATGTACAAACAGTGAAAGAAACGACGCTAAGCGGATTAAGCATAAACATACGTAAAGAACATCAATCCTGTCAAGGTGTACCGTATGAAGTGTTCCTCGGCGATTGCGCCTGAAGGGTTTGCTGCTGATTCACCGGAGACTGCGTCGTGGAAGCTATTGTCGTCGGAGTGATCACGCGAGCGTACACGGCACCTCCGGCAGTTTTCAACCCGGATGGAGTCGGTATCACCTTGAGTCCATGCAACGTTTTGATATTGAGCAATTGGCTCGGCAAGATGATCGGTTGTTGCGTTTGTTGCTGCTGCTGTGGCTGCTGCTGCTGCTGCTGCTGTTGCTGCTGCTGCTGCTGTTGCTGGGTAGATGTCGGTTGTTTGCCCAACACCACATTTCCGCCGCTGGCGCTTACCGCGACCCCGACATTCTTGTTACCGCTCGCCAATACGATTGGCTTCCCCGCAAGCTGAGCGGTGACCATGCGAACAGTTTGCGCTTGCTGCGACTGAGATTGCTGATGTTGCGTGCTGACTATTATCTTCGATTGGCCGGAAGACGCTTGCTGTTGCGGCACCACCTACAAGAATAATACACGACGTTGCAAGCAGTTCTCTCAGATTAATTCTATTTTATTAAACGAACGAAAGTTGGATCTCCGTTGTGTACGAAAAGTGTCATTACCTGATACTGAGCTTGTATCACTTGCTTGCCCTGTCTGTTGAGTTGATTAGCGTGACCGGTTGTGGTAGCCAGCTTTAGTCCCTTTTGAGCGAGCAGGCTCTCGACGGATATGATTTGTCCTCCGCTGCTGTTCGTCAAGACCTTCGCCAGAATCTTCTGCTGCTGCTGCTGATGGGGTGACTGCTGTATTTGTACGGCAATTGGCTTTCCCCCAATCTGCGCGATGATGCGCTGCATTCCGGAGGTCTGTATAGGTTGTTGTTGATTAGCCACAACTCGTTGCTGTAGTTGCTGCTGTTGTTGCAGCTGTTGTTGCTGCTGCTGCTGCTGTTTCATCAGAATAAAAAGTAAAGTTAGACTACATAATGACGGGGTAATGAGAGAACCCGTTGAACAAAGATACCTTTAATTGTTGTTGTTGCTGTTGTTGCTGCTGCTGCTGTTGCTGCTGTAATTGCTGCGACTGATTGCCAGATGGTGAGGACTGTTTGATGAATATGGTTTGGCCTTGCAGACCGTGACCCGTAAGCAATGACTTGATTTGGCTGGAACTAACTAATTTGATCTGCGATGCCAAGAGAGTTTTGCCCGGCAAAACGTGCTGTTGTTGCGCTTGCTGCTGTTTTATGTTGGTAGTCTGCAAAATACTTTTCCCCGCTTGATTCGCAACAATAGCTTGCTGCTGCTGCTGCTGCTGTTGCTGTTGTTGCTGTTGCTGCTGTTGCACCTTTGTAGACGGCAGTATGGTTGTTAAGTTCCCCGTCCCGTTCGCCACACTGGAAGCAACACTGCTGCCGCTATTGGTTGGAACAGGTTGCGCAGATTGCAACACCGAGTGCCCAGATAAACGAATGGTCTGCAAGCCGGCTGAAGTAGATACTTGAATCTGATGATGCGGGAAATTGTGCTGATTTGACTGCAACAAACTCTGAGTGGCGTTCGTTTTGACTACGGTGACCGGTTTCCCTCCTATGTTCGAAGCCTTTTTCACTGTCGTTATCGGAGCAAGTTGCGACTTCGTCTCGACCGGCATAACGTTATCTCGCTCGACAGCCACGCTGGTGACCGAACCTGAAGAGCTCGAAAGCGACACAACGGGGACAGGAGAGTCGACGATGGAAATAGCTGGTGTGGACACCGCGCTAACCGCCACTTCCACGTTGGTATTAACAGACTGTTCGGTGGAAACGGGATGCTCGTTGATGATCTTCTCTTCAGCTTTACGCTGCTCTTTCCTGAAATAGGAACTTATAGCATAGTATTTTCAGGGTACATTCTCGGATATGTTCTTTTCGGATAAATGGTGGGACAATGATATACTTGGACGTGACAGTCTGCGCAGTCTGCATCGCCGTTCGTCTTTCTTTCTTAGCGGTGGTCTCTTTAACGTTCATAGACTGCTCCTTGTTCATGTTAGCCGACTTAAGAATTGGCTGCAGCGACTTGTTGCGCGACGCGCTGCCGACGTTTTTCTTGTTCTTCGCGACGCCTTGCAATTGCTGGTGATACATTTCTACGAGAGAAACACGGCGAAATCATTATGTAGACCAAACGAGCGAAGACACTGCGTGTACAATCGTGTCCTGCTAAATAAAATAATGACTAATAAAACTAAGGTAAACGAAAACAAACCGAATTCAGATTCCGAGCGTGCTCGATGAAGATACAGCCATTCCTTACGACGTGGGTAATATCTCACGCAAGGGTCCGCTTCATAATGTAATCTGTCCAGAGCCCCTGACACCACGGAATGAAGATAGCCCTCCTTATCGTCATTGTCCCCTTGCTCCCTGATATACTGAGAGTCCTTGAGTAACTGACAAATATCGGCGCGAGTTCCTTCACCGTTGGGTAGTCGGGCGGTGGCGTCTCTGACCAGCGCCAAGATCGTAACGAAGTTCGGCCGGTCCGCTACCAGTAGCGAGTGACCTCGTGGTTTGGTCGGTCCGGAACCTAAGTAACGAAAGGAAAGATGAGGATTCCTGTGAAACACCACCAGTGCTCGGCGTTGCGACGTGTGACTCGCGAAACTTACCGACATTGTGTTGGTAGATTCCCTTGACCGGGCCGACTACGGACGCGTAGCCGTGCATGCGGTAGGTGAACGCCTTGTGGGGCGCCGCGTAGCGCATACGCTCTTGCCTGCGGAATTCCTCGCGCTCCTCCGCCGTGGACGGACGAACCTTCCATTCTGTGGGGAACAACGCTCGAGGTGGCTCCCATTCCGCGACAGTACCGACGGTACCGGTGTCTACGGTGGTGGTTTCCAACGCAGGACTTGTGCTTCTACCACTCGAGCTGCCGATTGCGATCGCGTTGTTGGTCGTCGCGCTATTGTTCGCAGGGGCGAGCTGGGCCTGCGGTTTCGGGGCTGCCACTGTGTTCGTGATCGAAGCGTGAGGCGGGCTCAACGAGTCTCTGCAAGTGTAATTGTTCTTTCAGATTAGTTAGAAATTTATATAACGATCATACTTGTGTACTCTTCAGACTTTTCTTTCTAAACAAAGCCGTCTCCCTTTCTCTCCCTCCGTGTGAATCAACGTACGACAAGAAGGAAGAGATGTAGAGAACTACGATACGTACTTGTACATGAGGAACTTCTCGCACAGGTCTGACAATCGAGTGTCGGAGTCGCGACCTGCGCCGATCCACGCGTACACGCCGCGACCTTTGTTCTCTAAGTAGGGCACAAGCTCCTGCTCTCGTTCTTGCCGTTGGTCAAGCTCTTGGGAATACGTTAATTCACCGGCGAGAAATCCCAGAGCCAGCGGCACCAACGCGGGCCACGAAGGTGCCAGAGGATACCTACGTAATAATGATAAACGGTCTGTCCATACCAGTCAACAGACCTTCCGCTTACATCGGATGAGTGCAAAAGTTTCGATAGGTTTCTTAAGGATACTGATTTGACTAATCGAGTTTTCTTGCAGCATTTGCAAATATATCGATGTACAATATATATCGTGGAATAATAGAAAACAATGGCGATTACTTGCTAGAATGAGAGTGAACTACTTTCAATAAAATTATTTGATCCATTTTTCTATCGCAAAATCCATCGGAACATTTTTACATTCACCTAATATATTAACACGCGAGATTCGATATACCAGTCGTTCAACGGAGAGATAGGATTGCTTTGCCACTGTGTGATCGCTTCTTTCATCTCCACCGTGCTCATTCGGTACTCCCCTTTGGAAGTGAAGGCGTCTCGCAGCAAGGAGAAGAAGCACGCGTGCATTTCTTGTATCAATTCCGCGCCGTTATTCACGTCCGGAGTGATCTCACTGGATGGTACGGTCAGTTCTTTTTCTGGTATTGAGATGACGGCGTCGTCCTCACACCTGGCGATGATTTGTCGGTTCAGATATCTTGACCATCGATTCAATCGGCTACAATGGATATGACTATGGATGGATATTAAGATCAAACGAAAACCTACTTGACGTCGTCGAGTATATCGATCCCGTCGTCCAGTTGGATCGGTATCTGCATCATATCGATGCTGTCCAAGTCGAGCTCCTTCTTGGTTTCGTTCTCATCTTCCTCTTCGGTCTCGGCTAACATGTCCTCGTTTATGCCTGAGCTCAATTCTGTTTTCACCTCGTCGTAGTCTATATCTTCGATTTCTTTCTTGATCTCTGGTGTGTTCATGACTATCGGTTTGTTGCACTTTGGAGTTACTGGACTCCTGCAAACCAAAATTGTGTAAGGAAGTTCCGTGAGATTTGTACCCAACGTGTACAAATAGTTAATATATAGTAACAGCAATATGTATCGATGCATATAATAAATAGTTGCAGTTACATTTTCTTCTTAGCTAAGTGATGCGCTTCATATGTGTCGACCGGTTCTGTCTTTACAGGAGTCGCTATTCTGTTGTAATCCATGTCTATCATGTTGGATTGTCTGTTGTCATCAGTCGTGTGAGAGTAGTCGCTGTTGTCGCTCTCATGTTTCACCGAATTCGAATTCATCGACTTCGGTGCCGGTAGCAGGTTCTGTTCTGCTTTGATTCGCTTTTTGGCTGGTGTAATCCTCATGGAAGCGCCCATTGAGAATCTCTTCTGGCCGACTTGTGATCGTTGCGTGAGGTCAGAAAGCGCAATTCCTTGGGTATTCAATTCCGGATGAACCTGCGTCAACATATGATTCAGTTCGATAGCTTTATTTATTCGTGTGCAAGTGAATTGTGTTGTACGTCACGTTGTCACGCGATAATGAAATTCGTATACGTACGTCGCGACGAGCCCGTCGTTTCTTATGTGCGATTAACATGGCACGATAAGTCTCTTCTGTCTGTTCACGTAAAAGTAACGACTTGCTAGGGGCATATTCCATACGTTGCAAGGTGGAGAACACAGGCCGGATCGTTTCGTCATCGAGTTGTAGACCTCTCACTGACAATCCTTGGAAATTCATAATAGAACGCCGTTTCCGCTTTTGCTTAGCCCCGGACGTTGGATAATGCGGATAATTCTCTTCGTTTTCGGACGTTGTGTCAGCAGCCAGCCTCGTGTTGGCCCCAAGTTCTGCTCGAACTGCGTTCAGTTCCTCCATATAACGCAGCTGGGTCTTCTCTTCAACTATCATTCATTTGCGCGGGTTAAATTTTATTGTCCCCCGGAAGTTACTACATACTTCTCTGCCAAACGGCTGAAGTGCGGGGGGAAATATAAACAGCCGGAAAATATTTTGCAATGTGTTTTACATGCTAAGTCACTTACCCATTACTGGCTTTGGTTTGCGCCAATGAAGCTTGGACACTGTACGACTCGCCGGTTGACTAAAGCCCTGCTTGTACGCGTTCGACAATAAACTCTCGCGCGATTTCAGCAGCTGACTTGCTAATTCATAGGACCGTTTACGTGCCTCGAATAGTAATCTCCTCTTCTGAGCCTTACGCATCAAGGTGCGCATTTTTCTAATATCTGGACGATAATGACCAGCAGAGAGGTGATTGTGAAATATATCCAGCGCCGATATGCCAAATCTACAACAAATATAATAAAAGATGTCCGATTATTACACATAGAGGATGTAAAAATATAAAGAGAATATAGAAATGTTAATTAAAATTAAATTAACTCAAGAAACAACTTGTTTCTTTGCGAGAGATATTTCAAAAATCCATACCTGTCGTTTTCTCTATTAAACAGCATCTGAAGTGATTTATTCATTTCTGCCTCTATATTGCAATCTTTTGGAAAAGTTGGTAAAAGATTATATAATATGTCTCTTTGACTCTCAGTAAGGCATTCATTCCATAAGCGCGGGTAATCTAGCATTTCCTTAAAGATACTGAAATGTTCGCAAAGATCTTGTGGTAACTTTACTTTAGTGTTGGCAGCAATACAAGTTTCCCATCTCTAAAAATTCATAAATATACTTGTTATATAGTAACAATATTTTATTTGCTTCTTTATAAAATTATTGTATGTAAATACAAAGAATATGAATCTTACCAAAGTATCAGGGTTTTCTGCATTTACTATATATTCTGTATTTTCATTATCATCTTCATCTTCCTCTCCAGAACTGTGACTCTCACTACTGCTTGTAGCATGCTCTTCTGCACTGTCTTCATCACTGTCTGTTGTTGTACTACTGCCACTTATACTACTACTGCTACTATTACTCCTAGAACCATGAGTTGAAGCTTCATCTTCATCTTCTTCAGCTGCGCTATCCCCACCAACCGAACATTCATCCATCTGTAAACAAGATGTTCAATTAATGATTTGTGTTAATGCATAATTAAACATGTTGTCAATAGTTAAATAACAAAGATTTTCAATATTTTATCCAATAAATCAAATTCTGCTGTATGAATGAAAATATCTTGATTCATTATATTATTATTCTATCAATTACTATTAATAAATTGATGCAATATAGATGACCATGAATTATATAAATTAAACAAAAATGTGTAAAAATGTGTTTCAGAATATGTCACACACATTTACACTGCACTCGTATGCATACACTCATTCATTCACACTATACACACACACACATACACACACACCCATATATGCGCACACACACATCTTATTCATATTGAGGAGCGTATTCAGCGGACATTGATTTTATAGCGATTGATAGAAATTAACCTCCATTTTACTGGATTATCAACTTCGTATGTTTTTTCTATGCGACGATTTATGCTGTGTCCATCAAAACAATAGATCCATACACCTAATAATATATATGTAACACCACTGTGAAAAATGCAAGAGAACTTCTTTGGTACTTCCTTGCTCATGCAAGAGCACTGTGCACTACACTGTATATAGATAATAGTTACATCAAGCAAATACTAATTAACATCGCTATCTGTCCTTGCAAAACTATATTTTCCCAGCATATTTTAGTCATGGCGTTAAATGCGGCGAGAGTGACAGTGTTGTGTGTAGCCATGATGTATATACATATATAAATAATATCGGAAAATGTGGTTTCTCTCTCTCTCTCTCTCTCTCTCTCTCTCTCTCTCTCTCTCTCTCTCTCTCTCTCTCTCTCTCTCTCTCTCTCTCTCTCTCTCTCTCTCTCTCAAGCGATATTGGATCTGTTCTCTTCAACTGCGCTTCATGTACTTTCCCGCAAGTTTTCTTTTTCTTTTTTTCTTTCCAGTAAATTTCACATATAAATATATATATTTATTTTATTTTAACTACAGAAAATTCAACATGTAATGTAGTTAAACAAACAGGTAAATAGTGCAAATGCAATGTTTAAATATTTTCGAGTTGACATAACGTGTCTAGATATTCGTGCATCATGACTGTTCATTAGTGCAACCAACTAAACAGATATGTCGTCGTTGATCCTCTAGCGGGTACTATCTAGTAATTTTCAGGTATATTTCACCATTCTTTCTCCATTATTTTAAAAAATTCCTAATACTATTTTTATTTTATAGTTGTAAAATTACATCTAAATATCAACTGATTACTTAGCGCATCAATATATAATATTTAAATGTTTTTATTATTATAACAAAATAAAAAATCAAGTTTAATAATGAGAAGACATATGTCCATTGTTTTATATTCACTCTTTTTTATATTTAACAAAAATGTAACAAACATATATACATATATATATATATATATATATAGACAAGGAAATAAAAATATAATGCGACTGTCTTGTACTTATATTGTACAAAGTGCTTAAAAGATTTCATAACATGACATTATATTAAAAGATTCATCTCCATTCATTGCAGTATGCAAGTCATGGATTTTATTCGAATATCTTTCATAAGGTTTTAACCACGTTTCTATTGAATCATCAAGTTGTAAAGTCCTAAAAATTATATCAATGGATGGACAAGTAACGAGGATTGTCCCTTTCTTTATTGTAGCTTTCAGAAACTTCCATATATCTATCTGTATGTCTTTGGATAAATAAAATTCGAAAGGATTATTCAAAATAATGACGTCACTTTCTTCAATTACCTTTGGTACATTTTCTATTCTGTTGTGAAAGATAGTTATACGACCACCCATTTTGTACTTATGTATAATATCATTCTGAAGATTACAGAATTCTTCATTCATTTCAACACCAATAATTCTTTGAGCATCTGTATAAACATATGCCTGTAAAATTTTCCAAATGTTAAGAAAATTCTGAATATGCAAAGTATGACTTTTTAAAAATTACTATATATAAATTAATTTTCTTTTCAGATAAAATACTCACTCCATAAAGAACTGCACCCAATCTTGAACCTACATCAAGTATGGTTTTGCCTTTTAATTTTGGTAGACATATATTAAACATATAGTACAATGCTTTTCGTGATATGGAGTGTGATATGTAAACTAAAATTGTATACAAGATTATATTATAACATAAAATATAAATAAAATAATATATTACTGAATAAATTACTAGATAAATTAATTAAATATAATTAAAAGAAAAAGATTTACTTACTTAATGATTCTGTATTTCTAGACCCACAATCAAGACAATAGTACCTTTGCAATTGCTTGTTATTCTCAAGTTCAGTCAAATCATCATAATCATATAGAAACAGATCCATGTGAAATGTTATATCAGAGTCGCAATCTGAATTCTAGAAGATATCACATAGCTTATGCACATGTAACTTTTTATTTTAGCATTTAATTGAAACAAGACATACCAATCCTGACAAAGGTTTTATGATATTTTCAGATGGTAATATAGCGTTGAAAGGGACTTTCTGTTTAATATCAAAAACAATAGTATTTAACATAAATATTGGGTAATCTGTGTCATTGTCTTTATCACAGTCATATGTATCATCTCCTATTAACAATTATTTGAGTACAAAGCAAAGTAACATGCTTTAAAATTATGAATCATTTTGACAAGTTATCATACCTGTATGATTGTAAAATACAGATGATTCTACTTTCCATTCCTTTATAATAAATGATAAGAATTTCTGTTGATCATTTTTATTTAACGATCGCATTAGTTCAATAAAATGTTCTTCTGCCTTGTTTAAATCAATTGACATTTTTTGGCTTATCCTTTACTAATAACAATAATGACTCTCAACAGACTTTTTATCTAAATAACACATATAAATTGTGAATTATTTATAAATTACACATAAGCAATGTGTGTATATATATATATATATGTATATATATATATGTATATATATATATATATATATGTATATACATAATATTAAAGATTACATAAGACTGAAAGCACACTAAACACAATCATATAGACTTCTTATTCTTTATTTAAATAGATATCTATTTTGGAACTGACAAACAAATAATGGCTTTCTTTATTTTCTTTATTCACACAACTTTATTCACACAACTTTTACATCTTGTAATCAAATTAGTATCCTGGAAGATATTTAGCCTGGATTTAAATTTAGAGCTAACATAGTCGTAGATTAATCAGTAGAAAGAAAGGCGAACCATATTGACATGTTTGAATTAAATAGATTTTCATAGCTTCGTTGCAGTATCTGCATTACCGTCTGATATTTTTTTCAATGAGAACGCGCATATTCGTTCTTCATTTTGCGCAATCGTTGCACCGCGTCTATAATCGTGCGCTTTCAGTGCCCTCAGCGAATCGTCGTCTGACGTATTCTGTCGTATCCCTAGCGGATACAGCGAAATCTATACGTCAAAAGATACGAGCGGCCGTATTTTGAAGGAGGTTTCCATTTTAACCTCTCGGTCGGACCTACATTTGGTCGTGCTGAATTCATCATGTTGGCTCTTATTAATCGGATCTTGGACTGGTTCAAGTCTCTTTTCTGGAAGGAAGAGATGGAACTGACTCTCGTCGGCTTGCAGTACAGCGGAAAGACTACCTTTGTGAATGTCATAGCGGTACGTGACTCATAGATCTGTCAGATTTACTCCGCACGAGTCATATGGGCGAATGTGAAACGTCGATGATACCATTTGCCGTTGATATCATCGACGAGACGCGAAGTCGGAGAAAAATCTGATATCTTGTCGATGTCTTGGTTAGATTCATTAATCCTTTCGAAATAACTCTATCCGCCGCAAATATAAACCGCCTCCGTATACGCCCTTATGTCAAGTGATTTAACATATAATTATCAACGTATTATCACGATATATTTATGATAATAGTTTATTTTTCGTCGTATATCTCTGTCTGTGTTCTTTCCGCTTTTTCTTCGTTTTTTTACTTTTACTTTTTTCCCAACTCTCCTTTCTCTTTCTCTTTTATCCCTTCTTTGTAGTTTTGCCTTTCTTTACTACAAAAATTTTATATGTAAACAGTTGCCTGACGAAAGTCACAATTATTTACATTAAAGTGTAAATTATATACAATTCATATATATGCAGTATTATTTTCAATTATGTTCATGGTACCATATTAAGAAATGAAAAATAAGCATACAGATTTCTAAGAGTCATAACAGTCACAAAAGTCATTGAGCCATAAGAAATTCATACCGCTTATTTAAATGATACATAACTTTATATATTAAGGTTATGCTAATTTGTTTAGTTAGTTAAGCATATATTTTTAAATGTTTGTTAAAAATACATTTACGTTTAGATACAAAATTTGTAGCTGTTATATTGTGGTATTAGAGACCTTAGTAACAACTTATTTTAGTTTTTATGTATGTGCATATGGATAATTTATAAAATAAAATTTTCCTCTTTTATTATGTCTGTTTAGTCTGGACAATTTAGCGAAGATATGATACCAACTGTGGGCTTCAATATGCGTAAAATTACAAAAGGCAATGTCACTATAAAAGTATGGGACATCGGTGGTCAGCCAAGGTTTAGATCAATGTGGGAAAGATATTGTAGAGGAGTGAATGCCATTGTGTACATGGTAGATGCGGCAGATTCTGAGAAGATTGAGGCCAGTCGCAATGAGCTGCATAATTTGTTGGATAAACCACAATTATCAGGGATACCAGTGTTGGTTCTTGGCAATAAAAGGGATCTACCTCATGCGTTGGATGAAAATGGACTCATAGAGAGAATGTGAGTTGTTTGCAGTCGCAAAACACAATATTATCAGTATGATACACAAACATAAATTCAAAAATGTGTTCTAGGAATCTGTCTGCAATTCAGGACCGTGAAATTTGTTGCTACAGTATTTCGTGTAAAGAAAAGGACAATATTGACATAACGTTACAATGGCTCATAGCGCATTCTAAAAGCGGGGTTCGCTAATATCCTTAAAATATCCCATTTGTTAGTATCTGAGTCTTTGATACTGATAACAGTATTGGGATCAATCGTGGAAGGAGCCCATCGAGCAAAGTTTGTTCAAAACTGAGTCATTATTGTAGAAAACTACTTTAAACTTAAGCTTTAGCCGATCTGAGTTGGGAGGTACGAATGCCGCAGTAAAATTTAACAAAAAATGAAAAAAGAAGATACAATGCTTAATGCCAAGTACGCTCGTGTGAATTATACCATAAGGCACATCACATCCCGCGAGCACCGTTAGTCGTAAGGAACAGTTTTTTATATTTTCGTTTATAGGTAAGTCCAAGAGTATATTCCAGTACCCAATAACAATTATATATAATTAGTATCTCTGTATCTTTTTCTATGATTGCTGCTATTGTAAAGCTGAAGTAATACCGACATAATCGCAGTTAATTATTGTGATATTAATAGTCTAGATGTCGATATTCTTATTTCTTCTCTTGTACTCTTGAAGGATACCAAACGTTTCATGTGTAAATTAGAGAAAATGGTAGCTAATACGAATTACACGCGCAAAGATATCATTATTGATTACTATAATATATATAGAATACACCTTCTCGAGGAACTTTAATAACAAATAAAAACGATATTGCAAACAGTGGATCATTGAGTGTATCCAATGGCAAGTTGCATGTATAGATCTTCATAACGTTAACTTATATAACCATTCCTTTGTTTCCTCCGACTTTGAAAAAAAAAATAATCCCGAATCCATACTGTTTATATGCGTTTGTGTGAATCTTCCTATGAATCACTTTTTTTTATTCATATCTATTGATATATAAAGTTTCGTAGAGTATACTTAGATCTCCCTTGTGTTTCACAGGTTTTGGAATTAAAACATTTCAAAGCACGTAAAGCAACTCGAAAGGTACAGATGAAATATCATCGTGAAAAGTAAAAAGTAAAAACTCTATTGCATGAACATTTATAAAATAGCCCATTTGCGATAGAATCAATAAATCTCTAACTCCGAAGAGATATCAGGAAGTTCATGTGAACGCATGCTCGCACATCTTTCACTGTTTTCTCCTATGAATCACTTTTTTATTCATATCTATTGATATATAAAGTTTCGTAGAGTACACTTAGATCTCCCTTAGTCAGTTTTTTTTTCTTGCGGTTTACGACTCCAATTGTTTACAATGATCCGAACCGAAACCATTCGATAAACGGAATCGACCCCGTCTGTTCCTTCCCTTTTTTTTCTATAAAATTACATATTATCCTGTGGTCGAAACATTTCTTTCGATATTTCGATAATAATAATAAACTGTACTGGGAGGGATGGGGGCTTCAGATTGCTGAAGTTTTACTATGTTGAACTTCGCTCATTTGAAGTACGATATTTCTTTCTAGCGGTGTTCGTTACAGCCAGCTTTTGCTATATTTATTAACTACACTCATGACTCACTCTTAATAAAGTGGCCACAATAATATATTAAATCTTCTGCAAAAGATCAGTTACATATTACAGCAGAAAAGATCATGTTTCCCGAGAGCTCGTCACAACGATTTGCAGATACATGTACATTGTAAAGGTAGAAACAATTTCATCTTGTTTCCCGGTTTATAATGCATACGTTATAATACAGAGTCATGGATGGAATGATTCCTTTCCACCTTTCAGGGACAGAAAATATGCGTACGCGTACGTATTGCAATATATACGCGCAATCAAGGTTCAAAGATCAAGTATCGTGATAGAATACATGTGTTGGATAATTTCATATGCGAGACGTTGCAGAGAATATAGATAATATATAAAAAAGAAAGAGAAATACAAAAAAGGTGTAAAAATATAGTAGAACGATATTCCTTATGGAATTTGTGAACACAAACCAGTTGTCCGTCAAATTCAGCGAAGAAGATCGCTCTATTATAATTTTCCTCGGAGTCTCCGTATACAGAATACCATGGCCGGAAAATATTTTAATGACAGATCATTCCTTTTACCGGTATGCACTCGATCTTTCTGCGCTAATAATGTTGAAGATTAGTAGTCTTTAAGTTACAAGCGATCGGAAGTCTCATTAGGATTCGTGAGCGTAACTAAACGATTACATAGCTTTATTTCTCAGTTAATTTCTCTCTAGTGGACTTCACTGCGGCAGATCTCAATTTGCTGTTTAATCATTACGATATTTAACATTGAGAAATGCAAGACGTGTCAAATAATGGCCGCTCGTGTAATTTTCGCTAAGAAAAAGCCGATTGTTACAAAGCCTCTCTATCTTTCAAATACCTTCCAGTGACGATGGCACATTCTGTATTCAATACACCCTGCCTTTATATCGATTACACCGGTTTCAGATTAACCCATTCAAGCCCGACGGTAACCGGTAGTTACCGCGAGTTTCGCTTGCTCGTCACTATCGCGTGCAGGCTAGTATCGAACTCTCGAATGAAATCGTCGAAAATATCTTCGGACTCGGAGCTCTGTGTTGAGATTTTATTGCTGCGGACTGTCATGTCGATCAAAATGAGACATCCCTCAGAAATCGGAGGCAATTATAGGCTTCAATGGGTTAATCTCTGAAATTTTTTGAACATTTATCGTAGTTTTCTGCTTAATTACTGTATGTTACATTTTAATGTCCATACAATACGTACATACGCATCTATATGCATATATGTATATACGCACTTTTCATAAGCTATATCTACATATATATGCATACATGCCATTTATTTACATAAATTCGAAAAGAAGATACTAAACGTTTTTTCTCCCTCCCTTTTCCTCCTGAAAAAAGACGGTGGAACTTTTCCAATTCAATTATACATGTATCGAGTAATACTTTACAATTACAACTCTATGTCATATACTTGCATGAAAAGATACAATTTTCTCTTCTTTTTCCCTTTTTGCTTACTCGACTTCGTACGTTACAACATTACTATCGTTAATAATGTCGCAAAATTATCAATTTTGATCCTTTTTTTTTTTATTTCTATTCGTCCTATACGCGTCGTGTATTCGCACTTCGTATACATTTACACGAAGACATTGCCACATAATAAGCGATAATAAGTCGATGATAAATTTTCTATTAATACAATATCTCTTTTATTGCGCGTTATGTTCCTTCGAACAAAACGGTCGAGAGAATTAATTTATAAATTATTATTCAAAATATCTCGGAATTGGCAAGGAGCGATCACGCGGTGTTATTTCTTCCTCTATCTAGCCTCCTAATTTCTTAATAAGATCATGAAAAAGAATCACACACACTCACACTCACACACGCGCGCGCACACGCACATGTTACGATCTTAATATACTTACTAAAAAAGAGAAACAATCGTATCAACAAATTTTATAAGAAACTACACAACGTGCTCGCTCTTGGTCGATTCCGAAATATCCTCTATGTTCGATCTTATATTAATCATTGCACAGAATAATCTTCCTATTTATACAAGGTGTGACATGATTTTATATTTAAAGTTGGATTTAACAATAGCACATTTTATGGATATTCTACTTGACTAGTTGTATGCATCACTAGACTTCACTCAAGATTCGTTATATAAGAAAACTCGCAAAGCATCCGTGCTTAGATTGGTTTTTTTCGTATTATGTGCATAAGAAATGTTTAAATGTCTGCCACAATTATGTCTCATTTGACATCTTTTTTCTTCGTACATCACTATGGTATTCTATATCATCTTGATATATATATATATGTGTGTGTGTGTGTGTGTGTATGTGTGTATATATATATATATATATATGCACACTTTTTATGTTGTATAATTGAATAAAGGAACCTGTGTTTGGTACAAACATTACTTGAAAGTTCCTACTTAAAATGTTCTTTTTCTCATACGCGTACATTCCTTCGATCTTTGCTTACGCACATACACTCATATACAGGGTTCCTCAGATCGTTTTCTCGTACTCTCTTTTATCTACAGATTCCTCCGACAAATTTGACGTGCATTCTTTTTAAGGAAAAATTTTATGACTTCTTAACATTCTATTCTATAAGTACATCTATGATTCAAATGTAAACAATATTGAAATAAATATGGAAAATAAATTAAAATATAAATAAAAAAATACAATTTTCCATTTGGGTAAAGTCTTGTTACTTTATACTTTGGCAACTCAAACTGACGATCCCTGGATTTCTACTCGCTTACAACTAAAAAAGCTACTCAATACCTCATTTCACATTCAAATTACTCCAAGGATCTATAGATGAGAGATCGCACGTGTAACCTGAGATCCTATATGTATACATACATACATACATACATATATATATATATATATATATATGCGAACAAAATTACGTTTTGATAACGGGCTATTAAGGGGACTAGTACATTTGGCCCGAATTTGATAATTATACTAAAACTGCCACACTTCTCTCTTCATTATGATCATATTTCTCCTGCGATGCTAAATAATATCTATTGTCCATATGCTTTCTTAGGTTACCCACAAAACTGATTAAATTACTTTTACGTGATTTATGCTCATCACCAAGATAACAATTCTGAATTATTAACAATTTAAAGCACGCTTATAAATCGAGTGAGTACGGTTTTAATGAAATCATATTTGCCAAGCACTCTCACATTCGCTGGGGAGATATAAAATATTCACATTATTTTAACAAATAAAATACGTTTCAGTGTACAATAGTAGTTATTGCAACGATAATTGCATCACAATAGCAGCATTGTTACTCATTAAATGAAAATTTAAATTTTAGAAAAATTTGTCTAGCAATTCCGGCATAAATAAAGTAAGCATTGCGGAAGTGTGTTTAACATTCCTATGCAAAAAAGATTTTATCAAATTATATAAAAGCATCGAGTTCTGGTAACATAAACATAGTATTAATTGTATAAATGAATTATATAAAATCAATGCACAAATATAAAAAATCGGCACATCGAAATATATAAATAATATATGTAGAAATTTAGAAATACTAGATGGAGATATATATTTATATTCTGTAACATAAGCCTGATAAATAGAGAAACAATGAATAAAAGCAAAGGGGAGAGAGAGAGAGAGAGAGAGAGAGAGAGAGAGAGGGAGAGAGAGAGAGAGAGAGAGAGAGAGAGAGAGAGAGAGAGAGAGAGAGAGAGAGAGAGAGAGAGAGAGAGAGAGAGAGAGAGAGAGAGAGAGAGAGAGCATCTTTCACAAATTCACGATTATTTGAAATTTGACGGGACGATCGAACTGTTGTACTGTTTGTACACTAAAAGCAACGCGTTGCACACGCTCTTATTCAATTTACTGAAATTCATTGAGCGTCTCATGTCCCGGACATGATCGAAAAGACATTCTTCTCTGAAGAACTCGCTCAAAAGAATTTCAGTAGTTAATTAAAGCGGTATTACTTAAATACGCACTCACAGACAGCTACATCTTCGCACGTTAAACGAACAGCTACTCGTTCTGCCCTCGTAGATACACAGATATGCACTCTTACTGAAATTTCCGCGTATCCGATGACATACTGATTAGAAAGATTGCATGTTTTCGCTGCCCCAAATGATATCACATTCTCAGTTGGTTGAGCAGTAAAGCCTTCTCTTGTTCCTAACACAAACTGAGACTATTTGTCATTTTGAACACCAAATCTCACGATTCTCTGCTAACGACCGTCGCATCCGGTATGGGCCAATAACGGCGACATCTATAATTGCAGAAAATTCAAAGATCACATTCGATAAAGCGGTTTAAAGCGTTCTCTACGGGTTGTCGGGTTTAAGCGATTTCATTCACAAGTAACATCAAATCATATTGCAACGTGAGCGTACCTAGCGTTGTTCTCTGCTATGTGAGGTGGCAATGATGTAGGCGGCGGGGGCGGTTGACGAGCAGATCTTGGTGGTCCACTACTGTTAGAATCACTCTCACTGCTTTCCTCTGACTTTTTACCTGGCTCCCGTAAAAGGTGCGAGGGTACTCCTCTAGGAGAGAGTCTCGGCAATACCTCGGATTGTGGTCTCGTTCTATGTTGCGGTCTTTGGAACTGCAGATTGAGTTGACTAGCGTCTGTCACATACTTTTCACTTTGTCTTCGGCGACGCAAAGCGGGTGTACATCCGGTTAAATTTTCATCTTCTGCAGAGCTGGCTGAAGTTAAAGGTGACATGATTGGTCTAGCGTCAGATAATGGCATGCGACGATAATGTGCTGGCGCTTCCACATGTACTGTCAATGGTTTACCTCTGACAGCTAAAATTTGCGAGCGTTAGTATGGCGGGGATACAATATAATAAATTAATTTCACACATATAAGGACACATTCTTATTTTAAAAGTGTGGATTGTAAATTTCAAGACTAATCCCATTTTTGTTTCAAATATATATATATATATATAACATTTGAGTCTCTGTTTCTTAAAATTCGTGCACATTTTATTGTTACATAGTAGTGTGCTTTGGGTCGTTACAAATTATTTTGTACAAGAATAAAATGTTAATACTTCTTGTTTAAAAAAATTGTTACAAGATAACAATTTAAAAGCAACTCATTCACACTTTTGTTCACTAATGTAAAATAAAATTTTGAAAATATTGCAAAAAGAAACATTTAAAAGTTGATTTTCTGTTGCAATGATCTCATTTAGAGACGAGGCTATATCTTACAGACATATCAATAAATTTCTCTGACTAGTAAAGATGCTAAATAATTCACAAAAAAAAAATCTTTCCTCTAAAAATAACAATATAACGTGACAATAAAACTCTGAAAATTATCGAACAAAATATCTACATAATAATACTCTTGTAAGTTAAAGCATAGTTTTTTAAATATACATCTTTACTGATGATCGCTTATTATATGCAAGACTACAAGAACAATATATGTGTATATGTATATATATATATATATACATACATACATATATATACATACATATATATTTCTATCACAATCCATGTCATAGAAGCAATTAAATATAGTTATATCATAAATAATATCGACTTAAGGGTAATTTACTATCATATTAGTTTTACTAACTATTATCTTTTTCCTTAGTTGCAGCCATAGGCACCGGCAATTTTTCTACTTCACCCCCAGTTCCCGCCTTGATATTTGGTGTGTTAGTTTCGGGCGTTGACTCGGATAACGAGCATCTTGGACTTTTCACGGGAATCGGTATTTTACTATGAGCGATGTATGTCCTACAAGATGTTTCCTTCTCGTTATTGTCCTTATTATCACGATGGGATACTACATTTTGTACAGTGGTCGAGGCAGTAGTGATACTAGTCTCCTTTTGCAAACTAGCGTTTGCAGTTGGTCGATTCTCGGTAGCGTCGTAATATATCGATGGCTCTTCTGGTCCCGGATTGGGACTAGCTGGACTACCTGCCGTACCGTTCGCTAATTTCTCTACAAAATTAAATAGAATAAATTTAGAAAAGTGAAATTATCGCAATGATATGTGTTTTGGTTCGTTGGACACACGCGATCAATACGTTTTTAATTGAACGAATAAGAATTTAATAAATAAAAGTAAACCACTGGATCTCACACGTACTTTGTAATGGTTCCCTATCGGCACTGGTTTGCACAATCGTAGCACCACCAGTCGCATCTACCACTCTTATCTCCAGTCTTCCTGCCACTGCCTCTTCTTCCTCCTCACCTCTAGGTGTGTTAAACATCGCATCAGGAAGGAAGAACGCTACCGCTGGTAAGCTGGATCTTCTCACCGGCGGTGTTTGTTTTGGTTCATCATAGCGAGTCGCAACATTCCTCATTACGTCAACTTCGTACAGTAAATCGTCAAATGCCGCTTGTTGAACCTGACGATCATCAAGATTTCAACATGTTCACTCATATCCATCAGAGACGATCAACAGAGCGATCGGTATTCTGAACACGATACAAACCAACGGAGCTTCTAGATAAGCTCGCACATGCGGCGCCAAAGCTGGAACACTCCAAGCGCGTGGAAGAGCTCCTTGCAGTTCAGGATATTTTTCAATACCCGCGATGTTCAAACATCTATGCGGCGCCGCTGGTCTCGGAGAATCCTCGCTTATTCGGGACAATGCCGTAGGAATTACAGGCTGCTGTTGACACGCATTCGAAGAACTCGGCTGAGTCTTGGTCGGTTTTGCATCCGCCACCGGGGTAGTTGTATCCTCATTGGCGGTTGCGGGCTGTATATGTAAATTTGATTGAGTTTCACGTTGTCGGGCATTCTTGCATAACGAGCGCATTCGCACACAACTCGCGTCTGATTTTCATCATTAATAACAAACGAGGGATTTACCTGCGGCGGTATGGACGGGACGTTGATCCCTTTGTGCTCAGGACTCTGCAGATTTTCGCCCTTCCACTCGTTGTCAGTTTCTTCGGAGTCATCGAATTGCGACTTCCACTGCGAGGCCAAGGTCAGTCCACCGCCGCCTTTCGTCACTTGCTGTAGTGCGGATACGTTGTCATCATCTATTTGCGCAAATTGCGTAATCGAACAGTCGCGTACCGCTGAACGCCCGCCCCTTACTTGTTGCCGGCTGTCCGCTCTTTTTCTTGGCTCTCTTCTAAGAGGTTCCCTTTGTTCGGTTACCTGAAGAGAAGGAAACAGAGATATGAGATTTGACGAACCGTCAGGGCCTGGCAGAAGCCTGCCCGTAAGATTCCGTTTACATCAAAGTGAAAACATCGTTGCTACTAACTGGACTTTGGTTGCCAACGTATTTCGTATTAGTTACGTCGTAAGAACAATAAGAAGCGTCGACTTCCGTCTGTATGCGAGGGCTTGGCAATTCACCAGATGTTCCCTCGGGTGTAGCTGCAACACGCAAACGGGCAAATGTAGCGCCACTTGCTGATTTCCTAAGTGGTGCCGCTGCATTTGCCATCATTTTAAGGCGAGGAACTTCGGATGCCGAACGGGCGGAAGCCATCAACGCGTCCCCTTCGTTATCTACCTGCTTTTCTACTGGCGCAGGAGCCTGAGATTCTACCGCCATCGACACAGCGCGTCGCTTTTTCGGAGATCCTACGAACACGAGATTGTTGCTGTACGATAATGGAAGGAATAACATTACGACACGATAAAATTATACAAACCTTGTGTTGGCGGAGGTGGCACAGCCTGCTGTGCAACTTGCTGATGCGTGTTATCGGTCGTTGGTATTGTAGCATTACAATTTTTATCCCTACCATGATTACTAATAGTCGCAGCGAATGGCACCGGAGACCCTTCAATCGGACGTTGTCTATTTCTTCTATATATACTTTCATAATCCAGCTGTGCCTGTCGAGTAATGAACAGTAACAGATTATAATGAATAATACATAGATCATAAAAATCGAGCGTTAGAACTTTGATATCTGAGAGTTCCCTTACATCCAACTCTTTTCTGTTGTCTGGCTCTACGTTCTCTTGATTGTTGGTATCCACATTTGGCATAGTTGCTGAAGGCTGATTGATAGTAGTAGCTGTGGTAAGCGCCGGTGGCACAGTTACTGTAGGTAATGATCTAGTAGTTGATAAACCTTCATTAGCTATTAATGGCCTCTCCCAGTCGTAGGGATCGTTTGCCTTTACGCCTCTACGTTTCATACATCGTTCAAACAGACCGGCCAACATACCGTAATCTGGCTTATCTGCATACTCCAAACCCTACAAAGATTCATGTGCATTTTATAAGTACAAAGTTCAAAGAAGTTTATCCTGTAAGTTTTTCGATAAAATATATACCTGGATATACTCTAAAAAGATACGTAGATCAGATGGGAGGTGTTTTAGCAGTAATCGATGATCGTATTTCTCCTTCATGAGACCCACCTACACAAAAAGAGACGTAACAGATTCTTTAGCGATGCTTCGACGATTACCTTATAACGTTTTGTAACTCGACACTTGGCGCAAACTTACTTGTTCCTTATCTTTTATTTTTCGCCATGGCAGTTGTCCATTAACGAACTCTACTAGCATATAAAATAACGACCACAAGTCATCGTGCCGACCCATTTCTTTATTTTTGTGTGCATTGACTGATGCATATCGGACGGTTCCTCTAAATCCCGCGGCGGCACGGGGCGGTCGAACTTCTCCCGTACCAGTCGTGAATTGTCGTGCTAGACCGAAATCTAACATGTATACTAATCTGGAGTTGTACGGGTGCCGACCGATCGAAAAATTTGACTGTGAACAGAATATAAGCATTCCCTCGAGTTATAGCCAGTCATGCTTTAACAAAGACCACGTCGACACGACATTACTATTGCATGACTAATCATATCACTGCATGAATATCTGACTTAGAGAAAGTGCAGATCATTTGATATACTTTGCACAAAAAAGCAAGTCTCAGCATAGTTTCGTAGCACATACATATATTGTTCAATCAATTATAAAATTATAAAGTAGCATATTTACACAATCAAGTCACTTTGTTACCTAAATGTCCCAATACATTTCGAGTTACAAATTAATGGCATATAGGAACATACAGAATAGAGATGATAATTTTATATAAAATATTTCTGTTTAACTATCAGATATCATATATGTTCATGCACATGTCTAAGTACTTACAGGTTTAATGTCCCTATGCAGAAAGCCCACTTGATGAATACTTTCTATAGCTTTTAATATTTGAAGACCAAGGCGCAGTGTAGTGGAGAGTGAAAAAGCACCCCTTGGTTGCGCTCTACGCAATTCAGCTAGATTCTTTCCTTGTAATTGCATTACAACATAGTTAAATCGATCATTACGCCCACAGCCGATAAAGCGGCAAACATGGTCTTTACCTGAAACAGTCATGCAGAAATATCTCTGCAATAAAGTGATTGTCCAAGAGACTGATAAGCAAATATCTACTTTGATCTAGCAAACACACAGATATCAAAGAAAGAGAGAGAGAGTGGGTGTGTGAGAGAAAGATTTAATCAGCAAGACTTTATACTAACCCTGTAATTTCTTTAATACAGCTACTTCCATTTTTAGGACCTGCTTGGGCTGTCGTGCAGATTCCACTTTTAGCGCAACTTGTTCCTTTGTCATTAGATCAAGACCTTCATAAATTTCACCAAATCCACCACCGCCTATCTTCCTCACCTGTGCGTATACAAGACAACTGAGAACTGTTGCTCACACAATACCACTTCCAGAAGAGACCTCCAGGACAAACTTACAACTTTCCAACGTTCCTTGACCACATGGCCAGGCTGTAATAGATCCTCACTCGTCATAGTTATGTTATTATTTTGATCCGTGCTTTCGTCGCCTACATTCCTTAACACCAAATCCTCGGAGTGATTTGCAGGCCTGGAAAATGCAAGTGACACCTCATAAATATATGTGCATACAATGCGGACCGCCCGCACATTCGGCGCGACGTTCTACGGCGCCGACGGTCGCGAGTTGTCAATGCAAACCACGTTTTTCCCGAACGCGACACACGCACGTACGAAGTTTTTAACCTAAAGCGGCACTTGACAAAATTGGTCAATACGCGCCCTGTGCTAGGCAGCCATGATTGCGTGCGAGCGAAAGGTGTTGCTGGTGCGGCGAACGTTTCTTGCTGCTCGTCCCGAGCGATCCTCCATATCCAGCAATCTTTCGGTCGCTCGCGATCGTCCTGACGACTTAAAGAGATCGTTACGCCACCGATGAAGATCGTCGCGAATCGCGCTCACTGCGGCCAACAAACGTCACACGATCATCATCAATCGGAACTGTCGCTCAGCACGGCACATTTGATTCCTCTCGCGATACTGTTCACGACTCGACGGCGCCGACGACCACGGCGACGAGGGACAACCATCATCGGCTGTGTGACGGTCGACGTCTCGGGCGCGACGAAAGCGATCCAACACACTCCCTACGTGTGACGACTTCTAATTTCCGCGCGTCCCGACGACGAGACGAGTGTCGCACAGAACGCGCCGTAAAACACGCGTCTCCCTGCTCCGTGAGAGATCTCGTCTCGCGTGCGTCCACGTCCGCCCCGATCCAGATATGTAATGGTACTTTATTTTTACTAACAATGTCGTCTACTAGCTGGTGCTAACGGCGGCGTTACACACCGCACGACGTACTCTCGGCGGACTCTCCCCTCGCACAACGCGAACACTTCGCGTTCTCTCTCTCTCGCTCTTTCTTTCTTTCTCTCTCTTTCTCTCTCTCTCGCTCTCTTTCCCTCTCTCTCTCTCTCTCTTTTCTCTCTTCACATCTCCATCGCCATCATTCTCCTGTGCCACCGCCGTGTCGCTCGCGCGGCACTCCCAGAGATCGCCGTAGCCCGGATCACTCTTTCGTCGCGACCAGGCCCAGGTGTCTGCGGTTGCCGTAAAAGTTCCCGTCAAATGCCAATGGGGCGGCCATTTTTCGATTTCGCACCATCCGCGAGTCGTAGTGGCCGAAATCGCCGGTAGATAGCGCGTGTACGGAGCGATCGATGCATCTCGCCTTCTCTCTCTGCCGTTACGCTCCGTCGCTCTCTCCCTTCCACTTATGGCTCTCGCGTCCGCGCCCGCGCCGCGCCCGCCCCGCCAACGTTCTCTTTTGCGTTTATTATTGGTTATTATCTCGCAGATCTTGCGTTCTTTTATCGTATCGCGCGGGCGTACGCACGTCAAAGTTCCGCATAACGGGTAGGCAGGAGGCAGATGAAGTGCACACGATACCCTCACCGTCGTCGTCGTCGTGATGCCGGTGAAAAAGAGAGATGATCGTTTTGAAGATCGGTCTACCGTGCACGGGCGGATCTTCTTTTGCCCGTTCGCATTACGCATACATTCGCTCCTCCTCGCCGGTCACACACGCGGCCGATGCTATTTAATTTTATGTAGATTTACATATCGCGTTTTCAATGAATTATTGATCGCGTTGACATTAATTGCTTTAGCGCGTCACACGAGCATGGTTCGTGGTGTCTATAGACATCCGTTTACGTGCGGTACATTAGAGAAAGCTTAGGAACGCTTATTAACTCACGCTTAAGCGAGAGCGGATCAATCGCGGACATCGAAGCACGAAGATTTGCGAATAATTTGTAATTTTAAATTGGAGAATGAAAATTTTTCATGACGAGATAAGAATCGGTGAACTAATGAACACTTGACATTATGTTAAATCTGGACTTTATCTTGTTTATAAAAAAAAAACTTTTTTTCAATCGTCAATAAATCAAATATATGCGCTTCAGTGTTTTTTAATATAAAAATTAATTCGGTCCGTCGTAGTTGAAGCAAGTGTGATTAATTCAGATAATCAAAGGAAAATGACAATAATTTCGCGTAACAATACTTCCTGGCACAATTCACACTTGCGTTAATTTCTCAGCTATTATTCTCGTTCGTAAATAGAACTTGAATGACAAAAGGAGAAAGAGATATTTTCCGGTTCGATGCCTTGCTGCGATCCTTGCTGCGATATCCTTCGGCTATATTAAGGTGCAAAGCGCATATAAAATTTTGACCGCTCGCTCGCGACTCCCTTTGCTAGAGGGCATAATTTAAGTTTAAACGTCTATTTTTAAACGACCCCACTCAGCATATAATACACCGAGCAGCATCTTCCTCCGCGCCAGAGAACTTTTCCAACTTCTTTTCATTCTTCTTACGTGGTTACTCGACTCAAACCGAGATCCAACGTTGCCGGGCATCTACGCGTAAATAATAATAGCCTAGAACGTGGAATATTTCTATCATCGCACGGTGAATCTAAACAGGGAAACGTTAAAATGTGTTTGGTTATTATTGTCCACTCTTCGACGGATTACGTATTGGGAGGCAGTTGAAACGTCTCCGTATGTAAATCGCATAATATGTAGATATACGATCGCTTTATTCAGCGAATGGAGATATATTAGCGCGGTTTAAAAAAAAAATATACGACTCTCGACGAGATGCAACGTATTTAGAATGGCTTTAATAATAGGATATACACAGCCACGGACGCGCATACAAATTGTATATAGAGAGCCCAGCACTAAAATAGACAGTTTGTAATTAAATCGTCATATACATATAGCAAGTGTCGAAAGTTGCATTGCGGTTTAGCGAACGATGGTTAATTCATTCGAGCGACTCGACGTTATAAATTAAATGACACACACTGGGATGGACCGTGACAATTTTGCCGGCAAGATTTCCGATCAGATTTCAACAATTTCTGACAAGGTCTGAAGTTGTTAATGACGCTTGATATTCTAGAGGAAAAATCTCATATCGGATTCTTTCATATCTTTCATCGTGCTGGACAAGCAAGCGAGTTGTGAGTTAACATCGATACACACGGTAGAAAGCTTGTTAAAAATACACGTTGTCTTTTCTATTTATACGGAAAGTGTTAAGTCCGAGCGGAATTTAGTCACGATTCCGTGTAATTCCGGTCCTGAGGAATTCTGCTCTCGAGAGCTCAATCTCGACCGCTTCTCGGCAAAGATTTGATCTAGTCTTTCGAAATATCTGTTTCGGAAGCGACATGTCCACACACGCGCAAGTATATATGTAACGTTTCCCTGAATGATTATACATAAAGTACATACGATCTCTCGCGGCAGCCAATGTCCCTAAAACTCTCGTCTACCCGCGGATCGTATCGATAAAGTCTCGATGACTTCGCGTCAAGAATTATCTCAAAAAAAGAGTACAAATAAAATTCTCAGCCGTCGAATTTGATCAGATTAATGCAACTAATCGATTTATCCAGGCTAATTCCAAGAGCGAGTGATTGACGACGCTCGATAGCAGAATGTCAGTCAGTTAAATCGATCGAAGCGAGTCGCAGCGGGAAATGTGTGCAATACGTACCATTTCATGATTTTGTAGAAAACGGAATGCGAACTAGATTAAAACGAGAGCGACGGCGTGCTTCGTGGACCAATGCGGAGCGCGATGTGTGTTCGCGTCGGCCGGGGACATAAACGAAAGTAAAACCGACCGCACGAGCCGGGGTCAAATCGGGCTTTTTTCGCGCGATCTCGATGCGTGTGCCGCGCGACAAGCCGCTCGACGTTACCGTGTCTTTTGACTCGCACTCGTTAATGAGCCGATGCAGAAGTCACCTCGGTTTCCGACGACGACCGAACCGGAGTCGGATCATAGCGCTTCACTGGCATACCGAACCGACACGTCGACTCGAGCCATGGCCGAGGAGATCGTTCCTCGTCCATCGTCCCCTTCGACCTCTGCCGCAGCTGCCTTCTCTCTTCCTCATCTCTCTTCATCTCTGACAACCCCCTCTCGGAGAATCAGCGCTTTCTTCTGCCGCTTTTATACTCTAAATACGTCATATCGCGGCCGAGCGAATGTGCGGCGACTCACCGCTCGTCGCCGTACTGCGTGCGATGCTTTTCTTTGTTTTTCCTCTTCGCGGTGACGTATAATCCGGCACGTGCGGGTCCGACGAATTTACGCACTCGCATTTCTTTACCCTCCGTTTGATCTCCACGCTCCGCCCGACCATCCCTGTCGAGAATTACGCGGAATCTTTGTAAGCTACTCTCAGTGTGACGCACACTTCAAAATTAATTCAAGCGAATATTTAAGAATTAATTCAAAGTGAAATCTCGCAATTATAATTGCATAATGTTGTAATACATTTCTCTGGAGTTTAGATATTTGTATCAAATGATCGAAGCAATCGGGAATGTTGATGCTCTCCTATTATCACGGAATTCCACTTGCGGCTACCGTTTTATCGACGAAGGCAGTCTTCAAATCTACAATAATAATACGTTGAGGTAGGAGTGAATTCGACTCGGTGAAAAGCATAGATTTGCCGAAAAGAAACATAACATAATCGTCTAATCTCAGAAGATTGAGAACAAATTAGCGTACTTACTCATGTAACTTCATGTTGATATAACACTATGACCAGCTTCGAGTATAGACATATATCATGACCGTGCAAAATGATCAGGTCGGTTGATTACAATAAATAATTACCCGTTCTTCATTTCGACGCTCTCGACATTGTCAACACTGGTCCTCTCTTGCCATACAAAAAGATCCGACGAATTCGAGTGATCACGATTCGGAATTCGTAACAGTCACAAAGCTACGTGAAATGCCACGAACTGCTGTGTAATGTCATGAGCTGGTCCAAGTTTTCACCGCGGCGGATTTTTTGAATGATCATTCTTGTAGTCCGATGAGATGGTCGAGAGCTGCACGATAATTAGCAATTGGATTCCTCTATCGCGTTGTTTGCTTTAATACCCGGGGATATTGGAGTTATTTCGAGTATTTTTCGTCGAACCAATCGGATCGCCCGATTTTTGAAGAATCAACGAACTGGCGAGAGTTTGCGTTCGAGTGGCGCTTGCAGCGTCTGGCGTATCGATATCTCGAAGCGCTACGGCTTCGAGAATCGCACGCCGCCGCGTCCGTTACGGAGGAGATTCCAACGCGGTAGTGCACAAATCCAAGATTCTCGTCTTCCGCGCAGCTTGAGCTCGCCGAAAGTGATCCTCGCGTTCGGATTTTCGTCGACGAGGATGTCGAAAGTGAGTCTCATATGTTTGTCCATCGTTGATCGCGAAATAATTGTCGAACGATCGCCGAAAATGACGATTTCGTAGTACGAGTGTTCGGGAGTGCTTCGAGTGAAGTTTTGCGCGTCTCGTAATGGCTGTTTGGAGCTCTTGGACCGTCGCACGGCGTTTTAGATCGTTTTAGTCGAGGGAAAAATCGGTAAGTCTCAATAACAAAACAAGAATTGCGGCATATATAGAGTTTCACGATGGTCGCATCTCGAATCGCATATTTCACTCGCAAAATCAGATAGAATTGTGGACAGAAATAGGGACGACGTCTGAAATCGTCACGTCTCTATTCTTCAGGTAAATGTAAAAAATGTCCTTGAAACGACGATAATGATTATTTGTACCTATGATAAAACTTCACTTTTTTCGAATGAGGTTAGCTCGGAATGCTAGCAGGCGCGAATTATAAACGTTGGAAGAAAACGGTCGGTAATTTCACCGGTGCTCTGCAATTACCTTCGGATGCAAAAAGGTGTTGCAAAGCGCCGATAAACCTGTCCCGTCGGTAATTATTTCACCCGGATGCGGTGAGGTGCGATAACATTTGACCGGTAATGAAGCAAACGCGGGTTTAGTAATATTTGTTTATTAGTAATGTTGCATTATTATTACTTTTATACATATTTGATATTGGCCATCAACAAATATGTTACAATTTTTATCTCCCCACCCCCTTGTGTTCGTTCGTTCGTTCGAAAACTAACGATATATTTTTGCAATAATAATAATAATAATAATTAATAGCAATAATAATAATAATAATAATAGTAATAATAATACGTAATAATTCATGGTCATTGCGTGGCAAGAGTATCAGTGTTGCGAATCGTTCCGCGCTAAAACTGTACATCGTCGTTCTCGGCTCGCTCCGCAGTGAGTAAACGACGCGCGTGCGCGGGACAACGCGTGGCAAAATGCAGCGCGTGAACCGATACTTAACAAAATTAGTGACCCTAAGAAGTGAGTAACGTAATGTAGAGGTGTGTTGTTCGTCTATGTGTTCGTGTGTACATCTGTATATGTATACATGTAGTGTGTGATATCGGGTGAGTTTTTGCAATACCGTCTTTCAAATACGGTAAACATAATTCGCGGATAACGTTCACGACGACTTACGTTTACCGTATCTGAGAGACGGTATTGCAAAAACTACCTATCGATGCGCATGAAATCGCACGAGTCAATCGCGAGATGCGTCGCGATTCGCGCGTGCATCCTCGCGCCGCATCGCCACTTTGATTTTTCCCCGCGAACGTTGAATGTCGCACGACGGCGAACACGCGAGCACTCTTTCCCAAAGTCACAACCCTTCTCGCAAAATCCTCATCCTCTCTCTATCGTCCACCCGCGCGAAGAGAGCGGGAACACCGTATTGTTGCGGAATTTCGGTTCGCGATCGACCACCGACGTCACGGCATCTGCGAGAACGATCGATCGATCGATCGATCGTTCGCTCGCTCGCTCGCTCGATCGCTCGAAAGCAAGTCGCGCGGTTCGCTTACTTCGTCCTGGTCTGTGAGACATACATACACACACATACGCGCGCGCGCACACACACACACACATACACACACACATATTCTCTCTTTCTCTCCCTTTTTCTCTCGAGTCACACGATTTTCATGCGCGTATTCATCGTTGCTATGCTATTATTCACGCACGAAGGGAAATCTGATCGTCTCGCATCGCTCTTGATGTGATCAGCCTCTTATTATAGATAGTATTATTTAATTTAGCGTGATCGCAAAGGGCAGGCTCTGTATTCTTCTTCGTAAAAAAATAGTTTCGCCATGAGTGCTCTCGGAGAATCTCAATGTTTTCGACTGATCGCGTCGTAAGAGTGTGAAGTTACGATTGCTTCGCCCGCGCGTATATGTGTGTGTGTGTGTATATGTACTCGCGAAGCTGCTTTATTATAACGGCGGTCCGTCGGCGAAGTTTTCTCCGGTGCCGTGGCGGCTCGCAGTGAAAGCAGCCGGATGAGATACGCTTTTGAGAAACGTCGCTGTCAGGTTGCTGGCGAGTATTGCGTTTCCGGAAATTGCGCGCAAGTACGACGGAAGAAACACGGTAATAACGTAGCGCTCTGCGGATCTCGAAGCGGATTAAATAGCGGATTCGTAATTGGACCGTACGGGTACACGTTCGATCGAAGTTACACCGTGACTACCGAGTCAGTTACGTTACGTACGAATCATTCATGCGTATGTGGCTGTGTGTGTTTGTATGTGTGTGTGTGTGTATGTGTGTGTGTGTGTTCGTTATTAGCACTGAGAGCGGCGAATATCGGATCCGAATACCTGAATCGTTCGACTCACGCATGGGCGAATCGAGCGTAACGCGATTTACGCTAGAATAGATTTCTCTTCTCTCTCTCTCTCTCTTTCTCTCTCTCTCTCTCTCTCTCTCTTTCTCTCTTCCTCATTCGAACAGAATACCGCACTCACAGCCGTTATTGTCAGTTTGTCTGGACGTCACTAAGTATTCAGCACATATTAACGCGCGACTACTAAGATCGAAGCTCGTAACGTAAGGGAGACCTTTAGATCGCCGATCTTTTCCTCTTCTTCTTCGCGACACTGTCCTTGATTCTCCGTCGACGAGAGAGGAGACCTGCGAGATCGTTCTTCGCGAGCGCGCAGTCGTTGAACGCGCCGATTCGACGTCTCGAGGTGCGCGTTGCATTGCGACCCGGGAAAATCTATCTCGCTAACGCACATCCCCCCCATCAACGTCGATCGAACTTTCAGCCGAGTTTAAATTTGGTTTAAGGACAAAGGTTTAAGCTCGAGTTACGGTTTGATCGACGCTGGGAAAATGGGCAGAGCTCGGACTCGCGTAAGATTTCTCAATGAACGCGTTCCTCAGCTTCTCGGCGACGGACACGGCGCGATTGTCAGGTAAACGCGTCGAAGGTCAGACAACTCTCCTCGTCTCGCGATTTCAGGCCCGTGTGAATGGCGTTTCGCGTGCCCGACACGCGTCCGCAAAAGCCCGCAGCTCATCTTTGATCCCGCTGCGGAGCTTGAGCAGGGTCTCTCTCGAGTCCCCCGCATGCCACTCGCTAATCCTGTCCTACGTGGTCTATATGAGCAGTGCTCAGGGCGGGACTAAGGACGGGTGGTGTGTGATGTGTGATGAAGTGTGCGTGCATGCGTGCGTGCGTGCGTGCATGCGTGTGCCGTCCTGCGCAGGACCCGGCGATGGCGATGGCGCACGTGCGAACGATGGTGCGTCAGCATTCGCAAGCGGTATGTCTCTCAAGGACTTTTCGTCGACATGTTCGTTCGATGATGTACATACACATATGTGTATGTATAGCGAATGAAAAAAAAGCGGCTTGTCGGGGATGTTGTCTCCGGCTGCGGTCGGCGAAGTGAGCTCTCAACGCAGCGACGATACCGCGAATCCCCGGCGAACGCTCTCTCTCCCTCTCCCTCTCTCTCTCTCTCTCTCTCTCTCTCTCTCCTTCTTTCCTTCCACCTCTTCCTCGCATTCGCTAGAAAAAATCTTGCCTAACTAATTGGACCTCGTCGTTTGTCGTCGCGCGGCCTACGAAGGGTCAAAGAGTGCGGATAGATTAACGATGAAGACACGCCGCGCCGGCTGGGCGAGCGCGAGCGTGGAGAGAAATCGCAAGAGACGCGCGATGATGATTACATTACGGACGCGAGATAGAGAGAAGCACGATAATATGTATATATATTTATACGTATTATATATAATAATGAACGACTTGAGAGGAGTTTTTACGGAACAAGAGCGTTTTACGTGCCTTACAGAGTAGAGTGAAGCGCATTTCGACTCGAGACGACGCGAGGACGAGCGCGCCTCCTTCGCCTTTTTTCTCTTTCTTTCTTATCACTGTCGTTACAATCGGCCGGTGATGGCGGTGGTAGTGGTGGTGGCGGTGATGGTGGTGGTGGTATGCACATAATACTCCCCAGGACCCTCGTATTCGAGGGTTGCCGTCGCGATCACGCGAACTCGCGTCGTCAAGATAATCCTCGCGTGCGGTGCACGCTCTGACAAAAAGTACGGTGTACTCGTGCATACAATTTCAGCAGAAACGCGTCAACAAGGAAACGTGCGACAGACGGACAAATCAATCAATCGACCGCGCATTTGCATTGCCTTATAAATCGTATAAAAATCTCCTATAATATCAACCTAGCCTTACAATGCCTTAAGAGTACGGTGTATCGGGGATTTGTATAATGCCTGCAGCGCGGACCTGCCTGCGACGGCGAGACGTTCCCCGCGATCTGCGCGCGAGCGTGGAAATTGCCGGGCAAAAAGCGCGCGCGTTCGTTAAGCCCTCTCTCTCTCTCTCTCTCTCTCTCTCTCTCTCTCTCTCTCTCTCTCTCTCTCTCTCTCTCTCTCTCTCTCTTTCTCTCTCTCTCTCTCTCTCTCGTCAGATTGTGCATAACAAATGGAGCATTGTGGACTGGACATTGGAATTCGACGAATAATTCATGAATTTTCGATTTCGACTCGAAGGCCTCGCTCCGACCGATCGAGTCTCACCCAGTCCTTAATCCGCAATTCTCAGTCAGGCACGGAAAAAATATCGTAATAAAAATCACGTTGATTATATTTCTCCCCCGCGATATTTTTGCAAAGCTGGACTAAATTGTCCCGTGTTAC